ACCGCGAGCCTCTGTATGACTATCTAGCCTCTTCTTAAAGCTTTCAACGGTTGGAGCGGAGACCACCTCTGCTGGTAGTGCGTTCCAGTACCCACAGACTCGGAAGGAGAAGAACTGTGAACGCACATGCATTTTTGACCTCTGATGTGCTATTTTATCGGGGTTTTTTCGAGGATCTCCTTAGTGGCCACTCGGTAGGACTCTTCCGTTTGGGTGGCTTGGGTTACTCATTACTTTGTAAGCCATTATCAGGTCTCCACGTATCCTTCGACAGCTTAGACAGTATAGGCCAAGGTCTTTCAGTCTATTCCTATATAGTTTTCGTTGCACTCCAACAACCCCTTTCGTGGCTCGCCTCTGGACCTTCTCCGGTAAGTTCGCGCCTCTTTTCAGCTGTGGTGGAGCGAAGACGTTGTGGACCTCTAAGTGGGGCCGTATGTAAGTCTTGCAGAGCTTCAGAAGGAGTTCTGGGGTGAGGGCACCCAGCTGTCTACGCACAAAGTGCAGTACCCCATATGCTTTTGAGACATCACCTGGGTAATTGGAGCTAGTGTCCAGTTTCTCCGTCACCGTTAGACCCAGGTCTTTTTCAACCGTGGTATAGGACAGACGTGGACCACAGAGACAGCAGGATGTTTTCCTGGGATCAGGAGTGCGGAAAAACATGGACCGGCACTTATCCAGATTAAATGCCAGTTCATTATTAGTTCCATATTCCTCTAGTGTTCTGAGGTCCTTATGTAATGCCATAGATTCCGCCTCGCAAGTTATTACCCTCCATAACTTGACATCATCAGCGTACAGGAGAATCGGGGAGCTGGTATGTTGCGGCAAGTCATTTACGAACAGTAGGAATAACAGTGGGCCCAAGATTGCTCCTCGTGAGACACCGGATGAGGATGTTCTCCAAGTTGAGTAGGCCCTGTTGACCTTCGTGCAGAACTCCCTGCCGTCTAAGTAGTTCTGCAGCCACGATGGAACCTGGCTGAGAATACCTAACCCAGCTGTCTTATGCATTAGGATATGGTGTCAAAGGCTGTGGCGAAGTCCAGAAAAATTACTTGGATCGGGACCTTGAGATCCTAGAATGCAGTCCTGTGATCATGGGCCGTCAGGAGGTTGGAGGCGCAGGACCTACCCTTCCGGAAGCCATGCTGAGAGTCACTGAGTGCCCGCCCGGTCGTCCATCACACTTTCCACTAATTTTGATATTACTGGTAGAAGTGCTATGGGTCTACAACAGTTGGGATTCTGTCTGCCTCCTCCTTTGAAGATGGGAGAAAGGATAGCCCGTTTCCGTTCTCGTGGGAGCTTTCGCTCAACCAAGAAGTGTTGGAAGAGGTTGCAGAGTGGGCCACTTAGGGTACTTGCACATTCTTTCAACACAAATGGGCGAATGTCGTCACACCCTGGGGATTTTCCCGCGCTTAACTTCATTCTTCTGGATGCTGGAGTTGGAGAAGTGAAGACATTTGCCTTTCAGTCTTAATATTCATCAAGATTATGAATCTTTGTTGTGGAATGGTGTTAACATGCATGAATTACACAGTCATGGGATCGCCAATGAAGTACAACACGTAAACAATTCACGAACTTTTCATCATTATCTGAAGCAAAAAGTACACTGTTACAATGGAACTATTATTATCTTCAAGCTTTATTTTCCTCCAGGTAATACCTGTAGTGTCTAGATACAAACCTGGTTTTTTTGTTAATGAGAAGACAATACTTCCACTTGTCCAACTTGTAAATTTTCCGCACACTTATTCTGCTGGGATGTCCCATCATATGAACATGCAGCACTTATATCTTATAGTGACAACGGTTGGGGACTCAGATTACCTTCCATGAAGATGAATGTAATTTGTATACAAACTTATTCATGCCTGTAAAGATGCCATGTGCCTGTACATTCAAGAATAAACAGTATTATTATTGTTATTATTATTATCACTAAGGCTACTGGAGTCTTCCATTTTCTGATCTTCAACCGAGTATGTCCCATTGGTTATTTAAGCGACACTTTTCATGCCCAGATGTCTACCCTGTGCCCCAAAAACCCCAGCCAGCACTGGACTATCTTTGAGCATACTTGCCAAAGGCCACTCGGTCGGTGGCTGGAATCATTCTCGGTCAGGCTTTGGATGTGGTCACTTAGGACATATGCACAGATGAGGGAGAGATTCCACTTCATTCGCTACTCAGCGTACGCCATAAGTCCATCTAAAACTGCAGTCCATCAGTCAATCAAGCTCAAAAAGTCAAACAACTGTTATATTCCATTGTAGCGAATCCTAAAATGATCCCAAAATATAGTGCACACGTCTCCGCCAGTTAGCAGCTGCCTTGGTCCACCTGTGGCACATTTATGGCTTGTCGTCTCTATGTATTAAGGGGGGAGAAATTCCGTCTTCCAGGGCTTGGTCACCTCCCAAACATCGGCACTTCCGGGTAAATTCACGTTACCCTTTACTTTCCGGACATGGCCAGAACCCTGAAGACATGACATAATGAAATCCAATGCTTCCCCAACGGATACCAAAACAAGCGAGTGTAAACCTATGGGACTAAGGCAGACTAAGCGAGGATTCAGGAACCTCAGCTGTTCTCCACCAAAAGTCCGTCCAAATTCGTAAAAGAATTTCGGGGACTTATGCCAGAAAACTGCTTGACTGAACGCTTCCATCGGCGATTCGCTGGAGGAGCCTGACCGAGAGCCATTATCACCACTGAGTCAACCAGTGTATCCAACTTAATTGTCCATACTCCTCTTAGATACGGCGATCGCGCGCTGGTTTCCTTCAACATTTGTATATCTTAGTTACCTACTCTCCATCAACCGCTAGCTGAGAATTATAGCAAATGTGACCATGAAAGGGTCAAACAAGAATTAGGTTCTGGTTCGTTAAATTTCGTCGGCTATTTCAATCAGTCCACCACACTGGAACTGCCGAGGGATATAATGATTCAGACGATAAATAGGAAAACTGCTTTCATTTCATGAGGAAGTGAAAGGATCTTATCATGGCTTAAATAAGATACTCGTCAGGTTATGCGGCGTAAACGGTCAACTTGAAATCAGCGGAGGGTCTCTGTAGCACGACAGACCGGAAGATTTACAGGAGCATACATGATAGATGTACAGCAAAAGTCATTATTGGCAAAGTAAACTACCAGGCACATCTGTGTAGAACACTGGAGAAAAGGTGTGGGGTATTGGACTCGTTCATAAAATAGAGGGTAAAATGTGAATTAGTATACAGGACCCTACCAGTTCAGCGACTAACTACACTAACTGTGCGGTCAGCTGACTGGCTAGCCTAATAGTTTCGAAACAATTTCTGCCAAGCAGGGGGGTTAACCACAAACCAGGCAGTCACTCACAATGCCGAAGGGTCAAACTGTATGTAGTTTCAGCCTGTTCAGATCAATAGAACTATAAGGTGCTTAAATGCCAATAAATCCCCAGGAATTGACCATATTCACCCGAGAACACTCAGCGTACCCATGTTTCAAGCGTCTCGCCCGAAATTCCGTTTAGACATTCCTTTCTAGAGGGTAGATTGCCTTCTGGATGGAGACAAGTAGCCATTGTCCCAGCTTACAGAAGTGGCGCTGAACCACATGCCTCTGACTGTGTACCGACCTTTTTGGTCTGCCAGCCGCAAAGGTCAAGAAAGGAGTAGCAAGCTATTCAGTTCGTGAGTGCTGACCTGGGAACTCAAGTCTAATTGATTATCAACACGGATTTTTACTTTAGGAGTCATGTAACACCAAACTGCCCACAACAGAATAAATAACCCCCCCCTCATTGAGCAGAAAAGGCCCGTTCACATAGGGTTAACTGACTTCCCAAAATCCCCAGGCAAAGCCAGTCGTGTATGCTGTGTAAGATACTTCAGCACATGGGAATACATGTGAAGTTACTCACTTGGTTTAGGGATTGCCTCAACATCCGGTACTCCTTATTCTTGTTAAATTCTCTAGTGGGACACTTCGGGGCTCCGCTCTTGGTTTGCTATTGTTTGTTGCCCCTGTTATTGGTTCGCCAGCAAGCCCAACTTTCCAGCTACTGTGTGCAGATGGTTTCAAGACTTGGAAGGAGATACAACGGCTAACGGATACCTCGATCCTACTTGAGATTGTGTCTGAAATAGTAGGTTGAGTAAGCAAAAACCTGCTCGCTCTCAGCTCAATAAAGCATAAGATAATGGCTATAGGCAAATTTGGGCGTAATTGCATCCCCTATTCCCTGGGGGAAACAGAGATTTCGTATTTGAGCACTGAAAATGTCTACGGGTTTTCCTAAATGGGACAAGTGGAGCTACCTTGTATCCAATAAGCCACGTGGAGCTCGAAGTCTTCGCTCTCGTGCTCCGGGGGGTCTAACACCGGACCTTTCGCTATGATCATGCTGCAACAAGTTGCTCATGATCCTCCTCATACTAACCAACCATGTTTGAGATTTAATCAGCAACACAAACTTAGAGGCCATTTTCTCAGAACAGAGTATGGAAGAGCACTTTCGATGAGTCGCATTAACCCATTTGCAAATAGATTGTGAAATTGTGGAACTAGTTTCATGAAACTGTCGCAGTCCCTCTGCTGTTACTTTCAAAAGGAGGTTTGATACACACACAGAGTCTTTTGATATAGATAGACTATACAAAAAAGGCACATATGGTCTTGCAAACCACGAATAATAGCACTACAAATAGTAAGTTGATTAAATTTTTAATTGACTATCTCTTTCCATTTGGATGTCTTTGAGCCGTGGAAACAAACCACCATTCCAAACAAAGAGTTTATTCCATTTAGAAAGATACAAAACCCAAAAAACCCTTGCTCACTATGTCTGCAATAAGAAATTTGAAGTTTTAGAGATATTGGATATTGTATCTGCTGCTTCCAACTGCGACCGCATTCCAAGGTTACCCCATCGAACTCAACCTTCTATCCATGGTTGTTTGATTAGTTGGTTATTGGCAGAATCACAGTTAATGTGCGGTCTAGAGGCTTTAGAAGAGTTAAAAAAGTTAGCGGAAGATGATTCAAAGTATGTAGCGCTGATAAAGGTAGTTTCATTGCTGATTATTATCTTTTCTATAGGATGCGACCACTCTACAAGGTCTAGTTCTACTGCTTTCTAATAAAAGCACATCGGTTGTCTCATTAGTATTAACAGTAACTGTTACGTTAATTAATCAGCCTTAGGTCTTGAAGTTGATTGCTTTTCGTCCAGGAGGGAAAGCTGCTTTACAGTCGCTAATAGGTCTTAATGAACAGTTGACAGGACTAGTCAGACCAGCCAGTTGCGACAACAAGGAAAAACTAAGTCCAATTTCCAGAGATGCCGAAGAACTCCTGTCTTTATTCAGTCCCCTCAGGACAGAAGACTCCTCCCAGGCTGGTGCGGTAAAATGTCAAGCGGAAAAACCACCATCAAGCTTTAGACCTAAAAATGTCATTCTACAGCTCAAAGGATTAACAAGCGAGGTAAATTTAATGCCACTGTGGGTGGTATGATATGTTGCCACGTGATTGTGCGCTTAACAGTATGATTAACTCTAAAAAACACGTCTCACTTAGGAAGTAAAATGTATAGATAGCTGTCTTCTATACGTTTTTTCGTGCCGTGTATCTGTTAACTGATAGACTAAGTAGATTTTACTAAGACCTACGTTAGCTTATTCAACAGTGTCATACAAGTCGAAATTTGTCTGAACCATCCAGTCAGTCCGTTGGAGTAAAGTAATAAACAGAGGCACTAGGTCATTAGATCATCTAAGAACAACATTGTTGGAGCTGATAAGTTAAAGCCTAACTTTTTTAAAAACTGAAATGGGTGTTACCTTTATTCCAACCCACGAACCTGAAACCAACTATGTCTTTTGATTTAAGTTAACACAGAAGCTGTTTTAAAGGATTTCAATGTTTAGAAGAAATACAAACGGCATTCATGTAGTTAAATAATGCTTCCCTTTGGAGAATTAAGTGCACTTCATATCCGGAATGGTTTCCGTAGGTTGGAGATCGGGCAGACGAAATTGACATAGGACCTGATTAGAGTCCACCAGCCTATTGTCACACTTCGCAGTAGCATATGAAGAACTTGGTGAAAAGTGGTATCACAGTAACCAAAGGTATATGACAAGAAAATAAACTTGAGAATCAAAATTGGTGAAAATGTTCAAGCTCTAGAAGTTGTCAAGGAGTGACCAACTTCCAGCCACGTTACCAAGGATCATCAACCATTTACTGCTATTGTCCGAAGGACTCCAGTCAAGCAGCCTACACCTCCCTACACAGCTCAGATCAACAGTCGAAGACTTCACTGACTGGTGCCACATCTTGGTCTGGCCACTTGGAGCCGTACTATGGGGTGGAATAAACTGGGGCAAATAGTTGCAGCTGTCTCTAAAAATACACATGTAAAGCAGTCGATAGTTGCAGTTTTTCCACGAAACTGATAAATTCGGGTTGGGTAGCGTAATGTTCAGTTTAGAAAACCGCCACCACAGCAACAGAATGTGAAGTGGGTCTTTCTCGACTTTATTGGGACCATCAACTGTTTGGGTGTGGTATATAGTGGTCACATTACTTCGGCATCAATTCGGTTTAATTTATGAACTAGCGAAGTATTTTGAAGAGAAAAATGGGTTAGAAGTTTGCTCTGAATATGCTGCTTTGCTAACTAGGGAACGACCAAACTGGTTTGTTACTATCATTATTATGTGGATTTATACTAGATTGTGTAGTCATCTTATTGTTAACTGGTTTCTGGGTACTTTGTAGCACAATAAGTGAAATTTTATTTCGAAGTGCTTTACCAACAGTTTTCTGCAAAGAAGCACTTCTCACACGTTTCACCACCAGTATGTGTAAAATTTGGGTACTGTAGTGGAATGTAATTCTCTATTGGTTTCGTTTATGTGATTTGCCACACAGTGATACAGTGTTATTTACTTGACGATGTTTCGAGCACAAATTATTGCTAATAATAATCATTTCAAAGTAATCACAAAAAGGACCTGACTACCACACAACGGTGCAAGTTGCCACATCTCATATCAGCGCATAAACCAAGAATGGAAAAAGATGAAAGGTAAATACACTAAGAATAGTGATTAAAAGTCGTCAAAAGACAGAAAAGAGGGATGGGACCACCGAAGGTCTGAATGACGATTAGGATGAAAATAATGTGTGGAAACATCTGCACCAGTGAGATTGATTTCAAGCCATATCGCCTAGAGTCTTCAACCATTAATTTCTGTTGTTACGTGGAGCCCAACTGGGAAGTCTACTTTTCCCTACGCGTCTCGGACAAATAGTCAAAGACTTCATGAACTGACGATATTTTTTCCTTTTCTTGCCTCTAACCTTCTATCCTGAATCCACTCCAACCAGCATTGTGCGACGAGACAGACAGTGACTAAGTATGTGCAACACGTCCCAACCACTTGAGTCGATGAAGGTACACAACCTCGTCCTCTGCCTAAAACCCCACATCTGACTTCTGCGTTACTGACTTGGTGGTAACGTGACACAGTTTATGGTACGAAACCAACAGTGGTCGAACACCTAAAGCCTTCTCATGTCCTCTACTTTTAATGGCTATGTTTCACAGCCATTTAGTAGAACAGAGCCAGCTGCAGCGCATTACACTCTACGCTTAATCGATAATCCGATATTGTGAAGCTGTGGCTCATTCGTTTAGACAGTTGACTTTCAGTCAGCGGGTCACGGCTTCGAACTTCTATGACGAAGTCAAATGGGAATAATGACGGTGAACATATCTGGGGGATGCCACTAGTTGTCGTCAGTTCTGTTGACAACTGTCCATAAGCCCTTACACGGCTGCGTGAGTTCGTGTAAAGAACTTTAATTGACGTCATATACTTGCTCGGCACTCCTTTCACAATCAGGCGCTGCCACAGTATCTCACAGTCGACAGAGCTAAATATCGTCTTCAAGTCAAGAAATATGGCAAGTGTCGGCCACTGACCGATGGTAATAATCAAGGACCTGTCAGAGGGTGAAAATATCGATGTACCGTCGTCAAGTTCTGAAACCTGCATGATTTTCCCGAGTTTCCTGTTCTCGACCTCCAGTTAGACGTCGGATAACTATGGACCATAGGATCTTGGACGCTATTAGTCAAACTAATTCCCATATGGTTGTCAAAAGATTTCTCTCCTTTCTTATAGAACGGAATGATCGGTGAAGTACACAGTCTGACGGCATTACCTCTGGTTCCCATACACTAAGTAACACTGTCGTCACTAATAGGCGACTTCCTACCTCCATCCATGAGAAATTCGGCTGACAAACCATCAGGTCCTGCTGATTTGCATTGTTCCAAGTTCGACACATACTTCTCAACTTTAAGGAGAGTTGGAAGAGATCTACGTCCCATTCAGGTTCAGGTTGGATGTTAGGCAACTGGAGCGTTGCTGAGGATGACTAAGAAGAGATCAGCTGAAAATCAATAAAGCGAAACGATGGTCAGACATTTGGTCAACAGATGGTCACAGTATTTATTTGTAAAGGTCAACATGTTATGGAGAAAGAGAAAACTCATCCCCATCGAGTAACCAATTACCTCAAGGTCGGCAACTGTCCTATATGAAGATCAGTGCAACTTAAAATTGATTCACTTTCTTATGAGGTGCTGAGAAAGTTTCTTAGGTTGGTGACGGGACGCCCAAGAACAAACTTCAAAGCTCAGAGAACACCAAACAGTTATCATTATCCTGAAATACAAGTCTTCGCTAATATGTCGAAAAATTTCCAAGATCTCAGGATGGTATTTATCAGGAACAGATATCAGTTCGGGGCTCTGGCCAGTTGTTTCGTCGTGGAGTAGTTATTGTATAGACGATGGTACTATCGCTTGACGTCTAGATGAACCTAGATTAAAGTAACGGGGTCGATATTCGCTCCGAATAAAACGCGGTATAAGTCCATGAAATGTGACTTATTGTTTAGGTCGTGTGATGTAGTACACGTTTTTAAACAAGATACTGAAAATGACAGTTGGAGACTAGCTGGTATAGCTGAAAATCGATTTAGTGTCTGAGAAGCACCTACAACTTGTTTGCAGTTCGTTATTTACTCTAACCAGCTTATTTCTAAAGCTTTAGGTGACTATATTCCCACTTGTTTTGTGGTTCATTAGCTTAGGAACTTGACTTTTAATCAGTAGGTCCTGGGCTCAAACTATGCAACGACCGCGAACAGTGGTGCGCAATGAAGGCCAAAGAGATGGAATAGGCAGTACCGATTGGTAACAGTATACAGTCGTTTAGACTTGTTAAGGAAACTGTGGGGAAAAGGTCAACAACAATGAGACCATAACGTAGGAGGATGGGTCTGCCATTCACTCGCAGGGGAGACGACTGGAACGATTACCAGAACACTTCAAGGAACAGTTTAACTGGCCTCTAGCCACCATTGCGTTGCCTGCTATCCAGTCGAACTCTGAGTGGAACATTGAGATAGCCCCCCCCCCCCCAACACTTGCGAAAGTCGAGAAAGCTGTAGGCAACTGGAAACGAGGAAGGGCTGCAGGGCCAGACGGACTAACTCCTGAGTTATACAAGGATGGTGATAAGGTGCTCTTAGTTAGGTTAGCCGGTGTTAACCAGTATATGGGAATCAAATGCAACCCCATTTGACTGGTCTGAATCACTGATTATTCCAGACTTCAATAACGGCGAGAAGTCCTCTTGTGATAACCACGGAGGAATCAGCGTGACGAAAATAGTATCTAAAATACTAGGTTCTGTAATTCTTCGATGCCTGGATGGAGCGTGCGAACACCAAGCCCGAGAAAACCAGGCAGGATTTAGACCCTGTCGAGAGTGTATTGACCAAATATACTGCGCCAGGTTGTGTAACACAGGCACGCTTACCGACACCCGACAATAGCTGTATTTCTCAACCTGTTAACAGCTTTCGACTCAGGTGATCGGTAAGTCTTATGGCAATGTCTCACTGAAACGCGTGGCGAGTAAGTACATCACCTTATTGAAGGCTGTCTACTCGAACACTTGTAGGCGTGTTAGAGCCTATAGTGAGTTCTCCGGGGAGCTGTACTCATCGAGTAGTATCCACTAAGGCTGCCCACTCTCTCTATTCTTATTCAATTTCATCATACATATTCTTATGGAGGTCTCCCTCTCGTCACCTGACTACACAGAGGTTGACCTAATCACAGAAGAATTCTCGTTAGACCTAGAATACGCAGATGACATAGTCCTGTTAGGTGAAGATGCTGACAAGATGCAGAGTCTTGTTGACACTGAGTGGGAATTTGAGAATGTTTGGGATACGTTCCTCACCACCCAAATGCAAATCCGTCACGTCTCCATAGAACCCAACCCAACGTTAGTATGACTTGGCGGTGCTACGGCCGAATACAAGCCATAATGTACAAAAGCAGTGCTGAAATGCGTAGCTATTCGATCCCCTCAATTCAGAGTGGCTAATGACATGCACCTAACTTTATCCAACTAAGCAAGCGATGCTGACTCCTTTGATTGCTAAGGTGTTTCGGCTTTTGTCTATCACATCAATGGCATGACTTCACATTTCATGCTTTAGCTATTTCAAAAGATTTATTTTCAAATGGAAGTATGAAGGTAAAAGTATGCAACTTTTCAGTTACATCACACACTTCGATGATGCTTATGCATTGTAATTCTCAGGCAGTAACGTGAAACAAAGTCACCTGGGATTTTCAAAAGAAAATAGTGCGCCAGCTTACGAAAAATAATTTACCCCGGCAGTTTTATCACATTCATATGGAGGTCTCCCTCTCGTCACCTGACTACACAGAGGTTGACCTAATCACAGAAGAATTCTCGTTAGACCTAGAATACGCAGATGACATAGTCCTGTTAGGTGAAGACGCTGACAAGATGCAGAGTCTTGTGGACACTGAGTGGCAATCTGAGAATGTTTGGGATACGTTCCTCACCACCCAAATGCAAATTGTTACTCGAGGATTGGTCTTTAACAGTGCATCGGCTAACAATAGAGAGTGTAGTGGTTGAGTGTGTCGACCAACTTCACTTACCTGGGAAGTAGGATCAACCCTGGTGGCTCAGTAGCTGACGAAATTTCTGCACGAATACAAAAGGCTCGACTGGCTTTCACCAAATTGCGCCACCGTGATATCCGATTGTCAATTAAGGGTCGCATGTACTGCACCTGCACAGCAGTCCGCTCTGTCCTACTGTATGCCTGTGAAACATGGCCATTGAAGGTGGAAGAGATGAGAAGGTTGGCTTCAGCAGTTTGACCACCGTTGCCTTCGTAGTATAGACCATATTCCATGGTGTCACCACGTGAGTAATGCAGAAGTCAGGTGTAGAGTTTTAGGAAGAAGAGGTAAATCAGTTGACATGGTTGTGAACCTTCATCGACTAAGATGGTTGGGACACGTGTTACGTATGCCTAGTTGCCGTCTGCCTCGTCACACAATGTTAGTCGAAGTAGGTTCAGGCTGGGAAAAGGCTCGAGGTGGCCAGACTAAAACATTGCGTCAATGTATGAAGTCTTTGACTGTTGGCTTGAGCCATATGGGGCGATGCAGACTAGGTGGTTTGGATCCGAGGGACAAGAGGAACCAGTGGTTGGAGACTCTCGGTGATATGGGTCAGAATCGAAGTCAGTGGCGCAGATGTATACACACATTAACCTCATCCCAACGCTATACCGAATGTTACCATTTTCTCATTCTTCCATTCTCTCATTTGGTACTTTATATTTCTTTTGACTGAGTTTTCTTTTCTTCATCTTCCACTTCATCGTCTTTTTACTTGATGTACTGACATGAGGTGTGGCAACTCGGACAGATACGCAGTAATGCATGGTCCTATGTTGATGATGATGTTCTTGATTTACAAAAATCTTTTCCTGAGTGGTTATCAGCTTTCAAGAAAAGTGTATTGCTGTGTGTTCTCGGCTGTTTCTTGTGATGCAGTTTGTTTTGATTGTTATACCCCAATATTTTAACATCTTATTTTTTATTACTAGGATGACATCGAGATTGTTTGTTCGAAACTTTTGAAAGTTCGTGGTGTGGTCAGTATTACATTCCAGTTGCATAAACATCGCGTCCTCGTTTGTACGATACCTTCATTAGACCCTGAATGTCTTGTTCGTGCAGTATCCTCAGTTAATTATTCTGGTCAATCTGATGGCGCACGTAAAACAGACTCTATGCATCCTGCAATTACAGCTCAAATCGTGAAGAAAAAACGCAGAGTGTAAGTGGATTTTACTGAAAAATTCATGTTTTCTTCCTATAGAGGATAAACAAATCAAGATAAATCTTAGTATAGAAAGGCAAACGTTCAACTACTTACACTTCACAACAAAGTGATCGAAAAGATTTGTTCAAACAAGTCAAAGTGTATAAAATGACAGGAATTAAATAATCGAAATGAAGAATGTTCAAAATTACGATGATAAAGAGTGAATGCATTTGTATAATTGTGATCCATTTTGAACCATTTCACTACAAATCTCCAGTAATTAATTCTTTACATGTTTAGGACCCCTAGCCAGGCAACTAAAATTACTCAAATCAACAGTTGGAAACTTCACAGATCTTTCCTACATTTTAGTTTGACCATCTTTAGTTTCATTCAGTCCAACCCAATCCTACTCTTAATAACGTTACACATCGAGGTATTTGGTGCGTTGGTATACAGGACATAGCTAGATCACCTCAATCGGTAAAGGTCCATAACTTCATGGATTGGCTTGCCTCTCTTACCTGGTATTTTACGCCTGACTCGATTGTTACTCACTGTTTCCGACATTATGTGTGCGACTCTACGGAAACACCTATGATCAAACATCCATAACTGCATGTATCCTACCTCTAATGTCTATATCTGAGCTGTAGAGGAAGACAGAAAAAAACTAGGAAGATGTAATTTTCTTCTAATATGTAGCTGGCTATTTCATCAGCACAATAGTTGGTGGTGGAAGTCGAAAAATACCAGATAGACCTTTCACATCCAGGTGGCGATCCCATTGGCAACCACCACCTCCTTAAGGTTGATGTAACTTCTTAAGTGAAGTGATAAACGCATTCTCTCAATATACTCCTTACTCTCTAGACAGAACTTTGTGCAGTCTTGTCTTTTTGTAGTTTATCAGTTTATTATTCAGTTTTTTTTTCAATCTTGGGTGGTGGATGACATTGTCAAAGTGATATTCCCCAGAGTTGCTCGAATCGGTCAACGTTTAGGTGTTTTTTGGGTGACACTAGACATATTTTTGAAAACTTTACTATTGACAGCACACACGTATTGCCAGGATCATCATCACCAACATGGAACCAAGCATTACTGCGTATCTGTCCGAGTTGCCACACCTCATGTCAGTACATCAAGTAAAAAGACGATGAAGTGGAAGATGAAGAAAAGAAAACTCAGTCAAAAGAAATATAAAGTACCAAATGAGAGAATGGAAGAATGAGAAAATGGTAACATTCGGTATAGCGTTGGGATGAGGTTAATGTGTGTATACATCTGCGCCACTGACTTCGATTCTGACCCATATCACCGAGAGTCTCCAACCACTGGTTCCTCTTGTCCCTCGGATCCAAACCACCTAGTCTGCATCGCCCCATATGGCTCAAGCCAACAGTCAAAGACTTCATACATTGACGCAATGTTTTAGTCTGGCCACCTCGAGCCTTTTCCCAGCCTGAACCTACTTCGACTAACATTGTGTGACGAGGCAGACGGCAACTAGGCATACGTAACACGTGTCCCAACCATCTTAGTCGATGAAGGTTCACAACCATGTCAACTGATTTACCTCTTCTTCCTAAAACTCTACACCTGACTTCTGCATTACTCACGTGGTGACACCATGGAATATGGTCTATACTACGAAGGCAACGGTGGTCAAACTGCTGAAGCCAACCTTCTCATCTCTTCCACCTTCAATGGCCATGTTTCACAGGCATACAGTAGGACAGAGCGGACTGCTGTGCAGGTGCAGTACATGCGACCCTTAATTGACAATCGGATATCACGGTGGCGCAATTTGGTGAAAGCCAGTCGAGCCTTTTGTATTCGTGCAGAAATTTCGTCAGCTACTGAGCCACCAGGGTTGATCCTACTTCCCAGGTAAGTGAAGTTGGTCGACACACTCAACCACTACACTCTCTATTGTTAGCCGATGCACTGTTAAAGACCAATCCTCGAGTAACAATTTGCATTTGGGTGGTGAGGAACGTATCCCAAACATTCTCAGATTGCCACTCAGTGTCCACAAGACTCTGCATCTTGTCAGCGTCTTCACCTAACAGGACTATGTCATCTGCGTATTCTAGGTCTAACGAGAATTCTTCTGTGATTAGGTCAACCTCTGTGTAGTCAGGTGACGAGAGGGAGACCTCCATATGAATGTGATAAAACTGCCGGGGTAAATTATTTTTCGTAAGCTGGCGCACTATTTTCTTTTGAAAATCCCAGGTGACTTTGTTTCACGTTACTGCCTGAGAATTACAATGCATAAGCATCATCGAAGTGTGTGATGTAACTGAAAAGTTGCATACTTTTACCTTCATACTTCCATTTGAAAATAAATCTTTTGAAATAGCTAAAGCATGAAATGTGAAGTCATGCCATTGATGTGATAGACAAAAGCCGAAACACCTTAGCAATCAAAGGAGTCAGCATCGCTTGCTTAGTTGGATAAAGTTAGGTGCATGTCATTAGCCACTCTGAATTGAGGGGATCGAATAGCTACGCATTTCAGCACTGCTTTTGTACATTATGGCTTGTATTCGGCCGTAGCACCGCCAAGTCATACTAACGTTGGGTTGGGTTCTATGGAGACGTGACGGATTTAATCTGTTGTAGTTCTGTGGCCTTAATATTTTCTACTTGAGAAATTCTATTAAATTTTGTTACTGTATGTTGTTCGGATGCTGAGTCTTATCACGAGATGTCAGACTACAACGCAGAAATGTAAGATAAGTAATAGTTCCGTGGAGATTTTGACTAAGGTCTTAGTTTGAGGTGTTTTTCCATTCAGTCAAAAAGTTACCATTTTTAACCGAACACTTTTATTTTCTCATACATAAACGGTACAGTGAAGTCCTACCTACATACACTTCATGCGAGTCATTGCCTTAGCACAAGAGTTACACATGTAGAGACTGTTGACACTAGAATACTCTGGCTTTAAATAAGTAGAACAGGGGCCAGTTCTGTAAGATACTAATCAATAGCCAAGAGTGTAAACTAACGGAGCACAACTGCATGAAGTTCTTTGTGAGCTAAAACACACTTGTGACATCTTTGGTCTGGAAATTTGTAAGTCAGTCAAAAGATTATTACTCTACATATCTTGAACGGAATCGATATTTTGTCTGGGATGTTATTGTATGAAATAGCATGTTATCAAAATGTTGTAGAGCAAGCATTAGCTAGATGGTCTCCCGTAACAAATGAATACCTGTTGGACAACAAATTTACAATATCAATAAGTATAGTCGCCTGTTGCCTCGAAGCGCATAGACCACCTGATAATAGATTGACTGTTGTATGTGGTGTTTAAGACGTGGATGACTTTCCATCATTACTTTTTTTTAGATGCAAGTTACGAATAAATGCACCTAACTGTTGGAAACTTTATTTCTTAATAATTAAATTTACTCACATATTTGTTATTCTCAGACAATCTCTATGCAGACATAGTTCGTTCAACGGGCTGAAATACAAACAAAACGTACGAAATTCTGAGATGCCACCATATCTAGAAGATGATGCTGATCTTTTCGAGGTCGATGAGACAAGAGCAGCGCCTAAACTGAGGAGTAGTCCAACAGAACTGGATTCTTCTAAAGGACCATTAGATTGGCTATCAAACTTTCTTGAGAAATCGCTTTTCTGGTAACTAACTCAGTCACCGTGTTTTATAGCATCTATTCCATCAACCATTATTACTGTTACAACACATTTATTCACTGCAGTTAAGTGAAACAAGATGACTAGACTCTTTGCGTTATTTTTGTAACCTAGGTTTTATTAAAATAAATTTACAAGACTATCGTAGTGTTTTGCTTTGTGAGAAAATACCGTCAGGTTAAATGTTACTGCTTCATGCTTAGTAGTTGCCACTATCTTGGCCTTGTGTGCAGAGTAAGTAGAAATCTAAAAAGTGATAAGTTTACATACAATTCGAATTATTGGATATGGTTGTGGATTTGAGTCGCTTGAAACTGCGATAAGTTTACCGAAGATATCTTTTCTCGGAGATCTCAATATGTACAATCGGGACTACTGATCTTTTTTCACTAGGTTTCATCAAACAATTTTTGTAGCTATGAGATATAATGGAAGAAAACGTATGAAATTGCGACCAGATGGAATCAAATGAGGAAAAAAAAAGACATACTTGCTTAACCATCTATTTTCTGCAATGAAACACTTGAAGCTCACATCATCAGTACTGTTGGTTGAGGTAAGGTGAAAGAAGTTTTACGAAAGTAAGATTAAGACTGCCTACCTCAGGTGTTGATTATCCTGCTACATAAAAAGCTGTAGACTTGGTTTAATAAAGTTAAGGGCGTTACTTCTTAAAGGCTATTTGCGGATGCAAGCACTCTATCCAACTGTAATTGTATGTGAACTAATTGTGTGTTCTTCGCCGTATTTGCTTCAGTTATTTGGATAGAAGCAATGAGATTCTTTTAGACAACTGTATGCATTTATTTCCGGTGAAAATGTCCAATTTAGATTAACACTAGTTCACCGGTTATTTTAGTATTTGTTCACACTTACTACGTTGCACTAAAAACAGTCTTTCACCTAAAGATGATAGGATATGAAACACAACGGCAAACTAGACATTTTGATAAGTAGCTTATGTTGTTTTCTCTGGTCATGTCACCAAGCTAAACGACTCATCTTTGCTGTATTGTTTATTTGGTACCGAGTAGCTAGAGACATACGACAGAACTTCATACTGATTGTATTTAAGCAACTAATAGAGTGCATTTATATCGTCTTCTAATGGAATTAGCACTCACATACGTCAAGGATGTGATACAGTTAATATAAATGTGAAATACTTATCATTTAAAGGAACTCTATTAAGGAAAAAAACAAATGCCACCACACCATGTGAGTACAAACCCAAACAGTACTGTATAGGCCAACACTGAATTCTTGTTAAATATGTATATTTGTGTACTTGGAGCCGAGCTTCTAGATGGCATAAATCCAAAGATACTATTTCAATACATCGCTACAATTGTGAATTGCGTCCATCTGAATGTACGACGACAGATAATATAACCATGAGTATATTGTCTTACGCTGATTTATTCATTCAGTGTATTAAAGAGATGGCATCGATTCATGAAGTCCTTGACTGTTCATTTGAGCCATGTAGACTAGCCTGTTGGAGTCCCTGGGGCAAGAAAAACCAGTGGTTGGAGACTCTAGGTAATGTATCATGGCTGAGAACCGATGTCAGTGGCGCCGGTGTATACACATACCCACAACCTAACTAATATACTTAATATCATTTTCTAATTCCTTTTCCCTTTCTTTTACTGCTTCTTAATTCTTTTGACCGATTTACCCTTCTTTTTCATCTTTATTTTATTGTCTTGTTACTGGATGTGCCGATATGAGGTGTAGCAACTTGGAACGTTAACCTCACCTGGTTAACTAGTTACTAGCCGGTCCTAAGCCCGGGTAAAAAGGGAAGGTTGGGCATAGCGCTAGCAACCCTACCCCATAAAAAAAATCTAACCGCTAAAGAAACTTCAAAGCACAAACAAAATATAAAAAGTAAAAACGAAATTATTCCTCGCGGGAATCGGACAGGCGAAATGACGCCAGCTGGTGAAAGCTTTCGGGAAGCCAATTCGCCGATGTGTCTTCTCTCCGTCGATGAAAGCGAAAGTAAACGTGGGGACATGGAATGTCCGCACCATGTATGAACCTAGCAAGGCTACCCAGATTGCCAAAGAGATCAGAAGGTATCACATTGAAGTGCTAGGAATTCGCGAAAATAGATGGAATGGGAGTGGACTCTCCAAACTGTCAACTGGAGAATCAATAATCTACTCTGATACTGTCACCCAGACAACAACCACGAGCACACTGAGTTTTCGACTGGCTATCATGATGTCCCCCTCCCAAGAGCATCGAAGGCTCTCATGCAGTGGGAACCAGTCTCCTCCAGCATCAGGATCACAGCAGCAAGGTTGAACTCAAAAGGCAGGAAAGTCACAATTGTACGATGCTACACACCTACAAATAATGCAGATGAAGAGAAGAAGGAGGAGTTCTGCAGACAACTGCATTCAACACTAGACAAAACTACAGTTGACTTAAGTCTTTGCAAGAACTGGCGTGGAATCATGCTTCTGTCCGCCTTAAGCAAAATATCTTGCCGCATCATCCTGGAGAAACTAAAAGATGCTCTGGATTCAAAATACGACCGGAACAGGCTGGTTGGATTCAGGAAGTACAAATCACGTGCGCCCAAAAGCTCAGCCATCTCTAGACTGCTTAGTATATCTCCATTAGGACCTGAGATAAGATTTGCTCCTTTGCTGATCGACTTCTTTTTGACATAAAGCGTTACAGATTTTGGGGTTACTTTTTAACTTTTTCGCCTGTCACTTGCGTTCGTTTTGGGTTGCACCCGATTTCCCAGTGGGTTTGTTATGGATTTTTTCTGGTTTTCTCGGTCGTAATGTCTAGTGCGTTTAGGTTGGATTTCGTCATGGATCTGGCGGACGGTGTCTTTTGACGTTCTGTGTGGTCGGGTGGGGTGATACGGAAGCCTGACTTAACGTGGTCTTCGCGCGCGGTGTTATGTGCATAACTGAAGAACTAGCTCTTTTCGGGTTCCTTTGTGTTACTTTTTGGTGTTAGGAGGTTGATAGATTTTGTGTGGTGGAAAGTATCTTTCTTTCGTGTGGAGTTCGGGGAGCTTCCTGCATTCTGGACAGATGTGCCAGAACCGTTTGCATGGTTGTCACTTCATGAACTTGTAGTAGTGTCACAGCAGCACTGTACCCACTGGTGGCGTAAATCGCATACGAATGCCTCATTGACTACTGATATGACTTTAGTGGAAATATTGCAGTCGTCAGATGTCACAGCGCAACCCACTTTCCTTGAAGATGATGCTTTAGTTTGTAGTGAACTGGTTGTGGCTGCCTTATTCTTGCGACTGCCATGCCATTTCCTCTTTTCAGACATAGTCTGATAGTCGCCCAGGGTGGGATTAGTTTGTGGCGTGTTAGGGCTACTCCGTGTCACCTGTTTGCTAGCGATTGGTATTCTAGAAACATGGATTGACCGCTTCTTTAAGAAACCGGTGTTCTGCCCTACCTCTTTTTGGCTGTAGATACAGACTAGAGTATTGTTTCGGGAGTCTCCTCTGGTGTATGGTCGCATTATTCGCGTCAATGCTTCAGACCTACGTTTTAGATCGGCAGGACAGTACTATGCAAATTTATATATATATATATATATATATATATATATATATATATATATATATATATAACAGTGGTAGAAATCAAAGATTGAATGGAGTGGAAGGAAAAAGCTCATAAAGGAAAAAAAATTACGTTGGCCTGCTTCCAGACATTTGTCACTTGGTTCTCTGTAGTAGGCCAATGAGTTTAACTGGGGGCCCCCAGATGCTTATGTAGGACCAAAAGAGATGTTTCCCGGGGAACGACCTCCAAAGAGAACTGAAAGCTAAGGAAGTTGGACAGCTGAAACAACCAAGAACCACTGACAAGAGGTAGAATGGTGGGTCCGAAGAATTAATAATGCTGATTTTCTCCTGTTGAGAGGTATCCTGACGAATGTGCGGTAGTTAAGTATGTGCAACTACAGGAGTGTTGCAAAACGGAATATTATAAATGAGGGATGTCAAATGTGGAGATATCCCCAAAAGGAGAGACAGGAACAGCTCACATCACCATTCGAAGTGCGTGCCATGTAAGAGAATGGAAACCGAATAAATCTTTCCTTCCTCATCTCATAGTTAGTTTATTTGACCAAAAGAATTAAATATTATTGAAGAAAGACTATTTCGCACCAGGAGAGATGTCAGCTCTGTTTGTCTTTTGGCATCCTTCGAGAAGCTTCGTGTTATTGACTGCTGTACTTGATAACTACTCAGTCAGTATCATTTTATGCTTCTAATTTTCGGTACTTTAGCAAAATGAAGTCATTTCCTTGTTGGTGAGTTTAAAACTGGTTTCCTAATGGCAATGCCAAGACGGCAATTCTTGAAGTCAGATAAGTTTGAAGCTAATATGGAATAGCTTCCAAACCTTCGAGTTTGCAAGAATGTATAAAAAAGCTGTTTCGGTTTCCTGTAGGCTTTCTTTCTGTCAGGTGGTATGGCTATGGATCAGTAACCTTGATGATAACCCATACATCTTTTGTGTTAGCCTGCACCGAAAACTGACATGTTTTTTCTCCTTGTTTAGTTTCATTTTTCTTCTATCAATTCTTACTTTATTTTTTATTTGAACCTGTTTTGTTGAAGTATATATGTTCTGGTGTAAAGTATGACAATTTTAATGAGTACGGAATTTCGTCTGTTCCTATTCTGCATACATCTGTTCGCCTTCTGCTCAAGTTCTATCCAGTGAAATGTAGGCTTTTATATTCAATGTCCATCAGTCTGTGAAATAATATTTTGCCTGATATGGTGATCTCGGCAACCAAATATAATAGTGTTGATTTAGAAAATAGTTCTTCTTGTATGTAAATTTATACGAACCCAGTGTTTCCAACATTTTTGTCGAATCTACCCAACTATATTTATTAGATTGCTACTGCTAGCTTTTTTGACGAAGGCAATCCGTATTGTCAGTTGGTTTTACATGTGTTGAACAGACATACAAAACCAACGTAGAACCTCCCACTGAAGAACATAGGCTCTAGTCATACTTCGCAGCAGCGTGCAAAGGCAAATGGGTAGAGAAAAAGTGATATTGAAATGCGCAAGGGCTTATAAAAGGAAAAGAAACGTAAAGATCAGGGTTAGTGAAAATGTCCAAGCTTTAGAAGATACTGAGGAGTGAATAAATCTGCATCATAGTGACGGATTTCTAGGCACGTCATGAAAAGTTTACAACCATTAATACCTGTCGTCTCAAAGACCCTGGCCAAGCAGCTTATACCCTACACAACTCAAACCACCAGTCACTGACTCCATGGATTGGCGCGAATTTTGGGTCTGGTCACTCTGAACCTTTTTCCAACCAGAACCTATTTCGGCTAACATTGAGCATCGAGGTGGACTGTAACTGGGCATGCACAACACATGTTCAAGCTACCTCAGTCACTGAAGGCTCACAATCTCACTGACTGACATACCTGCCTTACCTAGTACCCTTTCTCATAACCTCGAAATCGCTCACACGGTGATTCCATGTGTGAGCAATGCTACAAAGACGCTTGTGGTCAAAAACCTGTAATCTCTTCTTGTTTTCTTTCTTCAACTGCTGTTTCTCATAGCCATATGACACCATAAGGCGGACTGCCGTGCCGTGTGCTCATCCTTTAACAGGTAGTTGGATGTCTCGCTGGTGCCAGATATCACGCAAGTTGGCAAACGCCTAACGGTCCTTTTTCCGGGCTAAGATTTCGTCATCGACCACCCCGTTCGGGCTGATGCAACTTATCAAGTGAAATGTTCGATTCATTCTACTATACACTCCATATCCTGAGACTGGGAGTAGTTGCAGACCAGTCCTGAAGCGTCGTCTTATATTTCACAGTTGCGAAACTCATGGCAAACATACACAGATTTATCCTCAAAAGACCTTAGATTTTGTCAACTTCACCTAACGGGATAGTATTGTCTGCATGCTCCAAGTTAACTAAAAGCCCCGAGAGTAGACGAATTCCTGGGTAGCCAGAGGTGCATCGATAGCGAGGTTGAGCAGGAATGGTGACCACAGGCATCTGTAGTGGACACCATTGGTTGTTGTAAATTAAGGTAACGACTCCCCGTAAGTCCTTACACGACTGCGAGAGTTCGAGTACAGAGATTTGATTAGCGTCACATACTCAGTATGCCCCTCACAGTGAAACGCTGCTAAAACACATCATGGTCGAGAGTTAGGCGCCGCCTTCGAGTCAATAAATATGTAGAGCGTGACCACCGGTAAGTATGCTTTTGTTCCAGAACTTGTTAGTGGCTGAAAATCTGATCTATGTACCATTGTCCAGGTCTGAAACCCACCGGGTTCCAGTTAGCCATTGTTTAACTATGGCCTCGAGAATCTTGGATATGATGTAAGTCAAACTAGTTCTCCTGTTTGTTGCAATAAGACTTTTATCCTTTCTTAGAGAGCTGACACCAATGTCTCATCCTGCTTTGAAGCGTTACTGTAAGCCGGTTGAAGTATCCTTCAGAGTGCTTCACTCAGCACTCTGGCTGCCTATCCTGAGAGGCTATCACAGATGCATACTTTATGGCAATGATCTGACTAACCCTCGTTTTCTTTTTGCCAGTATCTTCAACAAACCAAAATAGCTTTCAAAATACTATCCAATACTGATGCCTTCTTTCTTTATCGCTTTCGCCATCCATCACCGCTCGTGACACTGCGGAGACTCTTGATCAATTTAAAGTTGAGCTGCTTTCGCTACTCATTGTGGTTAGAGCCAGCTGAAATGAGTCCTCTTGCACCAATCAGTTCGGTTGAATTTGCAAAATCCACAGACATATGCAAACTTTCGAATGCAGCCTACCAACTGTCTTTACCACTGTTTCTTAAAACAGATTAAATATCATGCCAGGTTTCATTAGAATGAAAATTGCCATCACCTTCAGATAAGTGCTTGGTTATCTCCTCTCTAATTGCGCAATTGACATTCTCATTTTCCAACGGAGCAAACTCAGGCTTCGCTGCCGCTTGTCTCCGGCGACTAGAGAGACCGGAGTCCTAACAGCTACTTCAGAAATAGCGATGTAAGCGGTTTCCAACTAGTCATGTCATTCAGAAGTAAATTTCATATCACTTTCACATACATTGGCTTCGGCAAACTGGCATTCTAATAACGGGTCAGAAAAAACATGTAGATCATAGTATAATACACAAACATGCGGGAGTTTATTGAGTTGTATACCTTTAATTTGCATTGTCTTTTAGGGGTCACTTATTTTTGCGCCTAGCAGCATTCTAACGGAATAAAGCAAGTTGTTAGTCGTTTGGATGTTACGAAGTGCTTATTTCTCAGTTTCGCAATCTTTATTTGTAAACATCGTATTTAGTTACCAGATTAGTATTACTAGACGTTTTAAATCTAGGATAGTATAGTTTCTAATCTACCCCGTGAACTTCTAATGGATGAAGTCGAATAGGGGAATTGATCTTCACACAATTTAGAAATATGAAAATATGTATAATGAGTTACACTGGGGAGTAAATAAATCTTTATTGTAATTCTGTATAAATTGTTCTCAAGAAAGTTTATGAAGATTTGTCATATTTGATGAGTTTTATTTTGATGAATTGTCTTATTTTTCGAATTTTTTCGGATTAAGGTTGATTTATATGGGAATGGTATAAAGTCAGTGCTTTTTACTAGCCATCATGGAACAATATTCATGTATGATCACCATGGAAATCTGCTGTCACATTTTCAAGTAAGTCCTACCATATCAAATAAAATCATTACAGCAATCTTCCTACTTTTATAATCCCCTACAGTCTATGTACATTAGAAACTACCCTTTGATATCATTATATATATATATATATATATATATATATATATTTCGCAGACTAGTATTGATACAGGGTGGTGATTGAAGGTGAAATGAAAATTTGGACCGCGGTCGGATTCGAACCCGATAGTCGCTGGTTACGTTTCTGTATTTTGTTCAAAACATCCTTTCTAACCAAAATACTAAAGCCTGACTGATTAATTTAGCAGTTGCTAGGGTGGTCACCCTAAAATTTGTGAGCGGTTAACTCATTGCTTTCCAACATTTTTATTGGATTCTCATTTTTTTTTGTCTGATGTTTTAGGAAAACCAAACGTGACCTTAATTGTCTTCGATGTACCTAAACTGAACTAAAGACCTTTTGGCCTAAATATTTTCTTTCGTGAACAAAATCATGTGTTAAATGAAGCATGCAATAGTAATATACCTTGTCAACTTTATATTGTAGGATAACGATGTTTGTTACTAAGCCATTCTAAAAGGTTTCCTTACCAGTATTAGAAATGTAACAGTTAGCCTCAATAGTCTATGGGTTGGATTGAGTTGTTGACACTATCATTTGTATGCTGTGTTGTTGAATCATGTAGACCTATTGCAGGTATTGATAATAGTCATGTATAGTGTATTGTATTCCCAGGACTTGTGCAACATTCATAATTTCCTCTCGGTTGACTCCGTTAAGTAGTTTTAGAAGTTATTCAGACTTATGACTCCCGTCTGTGTGGTGATATCTCAAGAAAAGCGCACAAATGTTATGATCTAACGGTATATGATAAACGATACAACACTCCGAGACGAATACAATTAACGATAGAACAATGACTTCTCAACTCGATATTCAGCCAACACTAGAAGGAGACGAAACTGAAAATTTACTCACTCCAGCAGAATGAATCTATGTGAAAACTCAGTCGTTTATATATCCTTAGATGGCCTTGGCCAGAGAAAACAAAATAGCATATTCAAAGTGTAAAATTGACCAATCAGCGTTTAGTATCCTAAACTGCGGTAAAAATAAGAAACATACCGTACAAATGGCGCGAAAATAAGGCTTAAACATCACAGTGATAATATAGAAAATGCTATAAATTAATTATTTTATGGATTGGCCATCCCTAACAAATGTTTTCTAATCCTTTGGGTCATGTTTGAAGCAAATAATCTGCAGAAGTAGACTGGAAAAGCAAGGTGATTAACAATAGAACTAAACAATATTTGACAGGACGTTTGTCTAATCATCACGCATTTACGCCATTTTTTTGAATACTGTCAATCTTAAAAACAAGTAGAGTTGGTGGGGTGATATATTGTCAGAAAATGAACCTAATCAAAGAAGCTTAGAAACTTTTAGGGATTCTCCCCAATATATTAGTTGTATTACTTGCTCATTGTTCTACCTACGTAAATAATAAACAACATGAAACTGAAAAGGGATTTCGTAGGTTTATAACTATCTATGTCAATGGTTTTGGCAGAAAAGACGGCGAAAACGGGACTTCAAGTGCACGTAAAGAAGACAGAGGTGATGAAGATACCCAACCAACCAACAACAATCACCAATCACCATCAACGGGAGAAATCTAAAGCAAGTTGTCTCTTTCACCTACCTAGGCAAGAAAGAAAGCTTGCGGGCAGTGGTGGGATCAGGTTAAAAGGAGTGCAGAGAAGAGAGTGAAATGGCGACATGCTACTGAAGCCATATGTTCCACTAGGAACCCAAAGGACAAATAACAATACTGATAAATAATGTCAATAGTTGAAATATACTTTATTTAGAATACTCACTAGTCTAAGAAACCAGTTTATATTGCTTCAAATTGTGTAGTGGAGGTCACAGTAAAGCGTAAACTAGCTACGAGCCTTGGTTAAAGAAAGACTGTTGAATGTGGTGGTATTGCATTCTCTGAGCTAGAATAAACAATCCACCTGAACTAGTACAGTAGATAACTTTATCATCGATGCAATAATAATCTTCAAGGTATTCGAAGTTGATTAAGATGGTATCTGGAATTTAGTAATATAGTAGGAGATTTTTGTAAACTTTCGGTTGAAGAAATAATGAAGCATTTTTACTATTGTAACTGCTTTTGAAGCATGGTAATGTGTTTATATTTAGTATACTTAGATTGTCGATCTAACATAGTAGTCATATACGGTAACCAATAGTCAGACAGACAAATAAACAAATCAACTTGAAACCTGGAAGAGAAGAGAAGTGCGTCACTTCAAGTTGCTACATTTCATAGCTGCGTGCAAGGAGGAAGTGTACTGAAAAGGTGATGTTAAAGTAAGGATATGAGAGGAAAGGGAATGAATAGATTAACGTTAACAAAATGTCCAAGACTTTGAAGATATCGAAGGTACGTCTACGACACTGTGACTGATTTTGAGATATGTCACCAAAAGTCTCTAACCATTGGTTCCTATGATCTTTGGAATCCCAATCAGAGGGTTTACATCTCCCTGCATGCCTCAGACTAAGAGTCAGTCAGAGACTTTCATGCACTAATGCAAATTTTTAGTGTGGTTACTATAGTTCTTTCAACCCTCGCCTACTTCGGCTAAGATTGTGCATTGAGGTAGGTAGTGACTCAGCATGCATAACATATATCCAAGCCACCTGAGTTGTTGAGGTTTGACAACTTCATTGGTTGTCTTGTCTTCCTTGCCCATATTTATAGTAATCAGTAGTTGGATTCAGTTTGTTTATATTACCTGATATCAAACTCATCAAATATATCCTTCAATATTTTAACAGATGTTGATATGTTTACATTGAAACTTGAACGCAATATCTATACTTCCAGTGGTAACAATCTAAAATATATAGGATAAATTGTCACTATATTTCTTCATCTGTCTCTGTTGGTATAGCATTCTTTGGGAAAATGTGTCTACGGTATTCATCTTTATCTCATTTATTTCACACTGTCGTGCAACGAAAATGCGTAAACAACCACTGTGGTTCTGTAATTTAAGTATTCAACTGTTTTACTGAATTATATATATCATCACACTTTCAGTTTGAACTGTACGTATGAAGTGAGGCTGAAAGTTATCACCATACTTGTTATAGGACATAGGGTTCTGTGCTCAAATTCGCATTTTTTTTCTTCTCTCCTCTGTATGCATATTTTGCCTATTTGTATAGCTTCTAAAGCGCCCTCTGTCACTGAATCATCATCATTACCGAAATCAACATAGGACCAGGGATTACTGCGTAACGATCCAAGTTGCCACAGCTCATATCACTATATCAAGTAAAAAGGCAGTCAAATGAAAGATGAAGATAAGAAAACTCAGTCAAAAGATGTATAAAGTACTGAAAAAGAGAAAGGAAGGGTGAGAAAATGATAAGATTCGGTATAGCATCGTTAAGATGAGGATAATGTGTGTATACATCTGCACCACTGACATCGGATCTCACCCATCATACATCATCTAGAGTCTCCCACCACTGGTTCCTGTTGTCCCGCGGACCCCAACCAGCTAGTCTACATCGCCCCACATGGATGAAACCAACAATCAAAGACTTCATACATTGATGCAATGTTTTAGTCTGGCCACCTCGAGCCTTTTTCCAACCTGAACATACTTCGGTCAACATTGTGTGACTGAGTTTTCGGTGACTAGGCATACGTAGTACGTGTTCCAACAATCACAATCGATGAAGGTTCACAACCGTGTCAACTGACTTTCCTCTTCTCCCTAAAACTCTACACCTGAGCATGACTTCTGCGTTGATCAGGTGGTGACACTAGGGAATACAGCCTATATTACGAAGGCAACGGTGGTGAAACACCTGAAGCCAGTCAGCCATCCATCCATCCATCCTTCTGATGTCTTCCACCTTCAATGGCCATGTTTGACAGTGATAGAGTAGAAGAGAGTGGACTGCTGTGCAGGTGCAGTACACATGACTGTTACTAGGTAATCGGATATCACAGTTGCGTAGTTAAGCGAAAGCTAGTCGAGCCTTTTGTATTTGTGCAGAGATGTCATCGGCCATTGAGCCAGGTATCAGGGCTGACCTCATTTCCCAGGTAAGTGAAGTGGTCGACACACTCAACCACTACAGTCTCTACTGGTCATTGAATCACATTTTATGTCATTTATTCATGTGAAAGTAGTTTTTGCACTTTCACGCCCCAGTTGGGATGCGAGTACATTTATTTATGAATTATTATTATTTGCCCTTTGGGTTCCTAGTGGAACATACGGCTTCAGTAGCACGTCGCCATTTTACTCTCTTCTCTGCACTCTTTTCAACCTGGCTCCACAACTGCCCACAATGCTTTCATTTCTTTCTCACACCACTTTCTCTATGTCACCCTTGGGCGAATGGTGATCACAAGTCAAAGTTATTTAGTTAGTTAGTTCAGTCTTCAAATCGTAGCTAAAAGGATTTATGATTACAGTTTTCACTTCAAGATATATACTTACCAAATGAAGAAACTAACTATTTGCGTACAAAACACTATAACACTTGGAGATAACTTTTAGCCTCCTCCATATAACAAGTAAAAACAAGAAATTTTTAAAAATCATATTCATATTATTTTTTTCAATCTAGATTCCTGATGTCGTGCTTGATCAAAAGGCTTTACTTACTGAAAATATGAATAAGAATCTGGTGGATTTAGTACGTTGGTTTCCTCTTGAAAAAGGATTATCAGTGGATAACAAAACGGTTTGTGTTTTATCAAATCCATTGGTCTATATTTCTTTATTTTAAAATAATTCAGTTTACCTACTTGTAGAAAAGTTTGGGATTGTTTTCAAAGTTTTCAGAAGACGTGTGTTGTACATGTGTCTTTCAATGGTGTGCATAAAAGGGATTTTCGAGATGAATTTCCTTCAGTTCTAATGGAAAGTTTAACCTATGGTGTTAACGAAAAGGAAAATTGACATCTACTGATGATGATAATAGGTGATTAGTGTTCTACATGTTAAGCATTCGGTTACAGTTTATCCGTTGAATAGGGTCTGAAAAGCCCAAATGTGGTATTATGAGTATGCAGTGTTTGAGAGAAGTTGTAAACCAGAGAAAGTAGTCAACTATACCACAAAGTTTTCAGATGGTGTCGGTTCTCGGTGGAGACGTTTTTCAGGTTTGCTAGTTCGTTATTGACCTTTCAAAGGGATTTCCAATTTATTCACGTAGATGTTTCTTCAAATACAGTGACTTTTTTCGTATTACCCTCATTAACAATCAGATTTCGGGGTTCATATCTACATATAATATATGCACTAAGCGTTTATTTCATTGCTACATGTATGGCTAGTGCTTACATATCATAGTTTCGACAGAATTGTTTTCAATAGAAATCATTTGCAGAATAAGCCTTGTTTGAGAATGATTAGTGAATGTTGTAGAATGTGTAAAATAATCTATAGGGTATCGTACTCACCACATTATTTATATTGGTAGTTGACAGGCAGTAACTAAAACAGAAATCATCATTCTGAGTCATTGATCACTGAGATGCAAGATTTCTAGGTTCGATTTTTCGTCTATGCCTTTGTATGATCAGGATAACCTTCTTAAAGGAATAAGTTTTCAGTTGACCAGTGACAATGGTTTGATTAGCCTTTTCCCTGAAGTTCAGTAGTGTAATTAGAAGATGAAGTTTATCTGAACAGTGTAATGCATTTCCGCAATATATTTCGAACAATCTGATCATACACACATTTATTTGTCAAGTCAGTTTATATTAAATTGAAGAGTGGGAGGACAAATGCAACAATTAAGATAAACAAGGGGATTAAAATTAAGAAAGATGAGAACAAACAGGAAGTGACTTAGTTGATCCTTATCTTGGTAAGAAAACAAAGTTTACCAAGGGTAGGTGTTGTGTAAGAACAAATTGTTTTTGTACACATAAAGGTGGTTTCAATTTGTGTATGGCTGATGCTTCCGCAAATCAGTATACATCCCTGACTATTTCTATGATATATTTACCTATAGATGAAGAGAGTCGTCTCCCACTAGCGTTTATCAGTTTCACACTATTTGTTTTTGAAGCCATTACTCCCAGGTTTCCAATATTCCTTCAATTGACGTCAGTTTCTGATGAATACCAACTTGAAAAATCACTTATTAAGAGTTCAGTGTGTCTAAATCGATGAACCACATTTCTAAACATTTGACCATTTTGGCAAAGAGATATCAAGTAGAGTTATTCTTCGCTCAATCTGCCTTTTTCTAATATCATTCATTTCAACAAAATCAGATTCATGCAGTCTGAACAACTTAGCTATGGATTATATGGGGATCAGTAATAGACCATACTACAGTTCAGTCTCTCATCATCAATATATCAACATACGACCAGGCATTATTGCGTAACGGTCCGAGCTGCCACAACTCATATCACTATATCAAGTAAAAAGGCAGTCAAATGAAAGATGAAGATAAGAAAATTCAGTCAAAAGAGATAAAAAGTACTAAAAGAGGGGAAGGAAGGATGAGAAAATGGTGAGATTTGGTATAGCATCGTTAAGATGAGGATAATGTGTGTGTACATCTGCACCACTGACATCGGTTCTCAGCCACCATACATCATCTAGAGTCTCCCACCACTGGTTCCTGTTGTCCCGCGGACCCCAACCAGCTAGTCTACATCGCCGCACATGGATGAAACCAACAGTCAAAGACTTCATACATTGATGCAATGTTTTAGTCTGGCCACCTCGAGCCTTTTTCCAACCTGAACATACTTCGGTCAACATAGTGTGACTGAGTTGTCGGTGACTAGGCAGGCATACGTAGTACGTGTCCCAACAATCACAATCGATGAAGGTTCACAACCGTGTCAACTGACTTTCCTCTTCTCCCTAAAACTCTACACCTGAGCATGACTTCTGCGTTGATCAGGTGGTGACACTAGGGAATACAGCCTATATTACGAAGGCAACGGTGGTGAAACACCTGAAGCCAGCCAGCCAGCCAGTCATCCTTCTGATATCTTCCACCTTCAATGGCCATGTTTGACAGTGATAGAGTAGAAGAGAGTGGACTGCTGTGCAGGTGCAATAGACGTGACTGTTAATTATTACTATTATTAGTTGTTCCTTGGGTTCCTAACGGAGCATAGGGCTTCAGTAGCACATCTCCGTTGCACTCTGTTCTCTACAAACTTTTGAACCTCGCTCCACGACAGCCCAGAAGCTCTCATTTCTTCCTCACACTATCTCCTCCATGTCACCCTTACCTCGGACGCCCAACTCGTTGCTTCCCATCGGGGTTCCACTCGAGGGCCTGGCCTCGTGCGTGATGTCCCCAGTTGGCCTTCTCAGTGTATGCCCAATCCATCTCCACTTCCTTCTGTTCCACATGCTGAGTGCATTAGATTTCCACACTGGTTTCAGGCTAATAAAGGAAGGCCTGTCTTGCTGTCTTTCCGATCCTGGCTGGCTTTGACGTCCTCGTCTGTGCCGCTTGTAGTTGAGACTGTATTGCCTAGATAGGTGAAAGAGGTTAGTCTCTTTAAGTTTCTCCCATTGATGGTGATCGGAGCTTGTTGTTGTTGGTGTTGGTTGGGTATCTTCATCACCTCTGTCTTCTCTACATTCACTTGAAGTCCCATCTTCGCTGCCTCGCCTCCTCTGTCAACTTGCGATTTTTACGCCTGTAGATCTTCAAGTTTGTGTGACAAGACATCAGGCACAAGTCATCGGCGAAATCCAGATCTTCTAGGTTCTTTTCCGCAGTCCAGCCAGCGTATCCCCTTCTCCTCCCTCCTCACTGTTTGTTGCATGATCGAGTCCAGTCCACTACAATCAGGAATATCATGGGTGATAGTAGACAGCCTTGTTTCACTCCTGTCTTCACTTCACTTCGAAGGCATCACTGAGCTTCCGACTGGGAATCACTTGGCTGGCATGTGGCGTCTCTATATAGTTGTAGAATGAGGTTGATAAAGGTTTGTGGCACTAAAGCCGTAGTGTTGAAGCAGTTTCCAAATTACTTCTCCGTCGACGCTGTCGAAGGCCTTCTCAAAGTCGATGAAGTTGATGTAAAGATCCAGTTGACTTCCATTCCATACTCTGTTCTATGATGATGCGATGCGTAGCCTAGAGTTGCAATTTGATCCACACGTGATTTGTACTTCCTGAATCCAACCAGCCTGTTCCGGTCGTATTTTGAATCCAGAGCATCTTTTAGTTTCTCCAGGATGATGCGGCAAGATAGTTTGCTTAAGGCGGACAGAAGCATGATTCCACGCCAGTTCTTGCAAAGACTTAAGTCACCCTTCTTCGGCAATCTGACAAGGCATCCCTTCTTCCAATCCCGAAGTACCTTTACTTCCTCCCAGAATTTCTGCAATAGTGGTGTGAGCATGTGCACTGTTGCCCCTGTGTCTGTTTTCAGTGCTTCTGTCGAGATTACATCTAGTCCCGCTGCTTTCCCACATTTCAGTAGCCTTACGGCGTTCAGGACTTCGACTTTTGTTGGAGGGCTTGTGTTCACTTGTAGTTCTGTGGCTGGGCTGCAGGTGGTATTTCTGGACGAGTTGCAGGTGGTGTTAATGGTCGATTCAAGAGCTCTTCGAAGTGGTCAGCCCATTGTTTCCTTTGTTTCTCTTCTTTGCTAATTAGATTCCCTCCATCATCTTTTATTGGTTTCGTCTATGTTGATCTCTTCCCTACCAGATAGTAACCTGGTTATTTGACACGATGTTGTCAGGTCTCTGTTTCTCCTACCTGCAGCCTGTTCTGCTTCACTTGTCAGTGTTTCGTAGAAGTGTCTTTTGTCTTTGTGTGCACTCTTCTTCACTTCTTTGTCCAGTGTAGTGTTTTATACGTTGTACTCGGTTCCTCTTCCTGTTGTTCATCCTTGCACTACACTGGTTTATCTTCTGCTTCACCATCCTCCTGTCACTCCTCTATCAGCTTCCATGTGTCCGTCGAGATCCATTCCACTCCTTGTCTTTTTTCTTCTTCCTTCCTAATACGGTTGGTTATGCAGGTTTCTTTCCACATGGCTTTCAAAGAGTTCCAGTGCTCATCCACACAGGTTTCTTCATTGATGTTGCTCGATATCTCCCTTTTTATCTTGATGGCTGACTGACGTGAAGATGTCCTTTGTAGTTTCATCCTTCAGTTTCCGAGTGTTGTACTTGAACTGTGGTTTATCGCCAGTTTCCTTGAAGGCTTTTAACTTGATTTCGAAGGTTCCTTGCACTAGACAGTGAGTGGTCTCAGCCTACATCTGCTCCTCTTCTTGACCTAGTGTCCAGTAGGCTGGCTGCATCTCCACTCTATTCACATTGAGATGAAGTCGATCTGATTTTTAGTGTGTCCTGGTGTCTGGTGAAATCCATGTCGCTCGCTTTGTGGATATCCTTGTGCTTGAACATACTGCCTCACTGCAATCACCAAATGGTTGAGTGCGCAGAACTCTGCAAACAATTCTCCAGTCTCATTCATTTCACCGAGTGCTTCTCGACCCATGGATTGTTCTCTTCCTGTCTTGTCCCCTCCCAGTTTGGCATTCATATCAGCCCATCCACTAGAAGTTTGATGTTGCCAACTGGGTTTTGTCCAGTACTGATTGCAGTTGTCTGCAGAATTCCTCCTCCTTCTCTTCATCTGCATTATTTGTAGGTGTGTAGCATCGTACAATTGTGACTTTCCTTCCTTCTGAGTTGAACCTTGCTGCTGTGATCCTGATGCTGGAGGAGACTGGTTCCCACTGCATGAGAGCCTTCGATGCTCTTGGGAGGGGGATATCATGATAATCACTCGAAAAGTCAGTGTGCTCGTGGTTGTTGTCTGGGTGACAGTATCAGAGTAGATTATTGATTCTCCAGTTGACAGTTTGGAGTCCACTTCCATTCCATCTACTTCGCAAATTCCTAGCACTTCAATGCTATACCTTCTCATCATCTCGTTTGCAATCTGGGCAGCTTTGCTATTTTCATGCATGGTGTGGGCATTCCATGTCCCCATGTTTACTTTAACTTTCATCGAGGGAGGGAAGACACATCGGCCAATTGGCTTCCCGAAGGCAGGCTTTCACCAACCGGTGTCCTTTCGCCTCTCCGATTCCAGCGAGGAATGATTTTGTTTTTATTTTTTATATTTTGTTTGTGCTTTGAGGTTTCTGTGGCGGTTGGATTTGTTTTACGGGGTAGTGTTGCTAGCCTTATGCCCGACCTTCCCTCTTTACCCTGGATTAGGACCGGCTAGTAACTAGTGAACTAGGTAATGAGGCAAGGTGGCGTAATTTAGCGAAAGCTAGTCGACCCTTTTGTATGCGTGTAGATGTTTCATCGGCCATTGAGCCAGGTACCAGGGCTGACCCCACTCCCCAGGTAATTGATGTGGTCGACACACTGAGTCACTGCACTGTCTATTGTTATCCGAGGTACTGTTAATGATCAGTCGTGTAGCAACAATTTGCATTTGGTTGGTGATAAACGCATCCCAAACATTTTGAAATTGCCACTGAAAGTGTTTAGAAGACTTTGCATCTTGTCAGCGTCGTCACCTAACATGACTATGTCGTCTGCATATTCTAGGTCTAACGAAAATTCTCCTGTGATTAGGTCAACGTTTGTGTAACTTGGTGACGAGAAGGAGACCTGCATAAGAATATCTGTGATAAAATTGAATAAGAATGAAGAGAGGGTGCAGTCTTTATGGATACGACTTGACGACTATAGCCTCCTGGACATCTCACCATAGGCTGTAACACACCCACATTTCACTCTCTACTTGATGCTACTTTCTACAATAGGGTATAAATATAAATTCTACAATTACCCATCTTCACCATTTTATACTAAGTTTTTTTTGTCTTCAGAAAATCTTGATGTATAAAAATAAGTTTACTTCAGTCTTTTATTTTTTACTTTTTGTCATTTACATTTATGTTAATAGAATATTCGTCTACATCCACTAATCTATGCTAATCCAATTGTTCTGACAGCAACAATCAGTCAATCAAGTGTGGATGATACAAACTTCCCATATACAAATTTACTGCATATTCCATTAAATTTCATCTCTTATCCATATGATTCAACAGGACAGAATGAATCATCCTCTGGAGTATTGATAGCAGCTATCGTCAATATACCTCGTTGTGTTTTATTATTTCACTCATCATCGACTGAATTTAATTCATGTGTACCGTATCTTAAAGTGTTAGAAATTGATTGGGTAAGTGAATTATAATCCAAAGGAGTAATTTCAGCACATTAACTTTGTTTAATATTATCAGTATGTTTCGAATGCTGGCACTTGAGTTGTATGTAGTTGACTGTCTTACTTTATCGCAATTGAAGTGCATAAATTGTATGCTGGAATTCGTAGTGGTGTAATAACAATTAGTACGTAAGGTAAAAGAGTAAAACATTCAGGTTTAATAGCTAAAATAGCTGAATACTAATCTATAACAGCAGCAGGTATTGAAATAGCAGCTGTCATGAAGGCTCAATATCAAAAAGGTATGGAAAACCATGTTACTACTCATCGATAGTGTGACTGATAATATTGAGGCACCACCACCGTCATTATGCATCATAGTAGTTCTCATCAGCTGTTTTCTGCTAGTTCAGTTTTTCTCACCAAACCATATTGTTAAGTTTCAAGATTCCTGGATTAAGCCTATTAATTTATGTTTCCTAACACAAAATTTTCTTGATTACTGCTATGGAGTGAGTCACTACCTTCTAGATTCCTCAAGAAGGCTTGAAGTTCCGAGTCAATTCACAACCAATCCCAACCGATAGCTTCTACCTTGACGTGGTGGTCGGGTTTGTATATCAAAATGACCCAACGAACTATGCTGGTAGATCGCTTGGTCCCTCGACGTCCTGCTATACCATAAAGGTTTGTTGGATAGCGGTTAGACAAAAAGCAGTTACTGTTATGGCGTAAATTGCAATTCTATGATTGGGGTCTGAGGACGAAGTCGTACTACTTCTGACTGGACAGGAGTATGACAACAGTATTGCATTCCCCTTAGGTGAAAAGCAGTGTGACTCTGATGCTGCCTTCCCTATGGAAAGGGGGTGTTATAGAAGGTCGATCCCAAAAATAAAACACTCATCCCCCTCTTCGTGGCATGCTGATGCCTACGACGGCGATTCATAGTCGGGTTCGAAAGCGAAAAACCATTATCTCAAATTTTCAAAAAGGCCGTGTTTAACTGATCTGAAGCAGATTTCTCTGAACCTTCCTTTCCAGGTGCCGCAAGAAAACATAGCCTTCATGATGTAACCAGCCGGGAAGTGTCAACCGCCCTCGCAACTCTGTCAGCACCCAAACTCTCTCACATCAATATCCATCTCCATTATCTTTACCTTCTAATCTTATCTCATGTCTCTCAGTCAACTATCCTACGTCGTCTTTAATTTCTCCCAACACTGAAAAATGATGGAAAAAGCAGTGGCGATAGGTATCAGTAGACCATTATTCAAACTTATGAAGGAAACTGGAGAGAAAATATCAACGGTTAGTGAGACGATAGAAGAGATGGGTCAGTCTAGGATTCACTCGCAGTGAAGACGACTGGAACGATGGGCTGAACACATCGTAGAACAGTTCAACTGGCCTCCAACCACCATTACATTGCCTGCTATCCAGTTGGATTCTTAATCGAACATTGAGATAGGCCCCCAATACTTATAGAAGTCGAGAAAGCAGTAGGTAATCTCAAACGAGGAGAAGTAACAGGGCCAGACGAACTAGTTCCAGAGGTAATTAACAACGGTGGTCAAGGATTTCGAGTCAAGTTAACTGAAGTGTTAAGTAGTGTATGGGAATTAGATACTATCCCCTCTTACTGGTTTGAATCACTGATCGTCTCAGTCTTCAATAAACGTGAGGAATCCTCCTGTGACAATCACGGAGGAATCTGCCTCAGAAATATAGTGTCTAAGATTCTAGGTTTGGTAATCACTGGACGTCTGAGTGGAGCTCGGGAGCAACCATCCCGAGGAAACCAGGCAGGTTTAAGATCTAACCATGGATTTATCGACCAGATATTCACAGTCTGCCAGGTTCTGTGACGTAGGCACACTCAACACTGGCTGTATTTCTCGGCCGGAAGACAAAATTCGACCTCGTCGTCCGAGAAGTCTTATGATAGTACCTCTCTTTGAAAGGAGATACCGAGCAAGTACATCATTCTGTTGAAGGCTCTTTACTCGAACTCCAGTGGGGTGTCAGAGCCTGTGGTGAGTAGTCAGATGAGTTGTACACATCGATTAGTGTCCGTGAAGGATGTCCGTCTTGTCCGCTCCTATTCAATTTTAGTATGGAAGTACTTATGGAGGTCGTCCTCTTGTCGTCTGGTTACATGGGAATTGATCTAGTCGTGGGAGAATCTTCGGCAGATTTAGAAGTTAAGTAAGGATGCGGAAAAGATGCAGAGTCTTCTGGACATTAGTGGGAATTTCAGGATGTTTGGAATGCGTTTTTCTTCGCCCAAATGCAAATTTTCGCTCGAGGACTAGTCTTCAACAGTATCCTGTCTAACAATAGATAGTGAAGCGATTTAGTGTGTTGACCACTTCACTTACCTGGGAAGTCGGATCAGTGTCCGACGAATTCTTTGCAGAGATGAAAAAAGCTCGATTGACGTTTGCCCACCGTGGCGATATCCGGTTGCCTATTAAGGGTTGAGCGCACCGTTCTTCAGTTCGCTCTGTTCTACTGTACAGCTGTGAAACATGACCAGGTAGAGAACTTGAGAAGGCTTCAGATGTTTGGCTACACTTACCTTCGTAGCACTCACCTTGTGTCGTGGTGTCACCACGTGAGTAACGCAGAGGTCGGGTATAGAGTTTTAGAGAAAACAGGTAAGTCAGTGGATGAGGTTGTGAACCTTCATCGACTGAGATGGCTGGAACACGTGTTACGCATGTCTGGTGACGGTCTGTCTTGTCGCCCCAATGTTGGCTAAAATAGGTTCAGCAGTTTGGAGGAAGGTTAGGGCTGGCCGAACTAAAATGTGGCACCAATGTATGAAGTCCTTGACTTTTGGTTTGAGCCATGTTTGGAGATATAAAGTAGCCGTTTGTGGTTTGTGTAGCAAGAGACTTTAGGTGGATATCACTTAGAATCGATGTCAGTGGCTCAGATGTATCCACACTTCACTTTCACCTTAACCGATATCCTGAATTCGGCATTTTCTCATTCCTTCTTTCTCTCTTCAACTGGTTTCGGTCGGTTCTTCTCTCTTTCTTCCTCTTTCATCTTATTGCTTTGTTACTTGTTGTGCTGATATATTGTGACAACTTGGAATGTTACACAATAATGCCTGGTCTTATGTTAGTCATTTATTGATTGTTTCGAAAACAATCACTGCGCACCGAATATTCGCGAAAAACTGCGTGTTTATACGTATCGGCTTCAGATTAACTAAATGGTTTTCTCTAGAAAAGTGTATAAAATATCATGGCAACCGAAGTATCTATATATTACACGTTTTGACTTGTCAATCAACGTTTTGTATCATTTGTCGCTTCTTTGTGCTTTCGAGGAACCGAGTGACTCTTAGGAGTTAAGTTTAAAGTTCAAGACTTCATACCTGTATCAGTTACTGACTACTTTATAATAACTAGGGTTAGATGAATTCATCAGAATTTATCTTATCAAGAAATGTTCTGATTAAATAACACTTTGAACTATATATTTTTCTATGTTTTTTTTTCACTTATGCTCATAATCATACTAAAGAATACTCTTTTCTCATTTCTCTTGTTATTCAGTTATCCTCCAAAATGGCTCCGTATATTTTTTCATCACCAACACTAAAGGCTAATCTAGTAGAAGAGACTCATGTAAAGGATCATACACAAATCAATAGTTATTCCAGTTTTATCACTACTTTGAGTGGAAATCTACACATTATTAAAATATCACTATTAACTGGAAAGAAGAAAATTTCCCATAAAGATGATGATGGTAATGATGCTGTTTCTGTCTTGTATTCTATGCATATATCTCCAATGACATTATCAGTAAGTTGTGTTTAATTCAATTAATTTTACTTGTTGAACAAACAGCTTGAATAATTCTATGTTAGATAGGGAATTAATTTAGATAGGTTATTAAAAGAATACAACTGCCACACTCAACAATCTTGTACACATTTGTGCAATGCATAATGAACCAAACCTATCCTCTCAAGTCTAGGGATACTACCTGACTACGCAAACCTCAGTAGGTGAAATGGTGTTCAAACGCGTAACTCATTGGTTGAAAGTCATCCCCGTAAACTAATGAGCCATAGCTCCAAGATGCCACACACTGCTGCTACTACTACTACTGATAATAATAGTATACATAAAGATGATAACAATCTAGTAGTTTTCATCTTTAGGGATGCCTGATGATTGAAGGTAAAATGAAAATTTGGACTGCGACCGGATTCGAACCAGTCACCACCGGGTTTCAAGCCTGATGCTCTACCAAATGAGCTAGTTATAAGGTTCGACTGCTGACCAGAATTTTATTTCACTTCAATCACCAAGGTTTTTGCCCGGCGACGATGTGAATTCGTGATGGATTACTACCGCTTGATCATATTCACACTGTCTGCCTAACCAGAATTTCTCATTCCAATCCCAATCTAAGTGAATTGGAGAGGGGGAGCATCATAGTGATTATCATTTGACTATCTGAGGTAGCTATGGTATGGCAGACTAGTGTCAGACTAGCATCACTACATGTATATATATTATCATTGTAAAATTTAATCCTTAATTTCGCGCCCTTTTTTCGCCATGCAATATTATTCATTTCTACCGTGGTTTAGAATACTAAGTGCTGATTGGTCCGTTCTACACTGACCAAAGCCATCTAGGGACGACTGAATTTTCAGCTATGAGGTGATTATTCGTCTGAAGTAAATATACTGTTTTAGGAATTGTCCTGGTGCGAACTTGACAGACACAGAGACCAATCACTAATTATTCGAACTTGTTGTATGCCCACGAATACGAGACCGAGAAAGAACACAACAGCGTAGTCGGATGGAATGGTATATTTGGGTGGTTGTGCCAAGATACCGATGCGTTCCAACTAACTGGCTAGAGAGTCGACTACGAGCAGTGTAACGTAACACGACGGCGTGCCAAATGGCGAGGATGCTTGACCGGGTGCCCTCAGCTTAGCGAGTCCAGTTAAACTATCAAGGTCAACATCAATGTTGAATCTTGTCAAACCCTTGGCTATTGATTTTGGGGAAGTGTTTGACGCTACACTTTCAATCCCATTGTCTTCTTTTGTTGTTAGCTAAATATCGAGTTGAGAAGTCATTGTTCTATTGTTAATTTTATCGCATCGGAGCATTGTATCGTTATATATACCATGGATTGTAACATAGATATTGTTAAATAGATACACATGAAATCAAGGTTACGCTTTCTGTCTTTCTTGACAAAAGTCATCTGGATGTAGTTAACTCGTTGGTGGGAATATAAAATGCGCTAAATGAACTTCTTTCTGATCAAAATCACACAGAATGCTATTGTATTTCATGATTTAGCACGGAAACATCCATAAAAGAAGTTCATTTGCCAACAAAAGTTTATCACCGTAGTACAATATATAGATGAGATGTAATAATATTTAAAAAGAGACACAATAATCAGTGCTTAGTCAAGATCATGGATTCAAGTTAGCCGTCACTTGTTCAGGTCTGCATAGCTACATGACAGCAATATCCCTCGCAACAGATATGCCTTTTTGACCCGTAGTATGCGAACCGTTCATTGAAGTCATATGAAACCTAATTGAAGGTGAAATTATAATCAGTCTGTTGGTTTGTATTACTGTAAGTATAAATATTACAGTACAATCGCTACTGACTATGATTTGTATAATATTTGAAGTCAAAGTGTTCGATTATCTGTACTATCCGTTTCAAAAAACCACAATTTCGAAAAAATTGAAGCGTGATTGCTGAATCATGTATATTTCCATGGAGTAACCAGTGTATCGTATATCTTGTGTGAGGGTTCTTGATACTACTTAGTTGCCGAGACCTCAGGAATTGGAGCAGAGTTTCAACCCATAACCCACTGGCTAAAAATCAAGAGCCTACAACCATGAACCATAGCTTTCTAGCTATTTTTGGCATTAGTACACGATCGGGATTGTTAAAGACTGCATTTCAATGAAACTCAATATTATTTATATGGCAAGTACTTCTACTAAATGCAAAACTGTTTCATCAGCAATAGCTGAAAACAGGATTGTACAGGAATTAGTCATCAGTGGGTAACAAGTTTAGTTGTTTAGTCCTTAGTACTCAGTGCCATGGGAGACATCGAGCAACATCCCTGAAGAAACCTGTGTGGAAGAACACTGGAAGTCTTTGAAAGCTATGTGGAAAGAAACCTGCACAACAGTATTAGGAAGGAAGAAGAAAGAAGACAAGGAGTGGAATGGATCTCGACGGATACCTGGAAGCTGATAGAGGAGTGACAGGAGGATGGTGAAGCAGAAGATAAACCAGTGTAGTGCAAGGATGCTCAACGACAAGAGGAACTGAGCACAATGTATAAAACACTGGACAAAGAAGTGAAGAAGAGTGCACGCAAAGACAAAAGACACTTCTACGAAACACTGGCAAGTGAAGCAGAACAGGCTGCAGGTAAGAGAGACCTGACGACATTGTATCAAATAACCAGGTTACTATCTGGTAGGGAAGAGATCAACATAGACGAAACCAATAAAAGATGAAGAAGGAAATTTAATTACAAAAGAAGAGAAACAGAGGAAACGATGGGCCGACCACTTCGAAGAGCTCTTGAATCGACCACCACCTGCACTTCGTCCAGAAATACCACCTGCAGCCGCTGAATTACAAGTAAACATAAATCCCCCAACGAAAATGGAAGTCGTGAACGCCATAAAGCTACTGAAATGCGGGAAAGCAGCAGGACCAGATGGGATCCCGCCAGAAGCACTGAGAACAGATGCAGAGACAACAGTGGACATGCTCACACCACTATTGCAGAAGGTGTGGAAGGAAGAGAAGGTACCTGCTGGTGGATTGGAAGAAGGGTTACCTTGTCAAACTGCCGAAGAAGGGAGACCTCAGTGCTTGCAAGAACTGGCGCGGAATCACTCTCCTGTCCACCCCAAGTAAAATATTAAGCCGCATCATCTTGGAGAGGCTTAAAGACGCACTGGATTCAAAACTGCGACCAGAACAGGCTGGCAGGCTTCAGGAAGTACAAATAATGCACGGACCAAATTGCAACGCTTCGTATCATCATAGAACAGAGCATAGAATGGCAATCAGCTCTCTACCTCAACTTTACCGACTTTGAGAAGGCCTTTGACAGCGTCGACCGAGAAGTAATTTGGAAACTGCTTCAATACTACGGAGTACCGCAAACCTTTATCCGCCTCATTCAACAACTATATGAAGATGCCACATGCCAAGTAATCCACAATGGGAAGCTCAGTGACGCCTTTGAAGTGAAGTGAAGACAGGAGTGAAACAAGGTTGCCTACTATCCCCCATGATATTCCTTATTGTGGTGGACTGGATCATGCAGCAAACAGTAGGCAGCGAGAAGAGGGGGATACGCTGGACGACGGAAAGTAACCTAGAAGACTTGGATTTCGCCGATGACTTATGCCTAATGTCACACAAACTTGAAGATTTACAGGCGAAAACTAACAAGTTGATAGAAGAGGCAGCTAAGACGGGACTTCAGGTGAATATAGAGAAGACAGAAGTGATGAAGATACCGCACCACCACCAACAACTCCAACAACAACAACAAACTCCAATCACCGTCAACGGGAGAAACTTGAAGGAAGTAACCTCCTTCACTTATCTAGGAAGCACTGTTTCAACTACAGGCGGGACGGACGAGGACGTCAAAGTCAGAATCGGAAAAGCAAGACAGGCGTTCATTAGCCTGAAACCAGTGTGGAGATCTTCTGCACTCAGCATGTGGAACAAGATACGGATTTTCAACACCAACGTCAAGTCAGTGCTCTTGTATGGTTCAGAGACTTGGCGCGTCACGAAAGGCATTTCCAATAAACTACAGACATTCATCAACAACTGCTTACACTGGCTCGCTACTGAAGATCAGATGGCCAGAAAAAATAAGCAACAAGGAACTCTGGGAACGAACCAACCAAGAACCTATCACTCAACAAATATGCAGGAAGAAGTGGAGATGGATTGGCCATGCACTGAGAAGGCCGACTGAGGACATCACGCGCCAGGCCCTCGAGTGGAATCCCCATGGGAAGCGACGAGTTGGACGTCTGGGGTGAGGGTGACATGGAGGAGGTCGTGCGAGTTGGAAATGAGAGCTTGTGGGCTGTCGTGGGACCAGGTTGAAAAGATCTCAGAGAACAGAGGTCACTGGAGGCGTGCTACTGAAGCCCTATGTTCCACTAGGAACCCAAGGGACTAATAATAATAATAATAATAGTACTCAGTGCCGACCGAGGTCTATCGATCAGATTTGCAATATGACCTAAGTGATGCAACAGCAGTACGATGCACTACATCTAGTTTTTAAAAATCAATCGAGAAGAAGACTTAAACCTAAGTTTCATATTTGTTGGCACTCATCAACAAGATATGTCTACAGGCATTAGGAAACTAGTACTAGGATTGGTCAGTACTGACGTCAGAGACTTTACCGTTCAGGTCTCTAGATTTATCATCTTACACAATTGGCGATTGTCTAATATCTTAAGGAGTTTGTTTACAACATAGGATGAATTCGTTTTGCATTGAAGAGTTTTATGTACAGTGTTTACAATTAAATTAGTATTGTGACGGTATGATTACGAGTGAAATAGCTAAGTATGGAGTTGTGGTGATACGATATATATGCATTAATGTGAAGTGGTAGGAATGCCAGTCTCTTGTAATGAATTGATAGTTTTCACAAAAGTAATTTATTTAAAGGTAATATAGCTTATTATATTGGTTTCTTCATTGTATCAATCATTCGTTCACTCAGTCAAGCTTTGATAGAAGTTAAACGATCATCGTAAACTTATCAAGAGGAAAAGATGGTCTGGTTTAAGAATGATGTCTGCACACACCATTTACTTGATTAATCTACATTTAATGTATGATTTTCGTTTATTTGAAGATTAATTACAAATATTCGATAGGGTAATCATACATATACACGTAGACACTGGTACAAAAGTACATGATTTCGAGTTGCAACACTCTAAACCGTCACAACATGAAGAATAAAATGAAAATAGAATGAGCTTGAAAAACACACAAAGGAGTATCAAAAGAAATCATCATCATCGAAATCAACATAGGACCAGGGATTACTGCGTAACGATCCAAGTTGCCACAGCTCATATCAGTACAACAAGTAGAAAGGTAGTGAGATGAAAGATGAAGATAAGAAAATTCAGTCAAAAGAAGTATAAAGTACTAAAAGAGGGGAAGGAAGGATGAGAAAATGGTGAGATTTGGTATAGCATCGTTAAGATGAGGATAATGTGTGTGTACATCTGCACCACTGACATCGGTTCTCAGCCACCATACATCACCTTGAGTCTCCCACCACTGGTTCCTGTTGTCCCGCGGACCCCAACCAGCTAGTCTACATCGCCGCACATGGATGAAACCAACAGTCAAAGACTTCATACATTGATGCAATGTTTTAGTCTGGCCACCTCGAGCCTTTTTCCAACCTGAACATACTTCGGTCAACATAGTGTGACTGAGTTGTCGGTGACTAGGCAGGCATACGTAGTACGTGTCCCAACAATCACAATCGATGAAGGTTCACAACCGTGTCAACTGACTTTCCTCTTCTCCCTAAAACTCTACACCTGAGCATGACTTCTGCGTTGATCAGGTGGTGACACTAGGGAATACAGCCTATATTACGAAGGCAACTGTGGTGAAACACCTGAAGCCAGTCAGCCATCCATCCATCCATCCTTCTGATGTCTTCCACCTTCAATGGCCATGTTTGACAGTGATAGAGTAGAAGAGAGTGGACTGCTGTGTAGGTGCAGTACACGTGACTGTTACTAGGTAATCGGATATCACAGTTGCGTAGTTCAGCGAAAGCTAGTCGAGCCTTTTGTATTTGTGCAGAGATGTCATCGGCCATTGAGCCAGGTATCAGGGCTGACCTCATTTCCCAGGTAAGTGAAGTGGTCGACACACTCAACCATTACACTCTCTATTGTTATCCGAGGCACTGTTGAAGACCAATCGTGGAGTAACAATTTGCATTTGGGTGGTGATAAACGCGTCCTAGACATTCGCAAATTGCCACTGAAAGTGTTTAGAAGACTTTGCATCTTGTCAGCGTCTTCACTTAACATGACTATGTCATCTACGTTTTCTAGGTCTAACGGAAAGTTTCCTGTGATTAGGTCAACCTCTGTGTAGTCAGGTGGCGAAAGAGAGACCTGCATAAGAATATCTGTGATAAAAGTGAATAAGAATGGAGACAGTTGGCAGTCTTTATGGATACGACTTGACGACTAGGGCTTCCTGGACACCTCACCATGGGCTCTAACACCTCCACAAGTTTTCGAGTAGAGAGCCTTCAATAAGGTGGTGTTCCTACTCGACCCGTCTTTCAGCGAGAGACATTGCCATAAGACTTCTCGATCAACGGAGTAGAATGGCACTTTCAGATCGGAAAATGCAGCTATTGTCGGGTGTCGGTAAGCATGTCTGTGTTACACGACCTAACACAATGTGAATATTTGATCGATACACCTGCGCCTTGGTCTAAATGCTGCCTACCTGGTTTTCTCGGGCTTGCCGTTCCTGATCTCTACTAAGGCATCGAAGAATTACAGAACCTAGAGTTTTAGATGCTATGTTCGTCAGGCTGAATCCTCTGTGGTTATCACAAGAGGATTTCTCGCCTTTCTTGAAGACTGGGATAATCAGTAATTTAGACCAGTCAGAGGGGATCGTATTTAATTCCCATATACTGGTTAACACTTGCGTTAAGGTGACTAAGGTCACCTTACCTCAGGAGTTAGTCCGTCTGGTCTTGGTGCCCTTCCTCGTTTGAGGTTACCTACTGCTTTCTCGACTTCTATAAGTGTTGGGGGCCTATCTCAATGTTCTATTCAGAATCCAACTGGATAGCAGGCAATGTGATGGTGGTTGGAGGCCAGTTGGACTGTTCTACGATGTGTTCAGCCCATCGTTCCAGTCGTCTTCACTGCGAGTGAATCCTAGACTGACCCATCTCTTCTATCGTCTCACTAACCGTTGATATTTTCTCTCCAGTTTCCTTCATAAGTTTGAATAATGGTCTACTGTTACCAATCAAAAGAAATTCAACAATTCAATTGAGATATGCAAAAGTGTTCAAAGCTTTTATATGTAAGACTTGATCAGTTTCGAACCATGTCAAATACAATCTTTATTCAATAGTTTGTAACACATCAAAGATTTGAATTAGGTAGTTTGCACTTCTCTAAATGGTTCAAATCAACAGTTAGAAACACTTAGTATTATGTCTCGGTTTTGCTGATCTTAGTTTTTCTTCAACGTGATCATACTTGTTGAGGAAGGTAGTAATGGCTTGACAAGCATAGTATATGGTTCTGGTCACTCGAATCAGTACTAGCTGATTTAGTAGCTAGACGTTGTCACTTAACTAGTATATGATAGATTACATTTTAGGATATGATACTGACAGTAATTTCCTCCTTTATGCAATAAAGATATCTTGCATAGCAACTGCCGTCAAAAATGTATTTGTTTTATAGTGAATAATGCGGTTACATTTTTTTTTATGTACCCACTTCTTTGTGTAAATATTGTTATTAATTTGAATGATTATCTTATATTTCATTATTCTCTTAGTGTATACCAGCACCGTGTCCTTCAGAGAAGACTAACCGCAGTATATTTCAGTCCAACAATATGCCACGCTCTTGCTGTCTCTTGTTAGATACTCATTCTTGTCTACGCCTTGTTCATATTTTACCAATAAAAAGTTATTATTATCGTCATCCTCGTATCTATTGGACTTACTGTCCTATAGTATCATTATCAGCAGCAGGTGAGCATGGTGAACAAACTAGTCAGGTGAAAATTGTTCCTGGTTGTAAGGAAATACGAAATTGTCCACCATGGTGTGTTTATTCAACACCAGATGGGTGAGTCTTTTTTTTTATCATTATGCATTCTGTCTAGATAGTCATTTTATTATTGTATATGAGACATTTGATTGTATGATTTCAGAGCTGTTACTCATTGACTTAGATATTCAACTTTCAACCAGTAAAGTAGGTTATGGATTAGAACGTTATTCTGCCTATGGAATGTGGTGCGTTGCTCTAGGTACTTGACTTCTAACGGATGGATCATGGTTTCGAGTCATACTCCCTCCACCTACTGAGGTTTGGTTAGCCAGGTAGTATCACTAGCCCTCATGTAATAGGTCTGGTTCATTGCCTACTGTTCGAACGTGCATGGATTTCGATTTCTGTCTATCAACATCTAGGTAGTGTGATTCAGAGGCGAATAAAGAAGTCTCGCTCTAGTTGCTGAGTTTACAATACATTTACGAGATTTAAACTCTGCTGCTCTTTTGAACTGAAGTTTCAATTGTTGCATTTTATCTCTAGCATCTGGTGCAATCTAAACAGATTACCAATGAAAATATAAAAACCTAACTTTATAGGCGTTTTGGATTGAAAGAAAAATCCAGAGTTTTTGAGTAATTTGATAATCTTTTGATACCCTTTCAGTGAGAAAAGGTTATCACCAGTAGTACGACGTAACAGACTACAAACGATACGAACCTAACGCGCAAACGAATCTACTCTAACGCAAATTAAAATCTCAACCACCACCACAACAATAATACCACCGACGCATGAAGACAAGAAGAGAAAACGGAGAGCTTTTTACTGTCTCAACAACAGTCTGACCTTCTATGCGTCGTCTCTGTTTTGCCAAGTCTTCTTTGACAAGTCTTCATATCTGCGAAACCATGTATCGAACGTTATGTTTGTATCTAGATCATAGACGAATTCGGAGATGCTGTAGATGAATCGGCTGGAGAAGATATCCGTAAGCCAGCAAGCAGCTCCATCAATTTCTCCAAGCGTGATGCATCTATTTCAAAATATACCCGTCTCCAATTTGCTGTGACTGGTAGTACAATCTAATAGTCTACAAGCGATACGAGCCTAATGCTCAAACGAATCGACTCTAACGCATATTAGAATGTCAACAACCACCAACACTACAACAACAACAGAAAACTTCACTTCACTATAGCAGCTGAGTAGTTGTGGTACATATGATGAGTAAAAATTGAATGGCACATGAAGGTCATCATTGTTTACAGTCGAACACGTATTATCAAAGTTAGCTTGAAAAAAAACAAGTCATTTGAAGAATTCGCTTACGCTTAGCTTATGTTATCATTGTGATCAGAATTTGAAACTAGTTCTAAACGCCTTCCTATTAATATATGCATAATTTTGAATAGTGGGAATATGTTGGTTATTTGGTGGCCTGAAACCAACAACTATTGACCGTATGAAACTTAATAAAAAGAGTTGGCTTAATGTTGGTTCAAGGTTACAACTAAGAGGCGTAGTACATGAACGTCATTCATCTCTTGTATTCGATTAGTTAGTATCTAAACAATTTCGTGGGTTCCTCAAAGTCACTTGTTGAATCAATAAGTTTGTTTTCTTCACCAGTAAAAATGGTCATAATAAGACGTCTCAACCATACTATATTACATTACCCTATTTTCTTACATTTTTTTTTGCAGTTATGCACATGCTGTTGACATTGAGACAGGTTTATCAGCTCCAGGATATCCTATTCAATTACGCACTACAGTTCCTAATGTTACAGACCTTTCTATAAGCACAGGAGTATTATATCAGAGAGAGGATTCAACATATTGGATGGTGAGTTGTCAACAAAAGTTGACCATTTAAAATATGTTCGTCCACTGAAACCACATTTGGTTTTGGACTACGGTATACTCTATGTTGATTACGAATGAAAACTAGACGCCTAATTCATCAATCGAATTTCTCGTTTGTTTCTATTCCCATTATATCGAACTTATTTAGTCTTTGTGTCTTTTGTTCTTTCCCATATGTATATTTGTATTACTCAGACTATACGTCTAATTTTCCTCATTGTTATCATTTAGTAATCTGTCATTTTTGTTAAATATCATCATCGAAATCAACATAGGACCAGGGATTACTGCGTAACCCTCGAGTTGCCACAACTCATATCACTACATCAAGTAAAAAGGCAGTCAAATGAAAGATGAAGATAAGAAAACTCAGTCAAAAGAAGTATAAAGTACTGAAAGAGAGAAAGGAAGAGTGAGAAAATGGTAAGATTCGGTATAGCGTCACTAAGATGAGGATAATGTGTGTATACATCTGCACCACTGACATCGGATCTCACCCATCATACATCACCTTGAGTCTCCCACCACTGGTTCCTCTTATCCTGTGGTCCCCAACCAGCTAGTCTACATTGCCTCACATGATGTTAAATAAGGCTTTATCTGATGCCATTGATCCATAGCGGCTAGCATCAGGGTCCAAGACAACTTATCTTTGAAGATATAAACTTACTTTTTGAGAGTTATTCGATGATCAGGTGATATAAAAATATGACACCAAGGTAGATGAAATTTCAGTTATCATTGCTTCTGCAAAGGCGGAAAGCACTAAAGAGGTTAAAGTTGGATGTTAGTTGAAGCCAAGTGATTCTTGACAATCCTAATTTCTGTAGTAGAAGATAAAGTTAGGCGGCAGATAGAAATCATATAATTTTACACCACGAGTATAAATAATTAAGTGAGGTATTTTTTCTAAACAAATCGATCACTCACATCTCAACACAGTAAGGTTAGTGGATTACGTTCTTATCTTTAAAGCGATCGTTGCTGGATTCCAGCCTCAATATGAACAACGTCACTCGCTGAGAGGCAGGTTTATCCAGGTGACGAGCCATAAATAGAAAAAAAATGCCTATCCTGAACTTCACTACTATTATTATTTGTCCCTTGGGTTCCTAGTGCAACATAGGGATTCAATAGCACGTCGCCATTTCACTCCCTTCTCTGCAGTCCTTTCAACCTGGCTCCACCACCGCCCATAACCTTTCATTTCTTCCTCACACCATCTGCATGCCATCCCCAGCTGGGACGTTCAACTCGTCGTTTCCCCTTTGACTTCCACTCGACGACTTGGCATTGTCTGACATGTGATGTCCCTAAACGGTATTTTCGGTGTATGTCCAATCCAATCCATCTCCATTTTGTTCTGCATATTTGTTGGGTGATAGGTTGTTGGTTGGTTCATTGCCAGTTAGTCAGAGTTTCTTGTTGCTTATTCTTGTTATTCTGGCCATCTGATCATGAGTATTGAGTGAGTGTAGGCGGCAGCTGTTGATGATATATGTCTGTAGTTTGTTGGAAATGCTTTTCGTAACGCGCCAATATTAATCACTAACCTTGACACCGGACTTATAAGTTGCTTGGTTCTGGATAGCAGAAAAATCTAAGACGTGCGTTTTTTCCTATTCGGGACTCGTCAGCTGGATGTACTGGCGCCCCAGAGATTGATGTCGTTCCCACTGAAACATGGACCTCATACCTCTGCTAGTCACAACTGATTAAGTAATAATAATAATGATAAATATTCACGCAATATTGACACGTCCGCATGGGAGCCCATATGCCAACAGAGGTCGGTGAATTCAGTCCAGTATAACAACGAAGAATCACGAGTATATCAACAAATAATTAACACAGGAATATTTATCAGGTATAACGTTTACAGAATAAAAGCACGGTATTTGTTGTCATGAGACGGAACCCATTCAGCCGCTTTGTGCAAATCTGTCCAGTAGGCAATGAGCCACACCTATTATCTGAGAGGCAGTGATACTACTTGGTTACCGATCCTCGTTAGGTAGGATGATACTCGAACCCATAACCCAATGGTTGATAGTTATCTTCCTAAACTACTAAGCCGTAGCGCCATTGTAATCCTAAGCCCCATATATAATCTTGTTCTATCAACTTTATGCTGACACTTATATTTTCGCAATTTTTTGATAAAATGTTTAGCTTTTTACTGATGTTCATGGAAATTTAATCCATCTACGATTGCATAATCCATTAGTGATATTTCATTATGATGATTTACTGCAACGTCATCATTCCACATCAAACCGGTCATCATTACCTTTACAATTAATACCTGTTGTATTGAAGTCATCGAAATTGCCAGCATACCTTTTATTATCAAGTCAAGGTGTATTATTTTTGAAAAGTAAATTTTTCCAAGATCCAATTATTCCAACATCATTATTAGCTTATTCAAAATCTATCGGTGAGTGATTATTTGTATTGTTTTTTATCTGTAATGCAACTATTGTCATGCATATATTCCACTTGAACTGCTTGCTTCCAAATGCTGAATTCCCTGGAGTTCGTATATTGTGTAACAACAGGAGTAAGACTGTCCACTGAGGAAACTTATATTTGACGGTTTCATTGTATCCAACATCAGCCACTACTCTTTAAGCCAATCTTATATAACTCCTAGGAATGGAATCTGAGTTTTGCATCCCATCCTACCCTATATCATAAGCGTTTATAGTTTGAGGCCACACTACCACTGCCCATTTTGAAATTTCATAAACAACATATGAATAGTGAATCCACCAATTAGATAGACTGTTTGGTATTAATGATGAATAATGACTAGCTGTGGAATCCAGGAGGCACGTTTTGTCCTGTTTCTGACTCGTCGCCTGGATGTATCTGCATGTCAGTGAGTGATGTTTTACCTTTTAAGACTCAAACCCATGACCGATCGCTTCAGTTGCCAGAATGTTATGTACTAAGGCGGTGGGTCATGGCAGTCACTACTTTTATGACGGGTATAATATAGTCTTTGATGTTATAGCTTTTGAATCTCCGTCGTTGATTGGACCGAATTGATCGGCTATCATGACTCAGTGTCGCAGTGGATAAAGCTCTGACGATTGAAGGGAAACGGGAACAGCATCACTCATTAGGAGGCAGGTACATGCAACTGACGCGTAACACTCATCGCAAATATGATGGAACGCGCGTCTTTGATTCCACTGCTTGCCACTACCCATTATTATTATTATTATTATTATTATTATTATTATTATTATCAAAATTGGAACTACGGGAAAATTGAGGCATCTGTGCAGTAGCCCACATGCCAGTAGTGGTCGATCAGTTCAGTCCAATCAACCACTGAGGTTCACAAGCCGTAGCAGCATAAATACATACATGTGTTCGTTTAACTTATTACCTGTCCTAGTTGTTAACAAATCGAAATAATTCAGGGCAAAATGAACTGGGAACAAGATTATAAATCGTAAACAACTAGTAAGGTCTATGTAGAAAAGAAATATGTGCATACTAGTAGAGATTTATGACGATCCCTCAAGGTGATAGAAAAATACGAAAACCTTACTTTGTTCTTTGAATTGAAAATTTCTACTTGTGGTCATATTGATCTTAGTGACTAGGGAGGGAGTCCAGGCCGCGCGTTTCGTCCTATTTAGGACGCGTCGGCTGGATGTGCCTGCACCCCAGTGAGTGTTGTTCTCACTGAGGCTGGAACCCAATACGTATCGCTTCAAACACCAGAGCGTTATTCACTAAACCACTGGGACACGATAGCCACCTTCTGTGCAACGGGTATCGTTTATTGTAATGATACTTATAATTTCCCGTTGGTATACAGGGCGGAATTACTCGACCTCTGTTGGGGGATGATTATGGTTTAGAAATGTCAATATGCTCAAATGACATAGAACAATTTTTTGAAAAATCGACTTTAATGTTTAAGAGGTAATGATATTTTTCGAAAAGTGATGACTGTTCAGCTGTACACAGGTGATCTCAGTCGTTACAATCACTGATTCACTATTCACAACACTACACTGATATCTTGATTAACAATAAGAAGAATCAGCGTACAACCTTGTAAAGAAGAGCGCTAGTTCAATTTGTTATATTTCACAAAGAGAAGGTGGATAGGAAACGAATGACATACAAGTAGGACAAAAGCTTATAAGCGAAAAGAGATGATTAAGAGATGAATGTTTATGAAAGTATTAAAACTTCCTAGGATGACAAAAGGTGTATAAATCTGTGCCAGTAAGATTATTCCTGAACTGTGTTACCAAGATTCTCTAACCATCGATTCCTATCGTCGTGAGAACCCTAGCCAGATAACCTACATCTCTCTACACAGCTGAAACTAGCAATCAGAGACTTCATGGACATTGGTACCACTTCTTGATCTTCGTATCTACTCCTATTTTGGACATTTTGATAACAGACTTCTAGGATATAATATACATGAGTAAGCATGATTTATACCGTCTTACTAAAGCCAACTGATGGTCTTGTCTACGTCAACATGTGGACGTTATAGGTACGCTTAATTGTAGAAAAGTGAGTTGGATATTACCTCATTCAGAAAACAAGAGTTTTATTAAAGATCGAACCGGTTTTCAACGGTTAAAGGGGTTTTTAACTGTTGTTTTCAATGAAGAGATAATGGAAATAAGTCAGTGAGGAATATATATGGAATATATAATTAGCGTGCCTGTAATACGTCGATTTGTCTTAAAACCTTAGTAACTTAATAATCAACACTTTTTCAGTGATTCTCATGATTCTCTTGGAAAAAATTTTGCTATTTGTTTCTAACTAAAATAATCTGTTCCAGTTCTCGGGGATGGGCAGTGCAAAATACTGTTAGGTCAGGTGAATATCGTTTTCCTTCATGGTATTTATGATCCAACAGTTTTTGACTTCTCTAAGTAATTTGAATAATAGTTCATAATATCGTTAGTAACATATTATTGATGGTAATAGTGGTTAGCAGTGGAATCCAGGACGTGCATTTCATCCTATTTGAAACTCGTCAGCTGGATGCACCTGCCTCCCAGTGATTAATATTGTTCCCAACGGGAATCGAACACGGGACCGATCGCTTCAAACACTAGAGTATTATCCACTAAACCACTGAGCTTCGGTAGCCACTTATGCGATGGACATAGTTTTAATGTTGTTGCTTGTATTATCCCCTCATCTGTTATAGATATCTGTATGTATTATTTTTACTTTCACTCAACTGTAGACAAAACGCTTGACAGTTATATTGACAATCAAATGAATCCTTTTCAATTTGTAAGTTAAAACATTTCTATTCTTTGCATTAGTTCTTTGTTTATAAAAAAAACTATCTGAATATCAGCGTATTTAGTCATAAATATGGGTTTCTTTTCACTACAAAAACCCCATAGAACTAAGATACCCATTGAATAAGTGTTTTATTGCATTCTAAGACTCATTAAGATAACTAGTCGATACTTTTTTTAAAATGAAAAATTGTTTGATTGTCCCAATAATCATAACTTTTTTGCTAAGAATCTAATACTATAGAGCTGTTGCTCTCTGGTTTGAAGATTCAACTTACTGATTACGTAATTCTAGGATGTACACCCCCACACAACCTACTTCCCCTTCGACTTCGGCTATCCTGTAGCATGAGAAGCACTCACACAGTGAATGTAGCTTAAAGTCTAGGGCATAAACCTGTAACAGGTTGTGTTTCATTCAAGTTTATTGCGCATTTCTTAATGCTCTCATGTTGTAAAAAGCACCCAGTATTATAATGAAGCTCAGCTTTGTACATATTTTTTGTATGTACTAGGTCGGTAACCAAACTTATTGTATAGAGGCTTATTTTAATATCCAGGTTTGTGTGCATCTTTAACCTTTAACTGCTATTTTATATTGTTCTAAATTGATTCTATCTACTGCATATTGACTAACTGGAGCGCTTCATACTAATGCTTGGAGTCAGGTGGCTAACGTACAATTATACTACACACCCGTCAAGTCACTTCTTTTCAGAACACCTAGTTCACAGGGAACAAAGTCCAGTTATTAGTATACATCCGTACACTTTTGAGTACATCAATTTGTAAACAGGTTATCATTTTCTTTTTACTAATATTTTAAATAACATTTTTTAAAATTCTCTTTGTTATTTTAGATTAGCGTTGAGTTTGTAAATGATCACTTTGAACCAATAAATTCTATCATACTGGATGAAAATAAAAAAACAATTAACTATTTGATAAAAGATTGTTCCTTTCATTCAACCATCCTTAATGAATCTCGATTGGCTAAACGATTTCTGGTTAGAGTAAGTTGAATGAACGAACAAACATGTTTTCCTCATTAACATTTTGTGTATGTCTTTACTTCTATTGTTATCACTAATGAAATTATGATATTCATCCTATATTGATGACCAACAATCATTGCTTAGTTATATTCTCATGATGATGATGTAGTTTGATAACCCTAGGCGCTCGATTTGATTCCTGTTCCGCCTACTTCGGTCTTAGTGACCGGTTAGTATCATAAACTCTTGCACACAACAAGTGTGTTTCATAGCCCAGTACATAAAGCCGTACCACACTGAGTTACAACATATATATATATATATATATATATATATATATATATATATAAGCCCGGGTAAAGAGGGAAGGTTGGGCATAGGGCTAGCAACACTACCCCGTAAAACAAATCCAACCGCGACACAAACTTCAAAGCACAATCAAAATATAAAAAATAAAAACGAAATCATTCCTCGCTGGAATCGGAGAGGCGAAAGGACACCGGTTAGTGAAAGCCTGCCTTCGGGAAGCCAATTGGCCGATATGTCATCGCTTCTCTCGATGAAAGCTAAAGTAAACATGGGGACATGGAATGCCCACACCATGTATGAAAATAGCAAAGCTGCCCAGAGTGCAAACGAGATGAGAAGGTATCATATTGAAGTGCTAGGAATTTGCGAAGTAGATGGAATGGAAGTGGACTCCAAACTGTCAACTGGAGAATCAATAATCTCCTCTGATACTGTCACCCAGACAACAACCACGAGCACACTGACTTTTCGAGTGATTATCATGATATCCCCCTCCCAAGAGCATCGAAGGCTCTCATGCAGTGGGAACCAGTCTCCTCCAGCATCAGGATCACAGCAGCAAGGTTCAACTCAGAAGGAAGGAAAGTCACAATTGTACGATGCTACACACCTACAAATAATGCAGATGAAGAGAAGGAGGAGGAATTCTGCAGACAACTGCAATCAGTACTGGACAAAACCCCAGTTGGCAACATCAAACTTCTAGTGGATGGGCTGATATGAATGCCAAACTGGGAGGGGACAAGACAGGAAGAGAACAATCCATGGGTCGAGAAGCACTCGGTGAAATGAATGAGACTGGAGAATTGTTTGCAGAGTTCTGCGCACTCAACCATTTGGTGATTGCAGTGAGGCAGTATGTTCAAGCACAAGGATATCCACAAAGCGAGCGACATGGATTTCACCAGACACCAGGACACACTAAAAATCAGATCGACTTCATCTCAATGTGAATAGAGTGGAGATGCAGCCAGCCTACTGGACACTAGGTCAAGAAGAGGAGCAGATGTAGGCTGAGACCACTCACTGTCTAGTGCAAGGAACCTTCGAAATCAAGTTAAAAGCCTTCAAGGAAACTGGCGATAAACCACAGTTCAAGTACAACACTCGGAAACTGAAGGATGAAACTACAAAGGACATCTTCACGTCAGTCAGCCATCAAGATAAAAAGGGAGATATCGAGCAACATCAATGAAGAAACCTGTGTGGATGAGCACTGGAACTCTTTGAAAGCCATGTGGAAAGAAACCTGCATAACCAACCGTATTAGGAAGGAAGAAGAAAAAAGACAAGGAGTGGAATGGATCTCGACGGACACATGGAAGCTGATAGAGGAGTGACAGGAGGATGGTGAAGCAGAAGATAAACCAGTGTAGTGCAAGGATGAACAACAGGAAGAGGAACCGAGTACAACGTATAAAACACTACACTGGACAAAGAAGTGAAGAAGAGTGCACACAAAGACAAAAGACACTTCTACGAAACACTGACAAGTGAAGCAGAACAGGCTGCAGGTAGGAGAAACAGAGACCTGACAACATCGTGTCAAATAACCAGGTTACTATCTGGTAGGGAAGAGATCAACATAGACGAAACCAATAAAAGATGATGGAGGGAATCTAATTAGCAAAGAAGAGAAACAAAGGAAACAATGGGCTGACCACTTCGAAGAGCTCTTGAATCGACCATTAACACCACCTGCAACTCGTCCAGAAATACCACCTGCAGCCCAGCCACAGAACTACAAGTGAACACAAGCCCTCCAACAAAAGTCGAAGTCCTGAACGCCGTAAGGCTACTGAAATGTGGGAAAGCAGCGGGACTAGATGTAATCTCGACAGAAGCACTGAAAACAGACGCAGGGGCAACAGTGCACATGCTCACACCACTATTGCAGAAATTCTGGGAGGAAGTAAAGGTACTCGGGATTGGAAGAAGGGATGCCTTGTCAGATTGCCGAAGAAGGGTGACTTAAGTCTTTGCAAGAACTGGCGTGGAATCATGCTTCTGTCTACCTTAAGCAAACTATCTTGCCGCATCATCCTGGAGAAAGTAAAAGATGCTCTGGATTCAAAATACGACCGGAACAGGCTGGTTGGATTCAGGAAGTACAAATCACGTGTGGATCAAATTGCAACTCTAGGCTACGCATCGCATCATCATAGAACAGAGTATGGAATGGAAGTCAACTGGATCTTTACATCAACTTCATCGACTTTGAGAAGGCCTTCGACAGCGTCGACCGAGAAGTAATTTGGAAACTGCTTCAACACTACGGCTTTAGTGCCACAAACCTTTATCAACCTCATTCAACAACTATATAGAGACGCCACATGCCAGCCAAGTGATTCCCAGTCGGAAGCTCAGTGATGCCTTCGAAGTGAAGTGAAGACAGGAGTGAAACAAGGCTGTCTACTATCACCCATGATATTCCTGATTGTAGTGGACTGGACTCGATCATGCAACAAACAGTGAGGAGGGAGGAGAAGGGGATACGCTGGCTGGACTGCGGAAAAGAACCTAGAAGATCTGGATTTCGCCGATGACTTGTGCCTGATGTCTTGTCACACAAACTTGAAGATCTACAGGCGAAAACTAGCAAGTTGACAGAAGAGGCGAGGCAGCGAAGATGGGACTTTAAGTGAATGTAGAGAAGACAGAGGTGATGAAGATACCCAACCAACACCAACAACAACAAGCTCCGATCACCATCAATGGGAGAAACTTAAAGAGACTAACCTCTTTCACCTATCTAGGCAATACAGTCTCAACTACAGGCGGCACAGACGAGGACGTCAAAGCCAGCCACGATCGGAAAGACAGCAAGACAGGCCTTCCTTCATTAGCCTGAAACCAGTGTGGAAATCTACTGCACTCAGCATGTGGAACAAGATCGGGATTTTCAACACCAATGTCAAGTCAGTGCTTCTGTATGGTTCAGGGATTTGGCGCGTTACGAAAGAGATTTCCAGCAAACTGCAGACATCTATCAACAACTGCCTACACTGGCTCGTTACTGAAGGTCAGATGGCCAGAAGGAATAAACAACAAGGAACTCTGGTTGGGCAACGAATCAACCAAGAATTTATCGCTCAACAACTATGCAGAAAGAAGTGGAGATGGATTGGGCAATTACATGAAACACATTTTTCAGATAATCTTCATCTTCTGATATACCATATTAGTTTAGATTATTCTCATATTTTTATTTATTTATAAATCATACCTTTATAATTTTACATTTTCTTTTAGTTAATAACCTCATTTGGTGTACCAATATCACAATGGTCAAATGTATATGTGACACCTCATAGTGGAATACAAAGATGTGGTAATTGTGATTGTTCAACAGGATTCTTGTCAGTTGATAGTCTACCTCTTGGTCCATATCGTGGTGAATTATACTTATCAGTGATTGATTCAACTAATGGTTATTTTATAAGAAATTATCGAATACTATCATCTGATTGTATAGAGATTTCAGCACATACTATCTTAGAAATTGGAGTATATCAAACAGAATTAATAATAAGTTTAATTTATTTGCCTGGAGTTTATTTAATCCTTGGATTAAAGATTATGCATTGGTTCTCTACTAAGAAACAAATACAATATACAATACAAAAGACAATAGTATAGTAAAAAAAAAAAATATTATTGTTGTAGAGTATTTTATTCATGAAGAAATTTCACTTCCCATTTATCTGGTTGAATATTTTTCTGTTTCAATATTCATTTTTCCCAAACTATTTAGGATTTCATTTGGTTTCATCGATATGTATTATCGTTAATGCGCTTAACGTTATATATATATATATATATATATATATATATATATATATATATATATATATATATCCCTGTGTTGTACTGAAGAAAAACATCAAAAAAATGCTAAATACTTTTCATTTTCAATACAACTAGTGTGTTTGTCTTCTGAGCATGTTTGCTACTCTGATAAATATATATGACTGCATGAGGAACAATGGCAATGAAACTTTACAACTTACGCATACAAGTTTATATGATAATCTGTTAAGGAAAGTGTATTTTGCAAGTTGGTTATTCATCATGGACTGATATCAGTTGGAGGAACATTACAAACCTGAGGGCAATTGTTTCGTCCTAGTATGTGACTCTTCACCAGGGCTCGAACCCGTGGCCTTCAGGTTTCTTGGCCGGCACCCTACCATTCAGCCACTGGGTCGGGCCTAGTTTACTAGCCGGTCCTAAGCCCGGATAAATAGGGAAGGTTGGGCGTAGGGCTACCAACCCTATCCCGGAAAACCAATCCAATCGCTCAAGAAACTTCGAAGCACAAAGAAATATAAATAATAAAAATAATCTTATTCCTCTGTGGAATCGGAGAGACGAAATGACGCCAGTTGGCGGAAGTCAATCGGCCGATGTGTCTTCTCTCGATGAAAGCAAAGTAAGGATGCGGACATGGAGTGTCCGCACCATGTTTGAAGCTGGCTGGCAAAGCCGCCCAGATTGCAAAAGAAATAAGATATAACGTAGAAGTGCTAGGAATCTGCGAAAGCACATGGAATGTCTTGGAATCCATTGGTTCATATTTCCAGCTTCTGACAGTTTACGACCTAGCACAACAATCACCCAATGTCATCACCGAGTATTTATTCTCACACCCACCGCGTTTGCCCCAGTAGTCATGACTTCTCATTAGAACTTCAGCAATCACCTCATGCGTGCCTACCGCTGGGGTGTTCCATACTAAGACGAAACAGCTGTCCAGTGCTCTCAGGTTTCCAATGTTCTTCCAACTGATATCAGTCCATGGAGAATACCAACTCGAAAAATCACTCAATCCCCATAAACTTTAAATGTTTCATCCTGTGCTCTGATAAATGACACTATTAAATGGAATGAGATGTAAACCTGCAAACCAATCGTAAAATATCTAGCGAAACCTCAGTTACTGTCCTTCTATAACTTCTAAAAATATGATCCTATTAATTGCCCAGCTGTGTTGCATCACCTACAAATACCTTTTTGCGTTGAAATTTTTTCTTCGATGTATTTTATTCAATATTCTATATCGTTTCTTTAAATGTAAACTTTAGTTTCTACAATGTGTAGACAACACGATGATAAAAAAACTTAATCTGATCTATTTGAACAATTTGAGCACTGAGTAAATGGTTCATGAAGGAAATATATTTGTAAAATCTTGTACTAAAAAAAGTAAATTTCTTTAAAGATCACGAAATCAACTTTTCCCTCCTAGAACAAAGAGATGTTCTAATTTGTTTAATGATGACCAGCAGCTGAGTTCAGGACATGTATTTCTTTCTATTTGGGACTCATCCATCTAGATCTGTCTGGCCCCTAGTGCGTGATGATCTTCGTACTAAGACCCGAAACCAGGGCTGATCGACCTCTGTCGGCATATTAGCTCCTACACGAATGCCTCGCATATCATTATTTGTCGATTGCCTTCCTAGTGGAACATAAGGATTCAGTAGCACGTCGCCATTTCACTCTCTTCTCTGCAGTCCTTTCAACCTGGCTTCACCACCGCCCATAACCTTTCATTTCTTCCTCACACCATCTGCATGCCACCTCCAGCTGGGACGTTCAACTCGTCGTTTCCCCTTTGACTTCCACTCGACGACTTGGCATTGTCTGACATGTGATGTCCCTAAACGGTATTTTCGGTGTATATCCAATCCAATCCATCTCCATTTTGTTCTGCATATTTGTTGGGTGATAGGTTGTTGGTTGGTTCATTGCCAGTTAGTCAGAGTTCCTTGTTGCTTATTACGTATGATATATGTCTGTAGTTTGTTGGAAGTGGTTTTCGCGACACGTTTCTAAACCATACAGGAGCACTGACTTGGCTGTTATTAGTGTTGAAAATCCGCATCTTGTCCACGCTTTATGCTGAGTAGAGTAGATCTCCACACTGATTTCAGAATAATGAAAGCCTGTCTTACTGTCTTTCTGATTACTGGCTTTGACGTCCTCATCTATGCCTGTACTGCCTGCGGTTGAAACGATGCTGCCTAGGAAGGCAGGTGAAAGAGACTACTTCGTTTAGATTTCTCCCGTTGATGGTGATTGGTGCTTGTTGTTGTTGTTGGTTGGGTATGTTGATCACCTCTGTCTTCTCTACGCCCACTGGAAGGAAGTGCCATCTTCGGTGCCTTACTTCTTTTGCCAACTTGTTAGTCTTCACCTGTAGATCTTAGGGTTTGTGCGACATTAGACATAAATCATCGGCGATATTAACTGATTATTCATTTCATGGTACTTGGCTTAGTGGCTAGTGGCTTACAGACTTGTCAGCAGCGTACAACATAATGAATATGTTGCAAATATCGAGGTATCTGCATAAGAGCTCACATGCCAACAGAGATCAACCAATTTGATTCAGAATAACGGGGACTTACAAGTATCAATAGATAATGAAGTGATTTTCTTTCTCAGAAATAGTCCATGAAACGATAAATAATGTATTGATTTTATCTGAGAACAGTATTCGAAGCATTGAAATAAGTAATATGACATCTTTATTCAGTGAAAGATTCTTTCTTTTTTTCTCTATTTGTCAAGTAATCTCAGGTGTAGGCTTGACGTGGTTTAATGCTTCCTTTTGGCACACACAGTTTGTCAGTATGTAAACCTAGGCATGTATATAGACTAGTGGAAAATAGCTTCGTCTGGTTACCGCTATGTCGAAAACCAATAACTATGTCCGATGGTCATTGGTCAAAGTACTTGGTTATGGTAGTCTAATTTATGGAAACGTTGAATGACATCAGAAGATGCACTCGTGTAGTGAGTGATTGATGCTGAGTGTATTTTCGTTGATTCAAGCTGGTGAAGTGCATATTCTGTATTTTTATTGTAATCCCTCCACTCAGTTAAGTGTTTTCTGGTATCATCATTTATATATTTTATCCTATCAGTATCAGAGGTCAACTTTAAAGGCCACCCTAGCAACGATCGAAACAACCAATTAAGTTTCTCCATTTCAGCTGGAATGGCAGATTTTCATAAAATATAGAAGTCTAATTGGTCATTTAAGTTGTTTTACATTTGACTATCTGAGATAGCTGTAGTTTGGCAGACTAGTATTTATACTGAGTGATGATTGAAGGTGAAATCAAAGTTCGGATCGTGAACGGATTTGAACCAGCGACCACCGTGTTTCTAGCTCGATGCTTTACCAACTAAGCCAGTTACTAGGTCCAACTGCTAATCAGGTTTCTATTTCACTCCAATCATCAAGGGTTTCGCCCAACTACTATGTGACGCGTTACTACCGTGTGATCGTATTCACACTGGCCGCCTAGTTGGGCAAAACTCTTGATGATTGAAGTGAAATAATAATCTAGCCAGCAGTCGGACCTCGTAACTAGCTCAGTTGGTAGAGCATCGGGCCAGAAACCCGATGCTCGCTGGTTCGAGTCCGGCCGCACTCCAAATTTTCATTTCACCTTCAATCATCACCCCAGTATAAATACTCATCTGCCAAACTACGATTATCTCAGATAGTCGAGTGGTAATCAATATGATGCTCGCCCTCTTTCTAATTCAGTGAGATTGGGATGAGAATTCCTGACTAGACAGCAGCCAGTGTGAATACGATCAAGCAGTAGTAACGCGTAACGAATTCACATGGTAGTCAGGCAAAACCAATGGTGATTGAAGTGAAATAAAAATTTCAGTTGTTGCTAGGGTTCCCCTTAAAGTTACTCGTGTCTGGTAGCTAGATAAAAACAAACCTTCTTGAGATATTAGACAAATTTTGTAAACTTGTATACAACAGTTTTTTATGAAACGAAGTATTCTGAATACTTACAGGAAATCTGTTCAGCATAAGGTATTGTAGAATTGAATAGGAATCCAAACTCGCGTATAAAACAAACTTCATAAACACATCAGATTAATGTTGAGAACTTTAAAACCTGTCTAAAGTTTCGATTCGATCCAACTGACCCTTTTTTTTATTGTTTAAAAAGTGTTTGGTGTTACGCAGCGTATCACAATGTGATTAATTTGGAACTATTTTTGACCAACATACGATTTCAGTTGGCTAACCTTTGAAGTCGAGAAAGGACAATATCACAGTACCATTTCACAATGACTGGTCGTCACATTGCCCACCTGATCGATAGAATCTCATCAGTTACCATTTGGTGAACAATTCATTTCGATAGTCTAGTGTTATGTGAGACCAGTTGTAATGTGAATGGCTTAGTGATAAAGTCTGTGACATCAACAACGAGCGAAAAAGGTTTAGTTCTCTCAGAGTTCCCCCAGAGTTGTTGATAAACAATACTAATGGCTAGAATGAGACATAAGCTTATTATTACCTGCTGTTTGACTCTTTATATCCGAAACTGGATATATCCCTTCATATACTGGTGAACTTTTCAATAGCATCCTTGATCATATTCGTTTGATTGAGGAAATCTTTGAACAGGTAATATTCAGCATACATCTAGTAATTTATCAAAGTCACCATTCAGTACAGTTTATCTACTGACTTTTATGTAGGTATGAACAGCGACAGTATTCAAGCATGATCGTTAGGATAACAATCTATAAGTAGTGTTATTTTGACTATCTTAGTTAGCCGTGGTTTAGGAGACTAGTACTGATATTGAGTGATGACTGAAGGTGAAATAAAAGTCTGGACCGCAGCCAGATTCCAACTAGGTGGTAGCTCATTTGGTAGGTCACTGGACCAGAAACCTGGTGGTCGCTAGTTTGAATTCTGCAGTGGTCCAAATTTCCATTTTACCTTCAATCATAACCCAGTATCTATAGATAGTAGGCCATTATTTTGGAATCAGTGTCGAAATTACTTTCTTCTGTTGAAAACTCACTCATCAGTACGCGAAAAACAAGCTTGTGGACTGAACCGTATCAGTGTTGTTTTTGCATATGACAGCTTTCTCAAATGGAACTGAGTGCATATCCCGTACTATGAGCTAGGTTGCGAAAAACTCTCCTGGACATTATTCAACCTGGCTGATCAAGGAGGAACAGAAATGCCTGTTCAGGCCTGCAACAGAACACGTTAACTCAGGCCGCTTGAATCCTTTCGAAAAGCCATTCAAAATTTTGTGTAAAGTGCTGTCAAATCATCGAAAAGGAGTAAGAATAAAGCACCTGAAGCATTAGCAATTCAAAAGTGCAAACTAATTGTATGCTCCAAAGAGCTATTCACAGACTATCTTCATTCCGTAGCCATCGCAAAGGATTGGTCGTTCTAGATAATTCCCTTATGATGTGACCTTTGATCGGAAATTATTCTGGAATGTTGTATCCTTTCTACTACGTGCTTGCGGATTTAAATTGAAGAGGACAAGTTCGTTGCTATCGTCTCACGATTCCTAGAACCGAATGGGTTTATTCCTATATTTAACTTCTATTTGTTAGATTCGAAGGTTATAAAGAGCATGAAACTATTTACTGAACTGTAATATTCCCAACATTGACAGTAGAATACTAGGCAAGTAAAGCAGTTCAGTCGATAAAGTTGTGCTGCGCATGCTAAGCTATCCCTTCCTTGACGTGTGATTTTATCCGAAGTTGAAATAGGTTGGAAGATTGCTAATGGTCTCCAGACGAAAATAATGCACCAGCCTATGAAGTTTTTGACTGTTGGTTTGAATAATGTTCGTTACCTGATTGTCGTTTTCACTATGGTAGAAATCGATGCCTGGAGGTTGTTGGTGATGTGACTGAAAGCCAGTCACGATGGAAAAAATGTATGCACTCTTCATTATCTTCAATAACCTGGATCCTTTTATTGCCTCGTACGTCATACAATTTTATGTACTTCAACGTCATTCTTTCTTTCCTCGCTTCTTCGCATGGTATTGTGAATTATGACAACATAAAGTAAAACGCTGGTGTCAGGTTCTACGTTGATCTGTCTATCTGAAGTTATAACGCCTGAGATACCCTTCTGCTCTTTGTGAAAATTTAATAAACTTAGTGTATCCAACTCAGTCCTACAGAAGGTCAATCGCGACCCGAATACATCTCAGTGATAACCATCACTGACTGATACAGGTTCAAATCTCAGAGGCTGCATGTCCGCCTTTGTGATGAGTGCGAAGAAACACGAAATCTAGGTCGATCAGGTCTTCCAGTCGCTCACCTTTGATCAACTGACAAAGTGGAGAATCCCAACTTCAGTCTTCTCTCTTTTTAATTCATTATTCGAAGAGTATTAACTTGGTTGCCTACACTCACCAACTTTTTCTTGGTTCCAGTAAATCGTCTAGACGTTTTGGCAGGACATACATAACTTTTGTTTCAAAGAGCATTTCAAGACATAAAGATTTGCCTTTCAGTATCCAGTATTTATCATCCTGTCTGGTCAATGCTAAGCTGCATAATCGTCTATTTGCTCCATCAAAATGTCGAGGCTTCACTACTCATAACTGTCCAACGTCTACTGATTATTTGAATCTGCACTGACATTTAATGAGAGACATACTTGAAATTATCTGTAATCCTCAACGGATATTATCTTTGAATCTTGTTATGGTTTGGAAAACTCTATGTTCTATGACCACTAATGATCCACGGATATCGAGTGTCAACTACCAACGTTCAACAAATTCCTAGTTGATTCCCCACCCGACTAATTAATGCAGAAGATGGACGTATGGTAACGTGTATTGAGGTCGAAAAGACCGAGGAACCAAAACAAATACATTCTAGTATTATTGCTTGTATTATACCGTCGTTGATTGGACCTAATTCATCGGTCTCTATTGACATATGGTATCCTGTGCGGATGCAAATCCTAGATTCCACTGCTAGCCACTATCCATCATTACTACGACTGAAACAGGTAATATCGAGGCATCCGCACGGAAGCTCATATTGCCAATAGAGACCGATTGATTCAGTCCCTTCTACGACGGTATTATACAAGCAATAATACTAAAACTATACCTGATGTGGCTTGGTGGTGTAGTGGACAACGTTCTGGCGTTTGAGCTGATTGGTCTCGAATCCCATTGGGAACAACACTCACTGGGAGGCAGGTACATCCAGCTGACGAATCCCAAATATGACGAAATGCACATCCTGGCTTCCATTGCTAGCCACCATCCATCATTACTAAAAAGAAACACAATTGATATATAGACAGTTTGCTGTTTGAAATAATCCTACTGATTGGCTGGTCCTCTGTCTGTCTGTCTATCTATGAAGTGGTAAACTACATTTTGATTGGTCACTTTCCAGATAAGTCATTTTTCTCTAACCATATATCAAATCTGTTCTAGGTATTTTTTTTAAATATTTCTCTTTTAGATACAATCTAATTAACTAGTAATAAATGGATTTCTCAGAAATTCTTCGTGATTTATTAGTCACACCATCAACAACTACATCCACTCAATATCATCATCGTGAAATATACGCACCGATAGATAACAATAAAAAATTATGTTTATCACTAAGTCATGGGAATTCTGTACATGAAATATTTTTCACTGAATGGATTAATCAATTTTTACAAAAGTATATATCATCTATTCAACCTTATGGATATGGTAATACTCTTGAAGAACAAGATCTATCAACAAAGTGTATAGTGATTTGTTTTCATAAATCATGGATATCTATCGAAAATTATTAAATCCAATATATGCAAATAATACATTATTAACCAAGCAATGTCTACATATAATTGATATAAGTGTTATCCTACAAGAGATACTGTTATCAAATCGATTGGAGGAGAATAGGAATAACTCAAATTTGGATGTAAATACTGGTGATATCATCAAAAGATATATCAAAGATAAGGTAAGTACAGAAACATTACACCATGAATATAACTCTGTCTGTGTACGTGGTTGGTTGTAAATAACTAGATACGAGCGGTTCTTTTGTGTGAGAGATTGATGTGTATGTGCGCTCACGTATTTCCATATATACCTACAAGAACGGTCATACAATGAGGTCTCCTTTCGTCACCTGACTACACAGAGGTTGACCTAATCACAGGAAAATTTTCGTCAAAACCTAGAATACGCAGATGACATAGTCCTGTTGCGTGAAGACGCTGACAAGATGCAAAGTCTTCCGAACACTTTCAGTGGCGATTCGCGAATGTCTAGGATGCGTTTCTCACCACCCAAATGCAAATTGTTACTCCACGATTGGTCTTCAACGGTGCCTCGGATAACAATAGGGAGTGTAATGGTTGAGTGTGTCGACCACTTCACTTACCTAAGAAGTAGTATCAACCCTGGTGGCTGGCTCACTGGCCGATGAAACATCTACATGGATACATAAGGCTCGACTGGCTTTCATAAACTTACACCACGTAAGGCACCACCGTAATATGCTATTACCTATTAACAGTTACATGTACGGCACCTGCACAGCAGTCCACTCTCTTCTACTCTATCACTGTCAAACATGGCCATTGAAGGTGGAAGACATCAGAAGGATGGATGGATGGATGGCTGGCTGGCTTCAGGTGTTTCACCACCGTTGCCTTCGTAATATAGGCCGTATTGCCTGGTGTCACCACCTGATTAACACAGAAGTCATGCTCAGGTGTAGAGTTTTAGGGAGAAGAGGAAAGTCAGTTGACACGGTTGAGAACCTTCATCGATTGTGATTGTTGGGACACGTACTACGTATGTCTAGTCACCGACAACTCAGTCACACTATGTTGACCGAAGTATGTTCAGGTTGGAAAAAGGCTCGAGGTGGCCAGACTAAAACATTGCATCAATGTATGAAGTCTTTGATTGTTGGTTTCATCCATGTGCGGCGATGTAGTCTAGCTGGTTGGGGTCCGCGAGACAACAGGAACCAGTGGTGGGAGACTCAAGGTGATGTATGATGGGTGAGATCCGATGTCAGTGGTGCAGATGTACACTCACATTATCCTCATCTTAGCGACGCTATACCTAATCTCACCATTTTCTCATTCTTCATTTCTCTCATTTAGTACTTCATATTTTTTGACTGAATTTTCTTATCTTCATCTTTCATTTGACTGCCTTTTTACTTGATGTAGTGATATGAGTTGTGGCAACTTGAATTGTTACGCTGTAATGCCTGGTCCTATGTTGATATTGATGATGATGATGAAATGTAGACAATCCAGATCAATGGTTGAAGATACTAAGCCCTATGGCTCAGAATCTACCTCAGTGCCACAGATGCCCCTGCACATAATGTTCATTCTAATCGTCCCCCTATCTGGATTGCATTCTGCTTCTTGTCGATTTTCTAGAATTTTTCAATGCATCCTCTACTTATTTCCTTATCTCTCAACTTGCTGCCTGCTGTATTGTGCGAAGGTTGTGGCAACATAGACCATAACGTAGTATTGCCAAGTCATATGTTGATACTGGCTGCACTGTGGCAATGAAAGTATGGTGATTGGAATCTGTTTCAGTAGCTGCCTGTTGCTAACGTGCATGCTCACATACATGTGTGTATACACCGATTCAACAATATTTCAACTGATTGAAATCCACTCAGCGACCAAGTGCATCTTTATGCATGGTATACTATGACACACTGGACCAGGGAGTAGGTTCCTAACTAATGGGTCATGGGTTTGCATACCGCTCCAACGCATCCCGAGCATTCTCAAATTTCCACTGAAAGTGTTCGGAGGACTGCGTCTTGTCAGCGTCGTCACCTAACATGACTATGTCATCTAGGTCTAACGAAAATTCTCCTGTGATTAGGTCAACGTTTGTGTAACTTGGTGACGAGAGGGAGACCTCCATAAGAATATCTGTGATAAAAGTGAATAAGAATGCAGAGAGTGGGCAGCCTTGACGGACACCACTAGATGAGCATAGCTCCCTGGAAATCTCACCATAGGCTCTACCACGTCCACAAGTGTTCGAGTTAAAAGTCTTCAATAGGGTGGTGTAGTTACTCGGCACGCCTTTCAGTGATAGACATATTGCCATATGACCTCTCGATCAACGGAGTCGACTACCGCCGCTTTTGGGTGGAGAAATACAGCTGGTGTCGGGTGTCGGTAAGCGTGCCTATGTTTCAGAACCTGGCGCAGTGTGAATATTTGGTAGATACACTTGCGGCTGAGTCTAAAGTCTGGCTGCGTGGTTTTCTCAGGCTTGCTGTGGTGGAGTTCCACTCAGGCGTCGGAGAATTATAGAACCTAGAATCTTGGACACTATGTTCGTCAGATTAATTCCTTTGTGGTTGTCACAAGTGGATTTCTCACCTTTTTTGAAGACTGGGATAATCAGTGATTTAGACCAGTCAGAGGGGATCGTATTTGATTCCCATATACTGGTTAACACTTGCGTTAAGGTGACTAAGGTCACCTTACCATTATCGCTGTATACCTTAGAAGTTCGTCCGTCTGGCCCTGCCGCTCTTCCACTTTTCAGGTTACCTACTGCTTTCTCGACTTCTATAAGTGTTGAGGGCCTATCTCAATGTTCGATTCAGGATTCGACTCGATAGCAGGCAATGCAATGGTGGTTGGAGGCCAGTTGAACTGTTCCTCGAAGTGTTCTGGCTATCGTTCCAGTCGTCTCCTCTGCGAGTGAATAGCAGATCCGTCCTTCTCTGCCATAGTCTCACTAACTGTTGTTGACCTTTCCCTCCCAGTTTCCTCAATAGGTTTAAATAACTCTACTGTTACCAATCGCTACTGTCTTTTCCACCTCTTTAGCCTTCATTGCCCACCACTGTCCGCTATCGTTGCGTAGACTTTTTCTCAATCTACATAAGGGAATTCAAAGAAACAGCTGAACAGAACTCAAAATATTCAGTACAAATTAAAGAACGCAAATAATCAATCATAAAAGCCGTCATCTGGAACAAACGAAACTATCAGTAAAAACACATCAAAGCATAAAAACCAATCATAAAATTGCAGGTACACCTCTCTACACTTGGTACCAACACACTTAAAACTGACATTAAACAGAATCCCTTTTGATTATCTGTAAACTGTTCAACAAACAAATTAATTTTTCACTTGAACACAAATACATGTTGACATGCAAGACTGTTTCTCACTAAATAGGTTATACAACTCACTCCCTAACAATGATGTTGTAGGTTCAAATTTCACCCAGTTCCCTTTGCTTCATATGGCCGTATATAAAGTATTGTAAACTTTTAATCGAGGTGGAATTAGTAGAAAAGTAACCAAAAAGCTCTTAGCTCTTCGCATTCATGTTTATTAAATAAACACTGATTCACACTTATTGTATAGTGGTCAGTGAAACTATCTGGCTGTCAAAACCTTGATAGATGAAGTGGGGTTCGAACCGATGACCCACAGATTGAAAGTCAAGTGCTGCAGCTCTTCTAGTAGAAAAGTAGGTTCGTTCAGTGAAGGAATAAATGAACCTATACATATTTTAATAGCTCAGTAGGATTGTTACATTTAATATTGGCATAGCTGACGATACTGTTCAACTATTATACTTTCTCTTTCTTTCATAGATGGATGAACTTCTCAACAATACTACAGCACTAGATCATTCAAAATCTATACAACAAAATATTGGTATTTTCATCGATAATATATCTAGTTTATATGATTTAGGAGTTAGTTTACGAGAACTGGAATATTTATTATCTAATTGGTTTTACTCTCCTGATTCAAATACCAATATTTCTAATTTATTAGTTAGTATAGGTGTACATGTTGGTGAAAATTTTCAAGATTCAATTACTTCAGAATTTGAACCTGGATTTATACATTTCATTGATTTATGGAGGTCACGAGCTTCAATTATCCTAGAGAGCAAGCCATTAACAACAGGTTATACGTCATTAATTGATGGTCAGGTAATTTATTCAACTTCTTTTTTTTCTTCAACTATCTGATACTTTTGATATGATTTCCTTCCAGTAATTAAATTTGAAGTATTGGTTGCATAATAAAATATCTTAAACGTTCTATCATAAATCAATGGATCATCTTTTTAGTTATCGTTTCAAACTGCTCTAGTTACTATCGTTGCAATGGATAGCGACTATTAGCCACTAATGTTGTTCATCTTACTACTGGAGTAAAACTTGGGCACTGTGGTCCAGTGTAATTCCATTTTAGTCTGTTTATTAGGAATATCATACAGTGAAACAGTATCATGTACGGCATAACGTTTCAGACACAATTTATTGTACATATTCATATCAGGTAACTAACTCGACAACTTTGAGACAGAGTTTATATAGTCCCTAATTTTCTCTCATTCTCTTTGATGACAAGGTTAGTAGAATCTTCTATATATCTGGGACAGGTGGAGAATCATTTCTGTTACTGCATGTATTTGGTGTTGATTCGATAGACAAAGATTCAGTCGGTTATCAATCTCTCCCTCCATATATAAATTCAGTAGTGAATGAAATCCAATTTACCTATGGCTTAGAAAGTGATGAAGGTGAGTTAGCAATGTTGGATTACAAGATTGAACAAACACAAGAAGGAAGTCTATAGGAAACCTTCCCATTCGAATCGCTACTTAGGCTTCAAATCCTCCTACCATATTCCAGTTAAAGTAGGTTAAGTTAAATACCTAAGTTAAAAGGCGAAAAAGCTTACTAGTAGGCCATAAAATCTACGACAAGAAATTAGATATTATCAAGGATACCTTACATCTCAATAATTACCCACCAGAATTTACAAATAAATGCATAAGAAATAGAAAAAAATATATAAGCACTGGTAGTAGTAGTAGTAGTAATACATGCGTTATTATTAATAATTCTACTACTAGTGGTAATACTAGTGACAGGGTTGAGTGAGAATTCAAAGCCTCTGCTATGTTACCATACAAGGAAGGCACCTCAGATGCATTGCGAAGAATTCTCAATACCGCTGACTGGGACTAAAGTGACATTTAAACCAACTAACTAGCTTAGAAACAAGCCTCGTAGGTTATTAAAAGATCTTATCGATGCAATTAAGCAAAATAATTTAGTTTACCAAATACATAAGTCAAAGTAGACGACCAGAGTCAATAGGAATAAGAGAGCACCAAAACCTAGCTAAATCAAGATAAGTATATCCTAATAAGATAATAAATTTAGGTAAAATCTCGGCTATAGCACACAATCACACAGTAGGGTGCGATAGCGCGTCAGTATTGAAAACTAACTTAGTTGGGTGGAGGGACAGATTGATAACCGACTGAATCTTTGTCTATCGAATCAACACCAAATACATGCAGTAACAGAAATGATTCTCCACCTGTCCCAGATATATGGAAGATTCTACTAACCTTGTCATCAAAGAGAAGGAGAGAATATTAGGGACTATATAAACTCTGTCTCAAAGTTGTCGAGTTAGTTACCTGGTATGAATATGGTCAATAAATTGTGTCTGAAACGTTATGCCGTACATGATACTATTTCACTGTGTGATATTTCTAATAAACAGACTAAAATGGAGTTGTTCTTCTTCCTAGTTGATTTTGCGACCCGAAAAAATTGATGGAGAAGACACACTGAAACGAGTATTCAGACCGAACATCCGAAGTAATCATCTACAGGAGAATTCATCAAAATGCGTACATAATCCGGTATTTAAAAATAATAATATTGAATCATTGGTTGTCTGTCAATATTATATTTCATTGTTTATTTATCCTTTGGGTTCCTAGTGGAACATAGGGATTGAGTAGCATGTCGCCATTTCCCTCTCTTACCTGCAGTCTTTTTCACCTGGCTCCACGACTGCCCACAAGCTTTCATTTTTTCCCATATGATCTCCTCCATGTCACCCTCGAACGCCCAACTTGTCGTTTCCCCTTTGGGTTCCACCCGATGGCCTGGCCTGGCCTGGCGCGTAATGTCCCCAATCAGCCTTCTTAGTGTATGCCCAATCCATCTCCACTTTCTTCTATTGCATAGTTGTTGGGTGATAGGTTCTTGGTTGGTTCGTAGCCAGCCAGCCAGAGTTCCTTGTTGCTTGTTCTTATTATTCTGGCCGTCTGATCGATTTTCAGTATCGAGTGAGCGTAGGCGGCAGCTGTTGATTATGTGTGTCTGTAGTTTGTTGGAAATGCTTTTCGTGACGCCCCAAGTTTCTGAACCATATAGCAGCACTGACTTGACATTGGTGTTGAAAATCCGGATCTTGTTCTTTACGCTCATTGTAGTGTAGTAGATCTCCACACCGATTTCAGATTAATGAAAGCCTGTCTTGCTGCCTTTCCGATCCTGACTGTGACGTCCTCATCTATGCCTGTGCCGCCTATAGTTGAAACGATGCTGCCTGGGAAGGTAGGTGAAAGAGACTACTTCGTTTAGATTTCTCCCATTGATGGTGATTAGTGCTTGCTGTTGATGCTGTTGTTGGTTGGGTATCTTCACCAACTCACGGGACAATGAAATCAATCAGCTGTGTTACTGTTCGTTCTAACACTTTCTTACTTTTTTCTTCTTGTCCATTTAGCTCATATGTTGGAAACGTTCAACGCTGGATAGGCTAAATTGTAAGAATAATATTACATCAAGTGTATACCATTTTCATGTGGAAGGAAAACGTATCAATTGTTATACTCCTGGAACATCTAAATTACTAACATGAAAATTGTTATTTTTGTAAATAATATTTATATATTTCTTAAAAAAATTTACTAATCTTTTGAATTATTTTGGAATACACTTTGAGTATGGAATGTTAAGCCTATGATAGACTTGTTAGTGTGTCTGTGTAATCCTTTGCAAAAAGTGTTTTGTATGATTAAGTTGTAAAATCAATCCCTGCATCAACGAGAAATGAATATTTAACACTACCTCTCCTCTATGAAGATAACTAATAAATAAATAAATATCTTTATTCTCAAGTTATTAAGTTAACATGACCATATTTGTCGTTAAACCGATCATATACAATACTTCTAGAAGCAAGAAATTATGTCACAGTTAACAGAACAGTAAGTTGTCTTTTGATCAGTATACGTTAGTATATTCGTGTTGTTTCAGTTTCATATAAAATAATATTATCACTTTATTCCAGACAATATGTGTGATACAGTGAGGATTTAATATTTCAACAAACTCATTCTTTGTACAATATTTTAAACGAAATAATTGTTGCAGATTACCTTCTTGTCTGGACTGGTGAATGATTAGAAAATAGAGCGGAATTTTACTTGTGTTAGTTTATTCAACCAGAACAAAATTCTTCAATTCAATATAAGTAATCTACGAATAGTAATGTGCTACATTTTCGTAGTCCACTTCTACTGCTGTAACGTTGTTCCCTTTGTTTTGTTGTTGGTATGAAAACTTACAGTTTGAAAACATTGAAAAAGCGTTCGAGAGTATATGACACGTTCAAATGGTAATCAGATGTTAAAAAAATAGAAGAATTTGATGAAATGTATTCAGTGGATATATATAATGAGGGAATTCGATAAAGATCCCATTATTGTTATGATTTAGGAATTGAGGCTCATCATCTTAATCAAGATTCGTCGACTGAGATATCAGACCTAGTGTTAGTCAGACTGATTATCTTAAAACAGTCACAAGCTGTCTCTTTTCTTAAGATTGAAATGACCAACGATCTGAGCCAATCTGATCGAACTACCTGTCATTCCCATACATTAGTACCACAATAAAGCTATCGAATAATTTTTTACAACCATAATCAAAAATTTCTAGTGGCAAACGGTTAAGTGCTGCTACTTTACTTCATTATTTCGAGACTGGAACAGCCTTCCTTACTTTGGTGAGAACTGGTTATACGATACCTACAACCCATTCAGATTGACCTTTTAGTGAAATTGAAGGCTCTCAGCAAAACTCGTCTACTTGGCTCAAAATGCGCCCAGTGAGCATTAAAAGCAGAAACTCCAAAAAGGCCACAATCAATGTCATGTTACTTTCTGGTTCTAGCACGTGTACTTCTGAGGAAACTCTTCGTAACTTCACTATTTTTCTCAAAGCTAAATGTACTGTGAGACCACGTGGAGTAGTTATCGAATTTGCCGATGCCTCAATGGTGAGTTTTCTAAATATACTACACTAACTAGATGAGGCTTAATAAATAACCACTATTCATCTGTGTGCCCTACACACAGCATAAATCAACGAACCAGGATTTAGGAGTTCTGTCAAGTGAATAATATTCAAGATGTAAACGACATTAAGGCGATGAGATACTTGGACTGGATACGAATTGCAACTGTTCTCTCTCTCTCTCTCTCTCTCTCTCTCTCTCTCAGGGCTTAATACTTCCCTTAGTTGCGAAAATCAAAAGACAAAGACCGGCTTGGGACTGTGAGAAAGATTTTTTATTTGATAAAAACACATCGTTTATAAACACTGTCCATGAGCGTATAAAACCATTAGGTCAGAAGTTTAATAACTTATTTTGATTGGTCAGCTACGAGATAAATTGTCCAGTTAGGTTTCTCCTGACTACACAGTGACACGAAACAAAAATTGAAATCCGAAACACCTACCTTAGTAGCTGATGACGAATATTGAATTTTGTTTATGCCGCTAACTTCCTACTCACACACTTGTGACCCAGATGATAGCTTTGATGTGAAATAGATGAAAATGCAGCTTCATAATACTTGAAAATGTATCTCCCTATCTTGGATTGCTGAAAAGTAAGAAGTTTTGGCAACTGACTGTATGAGGTGCATGTCGGAAACCAGAGAGTAAAAACGACGGAAAGGGCAGTGATAAAGAGATCAGAATATGGTTAGATGTGTGAAGCATGTAGCTAGAAGTAAGTGTATAAGTGAGTCTAAAGAGTTCAATAGGTATCTTTTTCAGATCGGCCAACTCTGTTTGTGGAGAACCTACTACCAGTGACGAAAAGGCTGATTGTCGATATTATGCAACCATCTCTATCTAAAGTAGTTGCAAATTCAGCAACATTGTTGACTGCTTACGGGGGACACGGTAACTGTTTAGCTACATTGCTTTAATTTTCTACTTTGTTGTTACCCTTTTGTTTTTTTGCGCTGTTTTATATTACTAACTATTAGTAAGTAGCATAATTCATTTTCTTTATTTGCAGTTTTGTTGAAATCGTATTTTATTAATCAACATTCTTGTATGTGAGTACTTTCTCCTTCGTGATAGTATAGTGCTACCTTCAGTTATTTCCCCGATGCTCTATCTTCCTTAGAACATTCGTCTGTTTTAAGCCTTATTAATCCGCACGCTTTTGGTATTTTTGACTGTGATTTACTTTGTACACACCTCAGCTGCTGGTTGTGTTGACGTTCTTTCTACGGTGATCTCACAGTTTGAGATTATTAGTCACTTAACAAATCAGTGGTGTATTTTGAGCTTTACGTGACTCCAGCATTCTTTCATTCGTCGGAGAATCAACTAATCGTTTAGGTTTCGAATTTCTGGAAAACACAACTAACGTCATCACATTCTGGTTTAGCCTGCAGTACAACCTCACCATGAAACATCTATCGTATGGTACCTTTTTTACATCATGACAATAACTAATTTCAGTGTTATAACTATCCAATAGGCTTTTCTGATATGGTAAAACCTCAAGAAACAAACGTTCCAGCGAGTATAGCTCTTTTGGTCATTACGATAAACAAACCGGACAACTACATTAAAATGGCAATGACCGGTCTTCAATGATCGATTCCAGTTTTCAGGAAAAACCCATAATAAGTAGCCTATGTTTTTCTATCAAGATCAGACCAAACGGTCATAGACTTTATAGACTGACTATTGATCCCATTAAATCTCTTCCGACCTGGTTCTAATGTATAAATAAAAACTTATACCTGATGATATGGAAATGCAGTGAAACTAGTGACTGTTGATATACCTTGAACATGAAATATACAAAGTTCGTCACATTCACTAAAATTATAAAGATAAGATAGGCTGAACAACTTGTTCATATTGCTCATTATTGTATACAAGATGAATAAAGAAAATTCCAAAAAAATGGTTTATTGTATCTGTGTATCTGGTGGTAGATAATGAATATGCAACACAGTCAGTTTACTGATAAAGGCACAATTTATATTCTGTACATCAATATAGAGGAATATAAATTCATATACAAAATGAATTATGATACAAGACGATTATTTTAATAAAATAAATAAAAGAGAAGGGACAATGTTTTTAAAACTGATAAAAATATACAAAATTATATTTGATTATTCTCATCGACATCAGCATCTGTTGTTTTGCTATTAGAAGTTAATGTCACATAGAAATCACGTTGAGCTAACTTTAACATTTTATTCACTGATAATTTTGTTTTTGTAATGGGTTTCTGTTTAAAATCACAACCTGTACAGACTACACCGATCAGACTATTCTCCGATAGACTTGAATACAATTTTGTACAGAATTTTGCCACTTTACGATAACATTTCTATGGACAAAATTATAATTAGAGAAGTTTACAACAGAAGAAATAACTATTAACTGTGATAATGATAGAAATAAAAGAAAACATCAAACATATTTGACAATGAATAAGAACTGGATTCAAATACACATTCTGCGTTAGCTGAAATTTTCCAGTGAGATATATCTGCAGCGTTCTCATTACCAATACACACAAACAACAACAACCTAGAAACTCGAATATAAACAGAATAGCTGCGACAACAGTTTCGATGGTAATGTATACGCGTTTCCTAGGATAGAAATAGGAGAACTAGAATTCTTGCTGATGAGAATTGATATTCCAGTGTTTGGAGAAGGGTATAGATTTTAAGTAATAACGACAACACCAACACTATACCAAGGTCTTTCTAGTTCTTTCTTGATTAGTGCAACAAATTACTGTTGAAATTTAATCATTGATATATTGGCGTATGATAATAAGCAAGGCGTTGACCGGCATGAGCTGACTAACCCATTACCAAAGCACTAAATAGAACGTCGAACTAATCTTTGGTATGAAAAGTGATTAAGCGGAGTTACTTGCTTACAAAACAATGTTATTGGTTCACATTTCATTAAGATAATCAGGTGAATCATTCAGTCGATATCAACTTTGAATCTGGGATTACAGCATAACGATCCAAGTTGCCAAACTTTACATCAACATATCAAGATAAAAGGTAGAAAAAAAAGCAGTGAGTCAGTAGGTGAAGAGATTTCGGCGAAGTTACGGAAGACTCTGATATTTACCAGCAAATATCATCTATGGCGGTGGTACGTTCTATCCCACTTTACGGTGACGAAACATGATAGGTAAGGGTGGAACATATGAGATTTTCATCGTTCACTAACAATTTCTTCTCATACTGCCCGCATATGACAGGAAAACTAGATGACCAATACTGAAGTCAGGTGTTTAGTTATAGATGAGGACAGTCAGTCAGTCAGTTGATGAGGCTGTTAAAATATAACAAACGTATTAGAAGAGCTATGAGTTAAGCATAACTTGCCAATATCTGTTCCAATTCACAAAGCTACCTATAATTGGGAAAAGGTTAATGGTAAGCAAACTCAAAAATGAAAGTAACTCGTCACACTACACTAACAGTTGATTTCAACGATGCAAAAACCTGTAAGTTTCTAAACCGCAATCAACGATGGGTGAGAGTAATCGGTGGGTGGAAATACAAAATAACATGATTTGAAATTGTCTGTGAATTGAACTAATGAACTTTTGAGTGTGTGTGAATTTGATAGTTTTTGAGATTAAGAACACGATCAAGTAATTAAAAACAGTAAACTGATTTCTTAAATACCGTCAGTAAAGATGAAAGACAGTCTACAAGTTTCATCAAGACATACACACTAGGTCAGTACCATTAGTGAGGTACGTCCGCATAAGGAAGTGTAGTTCAGCGGTTTACGGAGATGACTACCAACCACTGGATCACGAGTTCGAACTCCGCCTTACATGCCGGGATTTAGGCAGCCAGGTAGTATCACTAGCCGTCACACAATAGGTATGGCTCATTGCCTGGTGCACAAGATTTCTGAGTGCGCTTCCCACATTCATTTAAGCAAGTAAAATGGAGACCGAACACAGTATGTTAGTGTACTTCTACTGATGAGAGCTAACAATTTAACCGCTGACACGTAGACTAGAGTTCAAAGAAAATGAATTAAGCTCAACTTCACGAGTCAGTGAAACTTTAAACCATTAACTTAATTATCGATTGTTGAATAGCCAAATACCTAACAAACAAAAAATCAGCAATAATGCCAAGTTAGTTGACAGTTAAACGATCACAGAAACAAGGGCGAACAACATGATTTAAAACTCAATCATAGATGAACTATATATATATATATATATATATATATATATATATATATATATATATATATATATATATATATATATATATATATATATATATAAAACTACCAATGTTAAACAGGTAAAATATTTTGTATAAAAAAATGCAACAATAGGATATTAACTCACAGTTTCATCCCATTCAGGTGAACAATTTGCTTTTGCCATAACTAATCTCTTTGAATTACACAAATCAAGGATATAGTTTAAGAATTGTTTTGAAATTTTATTTTCTATTGAAGACTTTGAAATAGTTTCACCATTAACATGATTATTATTAATACTACTATTATTCCTTTTATCAGTATTATTGTCATTATCATCATCAATAGCAATAATAGAAGTATTTGTAGCATTCAATGAATCTGAATTCAAGGAGTCCAGAGCATCATTTTCTGCTATATCCATTATTTCATCTTCTTTCTTTTCTTCTTGTTCTTCGTTGACACATCCATAAACAGGCCAATAAGCATAGGATATACCAGAGTCATGTAGTAAACGATCAAAAAGATGAATAGGACTACCAGTTGATTTATACAATGAGCATAACTTTAATACATGATCTTGAAAAGCAATATGAACTTTTAAGTAATGCATATCTGTTAGTGTATGTATACTCCTTTGTGATTCTATTGCCTGATTGGAATTGAGCACAGTAGTAGTGTTGATTTTGTCAAGTCTACCACGAGAATGGTTTTTGTTTGGTTCACTGACTCTTGTAGACTTGAAAAGTAAAGAAGATGAAATTGAGAACAAGCATAACAGAACAACCAACATAGATTGATAAAATCAATGTAAAACCTTGCACACAGGTGCACCGGCTAAGGGGTGCCATATTTCACCGTAGTACACAAAGAACAGGTGGATAGATAAAGAATAGTATCAAAGTAGACTAAACTGTGTGAGAGAATAAGCAATTAGAAGACGACGGTTAGTGTAAATATTCAAGCTTTACAAGATGTCAAGGAGTGAGTATTTCTGCACCAATGTGACCAATTTTCAGCCATATCACCACAAGTTCTCAACTACTGATTCCTTTCGTCTTACAGATCCCTATTAGGCAATTTACGTCTCGCGACACGACTCAGACTAACAGTCAGGGACTTCATCAACTGGTGTCATATCTTGATCTGACCATCATGAATCCTCTTCCAACCAAATCCAACTTCTCCTAGCATGGCGCGTTGACGTACGCGATGGTTAGGGATGTCCAAACCATCTCAGTCAACTAGGGTTTACAACCATATCAACTGACTTGCCTGTCTTGTCTAGTATCCTTCGCCAGACCTCAACAGTGATTTCACCAAAAGCGAGCAATGCTACGAAGACACCAGTGATCAAAATTCTATAATCGCTTCATTTCTCCCACTTTCAACGGTCATGACGCAATCAGAAGTTACTTCATAAAAGTCTTTCACAGCATATTTTACAACTAACAACACACTGAATGACATTTGTGTATAATGTTTGCTTTCAGTGAGACCAGCTGAGAAAGTCACACAATTAGTGACACCGTTCGTGTTTCCTAGTTAACTATTGGATCACTCATACTCCAATTCAATAAGGAAAATGGCTAGGAGGCCACTAGTTTGATTCTACCACAACCGTAATGTCCTTTCAATTATCATTTTCCTATTTATATAAACATTTATTACACAAGGTAAGGAACTTTTATCAGATAATGAAGTAATCCTGAAATCAAGTCAAAATGAAGTGCATCGGGAATGACTGTGGATTCTTATCCGATATAGAGTAGTTTTTCAACCAGTTTTCAAGGCACTGAAAGAGTCACTGGGGAGACATTCATAACGCATGATCACGATACCATCCACTTTACTTTACTGGTCGTATTTTAATCCTTTATAGAATAATTTCAGACAACTGTGAGAACCAAAACGCTGGCTTTAATTAACATATGCTCGTTACAATCTAAAACGCTTTCTTCAGGAATCATCGCAGACTAGTATTGATATTGTGTGATGATTGAAGGTAAAATAAGAATTTGGACCGCAGCTGGATTCCAACCAGCGACCATCGCGTTTCCGGCCCGATGCTCAACCAACTGAACTAGCTACGAGGTCCAACCGCTGGCCAGATTTTTATTTCACTTAAATCATCATGGGTTTCGCCCGACTACCATGTGAATTCGTCATACGTTACTATCGCTTGATCGCATTCACATTGGCTGCTTAGTCAGGACTTTTCATCCTAATTCAAATCTGAAGTAGAAAGGGGAGCATCATATTATCATTTTGACTATCTGGGGTAGCTGCGGTTTGGCAGACTTATACTGATGTTGGGGGGGGGGTGACTGAAGGTAAGATGAAAATTTGGATTGCTGCCGGATACTCAGTTGGTAGAGCATCAGGCCAGGAACCCGGTGGTCGCTGGTTCGAATCCGACTGCAGTCCAAATTTTCATTTCACCTTCAATCATAACCCAGTACATAAATACTAGTTTTTTAAACTTTCCTTTACAATTACTCATAGAAAATTGAATGGAAGTTACAGTACCTTGACGTATAAGTGTGAGTTATAATCTTCTGGGAAACGCCAAGATGTAGTCACATCACCGAACTCAATACCTACACACAGTGAAGGAGAAAACACAGATAAGATAGCAATGAAAGTGATGTGTAATTGAGGACGGAGAATTACGAATGAAAATTCAAAGACTGTGCAGTTTCTAAATCAAATATTGACAGACTACACTGTTTGTCAACACAATGACAAACACACATAGTTGATACAAAAGTTGTGAAATTCCACTGTAATTTCCCCCAGAAAGCAAAATGTCTGCACTTCAAATGATGTCAATAATGCGAGCGTGAAAGCTGTAATGATTGATTGTGATTAGGTCAACGTTTGTGTAACCTGGTGACGAGAGGGAGACCTCCATAAGAATATCTGTGATAAAAGTGAATAAGAATGGAGAGAGTGGGCAGCCTTGACGGACACCACTAGATGAGCATAGCTCCCTGGACATCTCACCCTAGGCTCCACCACGTCCACAAGTGTTCGAGTCGAGTCTTCAATAGGGTGGTGTAGTTACTCGGCACGCCTTTCAGTGATAGACATATTGCCATATGACCTCTCGATCAACGGAGTCGACTACCGCCGCTTTTGGGTGGAGAAATACAGCTGGTGTCGGGTGTCGGTAAGCGTGCCTATGTTTCAGAACCTGGCGCAGTGTGAATATTTGGTAGATACACTTGCGGCTGAGTCTAAAGTCTGGCTGCGTGGTTTTCTCAGGCTTGCTGTGGTGGAGTTCCACTCAGGCGTCGGAGAATTATAGAACCTAGAATCTTAGACAACCTCGCCTGGTTAACTAGTTTACTAGTTACTAGCCGGTCCTAAGCCCGGGTAAAGAGGGAAGGTTGGGCATAGGGCTAGCAACCCTACCCCGTAAAACAAATCTAACCGCTAAAGAAACTTCAAAGCACAAACAAAATATAAAAAATGAAAACAAACTTATTCCCCGCTGGAATCGGAGAGGCGAAATGACGCCAGTTGGTGAAAGCCTTCGGGAAGCCAATTGGCCGATGTGTCTTCTCTCCCTATATGGAAGCGAAAGTAAACGTGGGGACATGGAATGTCCGCACGATGTTTGAACCCAGTAAGGCAGCCCAGATTGCAAAGGAGATGAGAAGGTATAACATCGAAGTGCTTGGGATTTGCGAAAGTAGATGGAATGGGAGTGGACTCTCCAAACTGTCAACTGGAGAATCAATAATCTACTCCGGTCACCCAGACGCCAACCACGAGCACACTGAGGGAGTGGCTATCATGATGTCCTCAAGAGCATCGAAGGCTCTCATGCAGTGGGAACCAATCTCCTCCAGGATCACGACAGCAAGATTCAACTCAAAAGGAAGAAAGGTCACAATCATACAATGTTATGCACCTACAAATAATGCAGAGCAAGAGAAAAAGGAGGATTTCTACAGACAACTTCAATCAACACTGGACAAGACGTCAGTTGGCGATATCAAAATTCTAATGGGCGACATGAATGCCAAACTGGGAGGGGACAACACGGGAAGAGAACTAACCATGGGTCGAGAGGCGCTAGGTGAAATGAATGAGAATGGAGAATTGTTTGCAGAATTCTGCGCATTCAACGATTTGGTGATTGGAGGCAGTGTGTTCAGGCACAAAGATATCCACAAAGCGAGCGACATGGATTTCACCAGATGGACACACTAAAAATCAAATCGACTTTATCTCAATCTCAAGAAAATGGAGACGCAGTCTACTTAACACAAGGTCAAGAAGAGGAGCAGATGTAGGTTCAGACCACTATCTAGTGCAAGGAACCTTCCAAATCAAGTTAAAAGCCTTCAAGGAAGCTGGTGATAGACCTCAATTCAAGTACAACACTCGGAAACTGAAGGATGAAACTACAAAGGAGATCTTCAAGGCAGCCATCAAGACAAAATGGGAGACAACGAGCAATATCCCTGAAGAAACCTGTGTGGAAGAACACTGGAAGTCTTTGAAAGCTATGTGGAAAGAAACCTGCACAACCGTATTAGGAAGGAAGAAGAAAGAAGATAAGGAATGGATCTCAATGGATACATGGAGGCTGATAGAGGAGAGGAGGATGGTGAAGCAGAAGATAAACCAATGCATGGATGCTCAACGACAAGAGGAACTGAGTACAATGTACAAAACACTGGACAAAGAAGTGAAGAAGAGTGCTCGCAAAGACAAAAGACACTTCTACGAAACACTGGCAAGTGAAGCAGAACAGGCTGCAGGTAAGAGAGACCTGACGACATTGTATCAAATAACCAGGTTGCTATCTGGGAAGAAGTCAACGCAGACGAAACCAATAAGAGATGATGACGGAAATTTAATTACGAAAGAAGAGAAACAAAGGAAACAATGGGCCGACCACTTCAAGAAGCTCTTGAATCGACCACCACCATCACCACCTGCACTTCGTCCAGAAATACCACCTGCAGCCGCTGAATTACAAGTGAACATAAATCCCCCAACGAAAATGGAAGTCGTGAACGCCATAAAGCTACTGAAATGCGGGAAAGCAGCAGGACCAGATGGGATACCGCCAGAAGCACTGAGAACAGATGCAGAGACAACAGCGGACATGCTCACACCACTATTGCAGAAGGTGTGGAAGGAAGAGAAGGTACCTGCTGGTGGATTGGAAGAAGGGTTACCTTGTCAAACTGCCGAAGAAGGGAGACCTCAGTGTTTGCAAGAACTGGGACGGAATCACTCTCCTGTCCACCCAGAGCAAGCAAAATATTAAGCCGCATCATCCTGGAGAGGCTAAAGAATGTACTGGATTCAAAACTACGACCGGAACAGGCAGGCTTCAGGAAGTACAAATAATGCACGGACCAAATTGCAACGCTTCGTATCATCATAGAACAGAGCATAGAATGGCAATCAGCTCTCTACCTCAACTTCATCGACTTTGAGAAGGCTTTTGACAGCGTCGACCGAGAAGTAATTTGGAAACTGCTTCAATACTACGGAGTACCGCAAACCTTTATCCGCCTCATTCAACAACTATATGAAGATGCCACATGCCAAGTAATCCACAATGGGAAGCTCAGTGATGCTTTTGCACTGGAAGTGAAGACAGGAGTGAAACAAGGTTGCCTACTATCCCCCATGATATTCCTTATTGTGGTGGACTGGATCATGCAGCAAACAGTAGGCAGCGAGAAAAGGGGGATACACTGGACGACGGAAAGTAACCTAGAAGACTTGGATTTCGCCGATGACTTATGCCTAATGTCACACAAACTTGAAGATCTACAGGCGAAAACTAACAAGTTGATAGAAGAGGCAGCTAAGACGGGACTTCAGGTGAATATAGAGAAGACAGAAGTGATGAAGATACCACACCACCACCATCAACAACAACAACAAACTCCAATCACCGTCAACGGGAGAAACTTGAAGGAAGTAACCTCCTTCACTTATCTAGGAAGCGCTGTTTCAACTACAGGCGGGACGGACGAGGACGTCAAAGTGAGAATCGGAAAAGCAAGACAGGCGTTCATTAGCCTGAAACCAGTGTGGAGATCTTCTGCACTCAGCATGCGGAACAAGATACGGATTTTCAACACCAACGTCAAGTCAGTGCTCTTGTATGGCTCAGAGACTTGGCGCGTCACGAAAGGTATTTCCAATAAACTACAGACATTCATCAACAACTGCTTACGCTCGCTGCTGAAGATCAGGTGGCCAGAAAAAATAAGCAACAAGGAACTCTGGGAACGAACCAACCAAGAACCTATCACGCAACAAATATGCAGGAGGAAGTGGAGATGGATTGGGCATGCACTGAGAAGGCCGACTGAGGACATCACGCGCCAGGCCCTCGAGTGGAATCCCCATGGGAAGCGACGAGTTGGACGTCCGAGGGTGACATGGAGGAGGTCGTGCGAGGAGGAAATGAGAGCTTCTGGGCTGTCGTGGGACCAGGTTCAAAAGATCTCAGAGAACAGAGTTCACTGGAGGCGTGCTACTGAAGCCCTATGTTCCACTAGGAACCCAAGGGACTAATAATAATAATAATAGAATCTTAGACACTGTTCGTCAGGTTAGTTCCTTTGTGGTTATCACAAGAGGACTTCTCGCCTTTCTGGTTAACACTTCCGTCGACCTGACTAAGGTCACCTTACCACCATCCTTGTATACCTCTGAAGCTAGTCCGTCTGGTCCTGCCGCTTCTTCCCGTTTCAGGTTACCTACTGCTTTCTCGACTTCTGCTAGTGTTGGGTGGCCTATCTCAATGTTCGATTCAGGATCCGACTGGATAGCGGGCAACATAATAGTGGTTGGAGGCCAGTGAAACTGTTCTTCGAAGTGTTCTGCCCATCGTCCTAGTCATCTCTGCGAACGAACGCTTTGTTAGTATGCGACCAACATCACCAACGATGTATTTAGATTTTTCAAAGGTTAGAAAAGGGTCAAATCATTTAAACTATCGTAATGCTAGCTAGCTACTTGAGCCAACTGATGCTGTAAAAGAATAAAATTCCGTGTTTAGGACGAAAACACTTGGAAGAAATCATACAACTACGTGAAACTGAGATGTTTCACTATCAATGGACTCGTTAATATAAGTGAAAAACTTGGGCACTGTGGTAGAATAGTCCTGTCACCTGATCTCTCTTTGTTTTTTGTTTTTTGATTGGTAGTAAAGTTTTCCATATCTACATACGTAGGATTCTCAACAAGGTTGGAATTAGGGTGGCATTTAAACCAACAAACTCACTTAGAGGTAAGCTTTGTCGGCTAAAAAGATCCGATAGAACCAATTAAGCAAAATAATATAATCTACCAAATTCCATGTAATGACTGTGAAGTCAAATATATAGGTCAAACTAGCCGGTCGGGGTCAGTTAGATTAACAGAACATAGGAATTTAGCTAAACATAGAACGGCAGACCCCAATAAGATCAATAACCTAGAAAAACACTCAGCCATTGCATTACATTCATTAACACACAACTACACAATAGGGTGGGAAAAAACCACTGTACTTAAGTCTAATATAGCTAGGTGGAGAGACAAATCAGATCACATTTTACTATTTAAACTATCGATAACTTGTACACGTTTATATTCTCTAAGGAAGCGATTTCCACGAAGTTCTGAACCGTCAGAAATTTATTTTTCTATTTCAATGGGATTTTACAAAATATATTTCATCTATAATCTATTTACTCAGTGATAAACTAATTCAACTGTATCAGGTCAAATTTTGATCGTAAAGTTTATGATAAAGTGCCTTATTGTTAATGCCCTGAAGACTTTCAATTAAACGAGAGTAAGTCTGTTGTACTCTCACCGTTATTTCGATGTATGAATTTTTCAATTGATTATTGCTGTTAGTTAAAAGAATTGAGTGTGAATACAAATTCCATGGTGATGTTGTAACAGTATTTATCTTACACCTTGAATACAAACATCATCAATTAGTTTATTTTTTTTGTCTATTGTTTCTACAACCATCAACTTGTTAGAATTCAATGTACAAGTCAAGGGTATTGAAAACCGTTCAAAGTTATCAACTTTATACGCTGATTTGTGTTTTAATTTTAGACATTTTTGGGTTGTTTTTTTTTTCCATTCCTACACATCATTGCAAACATGTAACCAAAAGGTGTTATGAATTTCTGAATTAAGTCAAACTGAATTGAGAGAATATAATCAAAAGATGATTAGGAAGGAACTAATACAAACCAAAACAAAGTGTACACACGCCTATATACACATAGTGAACAACTGTATGAACACTAGATAATAAGTTAACTTAGGCAGAAAGTGAACAAGTGAATTCCTACGCATAGATTGTTCCTATATTAGGTTGTAGATTAACTATCCTATCAAGATAACTTATAAGCTGAATATAAATTTGTATACTAGACTATAATAACTCTTATTCTGTTATAATTAACAAAAGTGTCGTAGTTGGTCAAATGTCAGTAGACGCGGTTAGAATCAGTAGAGTCAAGACCTGTAACCATAGAAACGAAAATATTTTCACCTATAATTCATAGTCGACTATGTGGATTTAGACTTTGGGAGTTGATAAAACAAAAGCGTTATTCATCTAATTGACTCAAAAGCTCTCACTTCAGATGGACGATAACATGTATTTGTGTGTATACAAAAATCAGTCAGTCGATCAGCAACACTGCGGAACTTGGCATTAATGTGTAACGGTTCAATTTGACACACTTCATATCACCACATCAGGGTAAAAGATATCAAGATGAGAGAAAGAGAAATAAGGCAGAAAGTAATCAAAAGACAAGAGAACAAGAAAAGACAAACCAATGATGAAACTCGATAAGACAATAACGTGTGGATGCATCTACCCCATAGGGATCAAAAGCGATTTCGACTGTCATATGGATCCCAAACCGAAAGTTCACATTTCCCTACACTAATCAGACCAACAATCAAAGACTTCATGGACTGATACTATGCTTTAGTCTGGTTGTCCTAAACCTTTTTTCAAGCCAGGACCTACTTCAGCAAACACTGCGTGAAGGGATATACGGTGACTGGGTACTTACAACACATCTCCTTGACACATGTGTCGACGAAAGTTCACAACTTCATCAAATGATTTACCTGTTCTGCCCCAAATTCTACGCCCGACTTCTGAGTTACTGAAGTGATGACACCATGAAGCATGGACTATACTACAAGGTCAACAAGGGTCAAATACTTGAAGCCTTCTCATGTCCTCTGCTTTTAATGGCTATGTTTCACAGCTGCAGAGTGGTGCACCGAACTCTTAATAGGCGATTGGATATCACTACGGTGCCACGGATACCGTAGATTGGTATGGTTATTTGCAAATTAGTTGATACACCTGAGTCCCTTTCCAATTCCCAAGCTGTAGAGTCAATAGAACTAGCGTCGGGAACCATCCAGCCAAGAACAAAAAGTCACATCTCTGACAAAACACCGTCATAAACTGACGAAATATGCTAGAGAACAATATGAGTAATCAGAAAGCACTCATGCTGATCTGTATATTCCACTAACCAGATCAGAGTGATCTAAACGTTAAATCTGACTGGTTTTCTTAGATGAACACGCGTTAAACTACTCTAGTCTAGTTAGCGAAATCACTCTGAGCACTTTCTGGTTATTCAATTTGTTTAGCAATGTATTTCGGAAGTAATATATATTGCTGCTTGTTTATCAACCTCACAAATTGCTAACCTATAGTAAAACTTTCGTTCACAGGAAAATAATTTCGACATACCTCGACTTAATTTCAACCGCACAAGATCCATAGTTGCAATGGCATCTTCAGCTGACGAATGACCTCCTTTACCCGTTTGAATCATCCGGCTATTTGAGTGTGAAAATAATAAAAACAAGGTATTTCATTAAATAATGCGTAGATTATCTCATGACTAGAAATTATTCGATACGTATCAACATACTACTGAATAGCTGGGGTAGTAGTTGACACGTTTCATCAACAGCTATAAGTAATGAAAACGACATTATAAACAAGCTAGCATTTTCAGCGCATTCTCAATAACTTCAATTCACAAACTGTATTGGTGCTCACATCTAGTGCTGAGAATCATTACGGCAATAACTTACAAGATTTCTAGGTTGATACAGATTTTGTTATGGTTTTTAAGTCATCGAATCAATGATAAAAGAAACAGACAGCCAAACATTGCATACCATTGCATTGTTGATCAAGTTGCCACACTTCCCAGAAGTATGCAAAGAACAAGTGGTAGAAAAAGAGTGATACCAAAGTAGACAAAAGTATATGGGAGGAGAGGGAACATTCAAGTTTTAGAAGACGTCATGGAGTGAATACATTGTCACCGATTTCCAGCCGTTTCACTAAGAATCCTTAACCACTGATTCCTATCGTCTCGGTGACTCCGACCAGTGATCTTCAGATTAGACCCAAATTTCTTGATAGAAGGAGTCGATCATCGAAAACCTACAGACTGACAAACAGGTTGAGAGATGGGTTAACCTGACATGGAAACTTATACACAAAGGCATCCCGTTCCATCTGTCATAAAGCTATGAGCAATGCTTTACTCTGCAACAGTTCATGATACTACTTGGTTATGCACATCTGAGCAGGTAAGTTGAAGGATAAACTTAGGATTTATGGCTTAAAAGTGGAGTAATTAAACCCCCAAAGAACAAAGCCTTCCTGTTCATTGAGAGAAAAATATAATTCCCATACAATTCTGATGGTGACAGTAGACATGGATTCATTTCATACAGTGAATTGATAGCTTAAACTGCCTGTAAGCCATTTATTACTTATGATATAAAATTATCTGCCATGTGATATTAGTGGCAGGTCTGTTTCAGCGAAACGGCACTCATTAACAGTGCAAATCCACCACTGATAGAATACATGGGAGTAACATAATAACAAGACAAGTAAACGTATACACAAATACGTAGAAAACATACCCAAGAAAATGCTCAGCAAGAAATCGAAGACGTGCTTTAGCTGATCGACTACCTTTCATATTATATATAACACTTGTATCAATCAGGTATGGATGAAAAACCTAAAAGGAGGTAATCCAAAGAAAGATAAACATGTTATAAGTTTAAACAGCAGTACACAAGTGACCTTCCAAGAAAACCGTAAAAAGATTTTTTTAAACACGAAAGTCAAAGGTCTAGGATGTTAGTTTTATTCAAATATAATAGATTCAGACTTCAGATACCTAGACGAACCATGAGCAGTGAAGATAAAGAACAGTGACTACTACGAAAAACTAAACAAATAAGTCATAAACAACTCAATCGAAATCGTTTGACCCTGAACGACAATTTTATTGTACATATTGTAAGAAAAGTTCTTTGGAACGCCAATGAGGACGAAACAGCCGTCCAGTGCTCCCAGGTTTCCTTTGTTCCTCCAACTGATGTCAGTCTACAATGCATAACAACTCCCTCCCTCAAAATCCTATATACTTCAAAGTGCAATCTAAAGTTTTACATATATGTGTAAAATCCACCACCATTGGACGACAGTTCTTTTAATGTTCATTTCTTTGAACCATAATAACTATTTCTAGTATTATACGTCGATATTGCTGGGAACAGTAACACTTGAAGAGTGGGAAATGCTTGAACGTCGACATTCACCTGGATTACAAGATTTTATATGGATACTTACTGATTCTTGAAATCGTTAAAGTGAGATCTTGCTGGTCAGTGAAGCTGTGAACATAAGAACTGCGTTAAAATAGACGTTTATCTGACGAAACATCGGATTATACAGACGGATCAAACATGACGACTACTTGTAACGTAAACATCGAATATTGCGCGACTTTGGTGCCACTTTAAAGGGATAAAAAGAATGGTAAGCGGAAACGATCTTAACCCATAAACACTGTGTATTGTACTGTTAAGTGATATTTCCCTGCTCTTTTCATAACTTCCAGAGATTTCTGATATCATGATAGAGTTGAATGTCCTCCTTTCTGTACCATTCAGGTCACCTCAAAAGTTGTAGATTTCTCGACCGGCTTTACTGATGTTAAATTCATAATCTGAGAATAAAATATTTATTCATTTTAGGTTGGAATTCATCATAGACTGACATTAGCTGGAGGAACATTGGAAATCTGGGAGCACTGGACAGCTGTTTCGACCGACTAGTATCGGACTCCTTAACAGTGCGCACTCACGACCCCACTCCGCCAGGGGTCGAACCCAGGGCCTTCAGGTTCCATGACTTGCCGCCTAGTACTCGAAACCTACCCCCACTTTGGCATATTAATCCGTTTTCTACAGAAAACAGGTATCTGGATCGAACTGTGAGTGCAGTAAGCAAATGTTATTCATCTTCACTATCCTATTAGTCAATATCTAGACAGCGTCATTGGCTGTTCATGAGAATTTAATTCGTTATAACCGCCACTCTTTTTCCACACAGAGAGAATCTACATTCACAATGTACAGGGGAAATCAAGGGGGATCGAGCTTGTAAAAAAAGCAACTTTTTCTGGCTATTTAGACAAAAATAAACAACCGAATAAATTCAGATAAGATTATCCACAGGTGAAGAAATGAGAAAAAGAGAGAGCAGTTTAAAGTTAACTGCACAATTACCATGAGAAATTTAAAAGTGATTTTTTGTTAAAGTCTCCATCATATTTCACCTATCCAAAGGTGAAGGAATTTACAAAAGATGAAAACCAATGAGCCTAATAAACCGCATAAAAGCAGGATTAATACTGTAAAAAGTCGCCATAACACAAAATAACAATATTATCACAACTGATAAATAAAGACTGCATGCATTTTGATATACTACGACCCTTATACATTTAAACAACAAATAAGTCCAGTATATATACAAGACTACTTTATGCTGTTCATAGAAGAAATGGAAACAAGTAAAGAACAAAGAAGACAACCTTGACTAACATCCATGGAACAACTGACTAGCAAGTATAGGGAATCTACAAAATTGAAAGTTGTAAAGATTCATTGAAACGTTACAAAACTAAGCGAAACACAGCAGAAAATATCACATAACATCAGTTGTACGTTCTCTTTACCTTTACTTACACCTGTTGTTGCCTTTCTTAATATACTGACTTCTTTCACTAACGTTGTCAAAATTTCAAGACATTCGAACTAACTAGCATATATAGTCATGGTTAAAAAGTTGACAAGAAACAGAAATATTTCTTCCTGAATAAAAAACTCAGAAATTTGAATATTCAATCTTTAAATAAAACCTAAATTTTTATGATCATTACAATGTTCCACTGTGGTGCATCAATAAAATCATAAGGCTGCATAGGATCTGGTATACAAGATATCAAGATATATAAAATACATCAAAGTATAGAAAAAAAAGTCCTACAGGAATGGAAATAATATAATTAAAAAAGAAGAGAGATGATTTAGAAAATAACGAAATTTGATAAGCCGGTTAACATGATGACTAGATGCAAGACACTTTTGCGCCATTGTGATAAACTGATAACATTGAACAACTTTATGAAGTGAATTATCTCTTTCACTAAAGATCGTATACCTTTATTTTAATCTCATCCATAACGATGATCTTATACAAGAAGCCGTCTCTTATATCCTCCACCTTTGTTGATTATGTTTGAGAATCACACAACATGCCAGGATGAATTCAATCAAACTACCATGTTATAAACTCATGTAATATGTTATTAATTTAAAGCAAACATTGACGGTAATTATTGATAGTCAATAAAACATAATGCGAACAAATAAACTACACTAGCATACAAATGTTGAGTTAAATGATACATGGAACACATATTTTGCAGTATACTGTTTCCAATTGAGTCCAACTACTTTGTTTAGTGTATCTAAACTCTGTAAAAAAACAATACAATTACTTATCATTTCTCTGTCTCCCCACCGATAAGATAATTGTGTCCAAAGTTTTTATTGTTATGACATTTATAATTTACCGTTGGTATACAGGGTCGAATCACTAGATTCCTGCAGTTGGCAGATAGGTACTGGGTTCGGGTCTCAGAGGGAGTAACGTCGACTACTGAGGTGCATGTATATCCAGCTGACGAGTGCCAAATAGGACGAAACGCGTGTCCTGGATTCCTCTGCTTGTCACTAATATGAATGTTTTCAGTTTTTCTACATGTTAGCTACTTTATCCATACTAATAACAAACATCTTAGGATTGTCAATATTTAAGAGGAGGATTTGTCTTTTAATAACTAATTTACATTTGAAAATAAGTTCACGCTAGTCATTTTTATTCCTGTGAAGTAGCTATACTTGTTTGTGAGTAGCGTTACTCAGATAAGTCCATCTCCTAAAAAAATTGGCTCAAATTAATTTTTAACTGTAAGGGCTGTGTACATTAGACATAGTTTGTATTTGTCCAAGTTACAGCGTGTTTGAAATCAAGTAATTCCAATGTTTCGCACAGAAGTCTGCTTCAAACTCCTTCGAGGAAATAATCAAAATTGAAATGTCAAGGATATATATATATATAAATGAATCCCAAAACGTGTATTTGAGATCCTGGTTCAATCCCCTTTGTGTAGTCACTGCCTTTCTCCAACCGTCCATCCAAAGCAACATAGGACCAGACATTACTGCGTAACGATCCAAGTTGCCACACCTCATATCAGTACAATAAGTTAAAAGACAGTGAGGTACAAGATGAGGATAAGAAAATTCAGTCAAAAAATATGAAGTACTGAAAGAGAGAAAGGAAGAATGAGAAAATGGTGAGATTCGGTATAGCGTCGTTAAGATGAGGATAATGTATGTAAACATCTGCGCCATTGACATCGGTTTTCACCCATCATACATCACCTAGAGTCTCCCACCACTGGTTCATCTTGTCCCTCGGACCCCAACCAGCTAGTCTACATCGCCGCACATGGCTCAAACCAGCAGTCAAAGACTTCATACATTCATGCCATGTTTTAGTCTGGCCACCTCAGGTCTTTTTCTAGCCTCAACCTACTTCGGCCAACATTGTGTGACCAGGCAATCGGCAACTAGCCATACGTAACACATGTTGGAGCAAACCATCTCAGTCGACGAAGGTTCGTGTGTGTCTATGTATTCGAATTCATATTCGCCTTGATTGTAAATATCAGACAAAAAGGTCACAGGTGACATTATAGTCATCCGATAATTTCACAAATACAAAGAAATGGATGAAGCGGATATTTATACCATTTCAGTTGAAATATGAGTGATTTTAAAGGCCACCCTAACAACTGTTAAAACGACCAATTTTGACTCTGTATATTTTGAAAATCTAACGTCCTAGCCAAAATACCGAAACCTGATTGTCTGTTCCAACAATTACTAGGGTGGCCTTTGAAGTCACCCTTGAAATATCGTGGTGAATGGCACTAACGAATTTTTCTCATTGATTTACCGGAATAGAGTGGAAATGATTAGTAGTAATGAACGTGATGATGATAGTAATAATGAACCAAAAATCAATTCAGATTGTGTTGTTGTTGATGATGCAAATATAATGAAGTTGAGACCGGTGTTGACAGTAAATGCTTTGAGTCACTCTTTCTGCTTATCCACTAGACCACCGAGGTACGATAGCCACTTTTTGCGCGGTGGGTATAGTTTTAGTGTTGATTGGACCGAACTGATCGGTCTCTATAGGACTGTAGTAACAATACTCTACTGAGCTTTAGTTTGTCTATCAGCTGCAACAAATAGTGAAACGGCATCATCTACTGGATAACGTTTCGAAAGAAATGAATTGTTTATAGTAATATCCACAAGTTACAGCAGTGCTCAAGTTTTATGCATATTATAATTAATTGAATTCAGTACTCAATAACAAAATACAAAATAGAATAGACAGTAATAATGAAGTTAAAGAAACATAAGCAAATCTATCAAAATTATTTATTTAGTTCATAAGCAGATACACAGATAGATTAAAGCAGAGCCTGACATAAAGCGCATCAGTTCAAGTCACCACAATTCACGACAGGAAGAAGCGTGCTGAAAATCAGACATTAAGGTAAATAAATGTGTACAGCAGGAGGAAGAATAAATAGATTAACTTCAAAGATGACAAAGAATAATATACATTTGTATCATAGTGACTATAATACAATCATATCACCAAATGCCTCAAATCATTGATTCCGATTGTACCAAGGACCTGAATCCAGCGATCTACACTTTCGTGTATAGCTCAGATAAATCAATAGTCAGCAACTTCATAGACTGATGCAAAAACCCTTTGCCAAATAGAACATTTTCAGTTGCGCAGACTAGACCTAAGAATGGTTAATCTCCATAAAGTTAAACATGTCTACAATTGTACCTATTAGAATGTCCACAACAAAGTTAAACAAGAATAGTAACAATGGAGAAACATAATCAAGGTTGTTACCAATGGAAACCCCATGCTTTTACAGGGGTCGACGCAAAAAATAGAATAAAATATCTCTAGTGCATGAGAGAATACAATATTAGTTGTAAATCTAGGCAATTTTTCACAAATGTTTGTAGCGTGATCTGTAGCGTACTGAAGGTAAGACTGAAAATATTTTCCAACTATCACACTGTAAAGCTTGAAAGAACACCATAATCTTAAGTTTCTAACAAGTTCTTGGGAAATAAGTGTGTAATGTCATTTTTTTTGAAGCTACTTAAGTGAAACTGCATGGTTTTTGAGAGCCAGACCAATATGAAAAGAGATCTTGCTATATCCAATAAAATCTACTGGAGTTACAGTAGGTACTAGACCGATGATCTTCACCTCGACCACGAAGAGAATTATCTCTTATGAAAGTAAGAGACATGTTCACACTATATTACTCAATGAGTAAACATAGAATTCCGATGGACAGTTTATTAAGGTATTTACTATGAAGACTTACGCTTCCGAACTTTCATTTCGGAAACACGTAGGGACATAAAATGAATTCCTTATTAGGACAGAGACAATGTCTATAATCTCCTAGTTTTTAATAATCAAAGAGCATATAAATCTTCAGTTTACTCACTTTCATCGCCTCTAGATCGTTTCCAATTGAATGACCAACTAGAATAGCATCACCTGGCAAAACCTCATTCAATTCCTTTTGGACATCTGCCAGTGTAGTATCGATTGATGCAAGCATGTCTCTGGTAATGCCACTAAATCTGTGGTAATACAATGATATTAAAAGAAGCCACATGTCGGTATTAGTTTATATACAACAAAGAATTACTTGTATGAATTGCATTTAGAAACTCCAAAGCCAATAAAAAACTGAAGCACCACACTGTGCATTACACCATCTAACAGTTAATAGTAATAAATGTGCACAGAAAATTAGTTCTAGTGAGTTAAAAGTTGAGATGGAATTTAATTGATTACTGAGCTACGGCTCAAAACTCAAGCAATCATCTACAAGTCCGTGCACCAAGCTGTATGTAAACGAATGATATTATTTAGTGTCCCACAAAAGATGACCTAGAGTCAGTCAGTCAGTCATTCATTAATAGCATCTAAACTGACCTGGGACTACTGCATAACGGTTCAAGTTGTCATATCTCCCTCACATAAGCAGATCAAGATACAAGATGAAAGATAGAGAAACAACGAAAAAACCAACCTCAGGGAGAAGATGAGGAAAAGGGTAGTGAAAACGAAGAAGGGATAAAACAACGAAATTCGATATGACGATTAAAATGTAGAGAGGTGTGGGTGCGTCTATGCCACTAAGATCAATTCGGAGTTTAATCATGTATAGTCTCCAACTACGGACTTTTTCTTGGGATGCCTGAAAGAGAAAAATGGGTTATTTCGGGGGAATTCCTGAGTCCACAGGATGTCTACTTGAGATCGGTTACTAATGACCTCCTTGGAAATTTGAAAATCAAATTCGATTGTGCTGAATTTAGCTCCATTCAAGATTTCTACATTGTCAAAATTGAATAGCTGTCCACGTTGTTATCCATGTGCATTGAAATGAGTGACGTTTAATAGCCAATTGGTGTTTATGTAGACGAAGGTGAAGGTGTGGGACCACTTTATTCAAAGTAGTGTTGACTACAATTATTGCAGTTGACTTTGTAAATGATGAAAGGTTTATCTTTTCTGATTTTTGTTGCATCCTTTGGTCTGCATAACAGTGTTTGGAGGGAATTGGTTAGTTTGTGAGTCACATCAATTCCACCAAGTAGTCTCAGTTATCTTGTCATGATTTCTGATATATTCTTCGTGTTTCGTAGGATGATGCGTTTATTGATTTCTGTCGATGACTTTGTAGATGATGATGCACGGGATAGGCACCTTCTGATAAAATTTCAGAGGTAGCCGTTCTTCTTTAGGGTGGACATCAAGTAATTTTCTTCGTTTCTCCATGAAGTTGTTGTACTGCAGTATATTCTCGCTCTTTTGAATACAGTCCGCACGCAACTGATTTTGTGTGTTGTTAGGTTGTTGCTATTGTAGTTGAGGGTTTGATCAGTGTGTGTGGGCTTCCTGTACCCTTGGGTTTCCAGATTTCCGGCATTTGTCCTACTGACTAAAACACCCAGGAATGGTAGTTGGTTGTTTAACTCTTTCTCCATTGTGAGTTTAATGTCATTGAAAACGTTGTTGATCAAACTGTGAGTGTTTTCTATATCATCTTTTTTATTGATGACAAAAGTGTCATCTACAAGTGAATACAAATTTTTGGTTTAATCATAGGTAGAATGGTGACTTCCAGTCTCTGCATCACTGCTTTTGCAATTAATCCGGATATCGGTGATCCTATTGGAGTTCTTTTCATCTGTCTGTATATCTTGTCATTGAATTGGAAGTATGTTGTCAGACAAGGGTCGATGAGTCCCATCAAACTTGAACATTTGAGTTTTGTGCGTTTTGAGAAGAAGGGACATCGTTTCCTTGGCCAATTTAGGTTCGATGGATATGTATAGTACTGTGACATGGAAGGATACCACTATTTCGTCGTTTTCTATGTTAATACTTTTGATCTTTTCTAAGAATTCCGTTGGTGACTTGATGGAATGTCCGCATGACTGGACGAGGTGTTTTAGTTCTCTCGAAAGTTCTCATGGCATGTTGTATGTTGGAGAAGCGAGACTATACGTTGTAGAGGGATATCGGGTTTGTGTAGTTTTGGTCTGGCGTAGAACCGAGAAAGCATAGGTCCACTCGATTTCATACGCCATTTGTCTTGCTTTATTTCTTCTGTTCAAGGTCTTATTGATCTGGTTATCAAACTTTTGGATAGGGTTGGTTTCAAGTGATTGATACACATTTTCGTTTTTGAGTAACTCCTCTGCCTTGCTTGATATAGTCTTCTTTGTCCATGACAACCGTAGAGCGTCCTTTGTCTGCTGGAAGTATAGCGATATCTTTCCTATTTTTCAGTCTTTTTAATGTTTTCTGCCCTTCAGTGTTCATTTGAGCATGATCCCTTTTTTACCTGGTCAGTGGTACGATTGTTTGCCGTATTTCTTGTTGACTGACTTCATTTAATCCTGATGTTTTAAGTGACAATTCTAATACCGCAAAGAATTCCGGTTTCGAGGCATCTCCTATGTTGCAATTCAATCCTTTTTGAAGGAGAATTCTTCCTTTTTAGTTAGTGGTTGTTTTGATAAGTTGGCAACGCAGTCGTTTGTTTCTTCGATTTTGAGCAACTTTTTCCTAAGGACTTTTCTTCGTTGTCCTTTGTATCATCTGCTTGATTTTTCAATTGCTTTTGATTGTTAATCACTGGTTGGCATTTCCTGATCCGATGATGTGCATCTGTGATCATTAATTGTACCATTTGTTTTCCACTTTGTTCACCTATTTTCCATCCCACTGAGCAGTTAACCGGTGGTCTACATCTGACACTCTTCGGCAGAACATGTTGACGTAGTCACTCATGGAGAAAGAATAGTTGTTCTTCTGTGAAAATTTGTCTTTTGGAGAAGTCCTCCCATCTTTGAACAACGTGAAGCGTGCCACACTGGAAACTGACTACATCTCTGCATCTTACAAGCAGTCGCCACGAACAATGAACACTATGAAAGCCTGTAGAACGATATGTGTAAGATATATCCAAGCAACCGGAAGTGATATTTTCCTTCTGATGAACTGAATAACATTCGAACACATTGTAATGTAAATGTATTAAAAGTTACCTTATAAACAAAAATAAATATATCTAACTGCTTTAAATACCTAGTTAGATAGTCTTCAACAGGATTTGGTGGCTTTACAAGACGGTCAAAAACAACTTTACCACTCTCATCAACTAAAGTTACACGAGCTAGCTCGCTTCCCGCTTTAGTAAGCACCATTTCACAATCCACTGCATACATTGGACTGCTTGCTGATACCGGAAGAAATAGAGGCTGAAAACAGGATAAGAAAACGAAAGGATATATGTAATCTCATATTTGAAGAGTATAAATTTTAAAAATACTTGCATGACTTAGAATTTTAGTTAATCTCACGCATTTTTGGTTCATAAAAGCAAGTGGTGATGTGGTCTTTATAGAATATACATATATCTATATCACAGAATCTTCTTTCACACACTTCCGAAGAGTGGATCATAGGTACGAATCCTAAATGTACTTACCAAAGTTTGATCGGTTAGTGTCGTCAGCCATCAGATAATATTAGTCGCTTACAGACACCCAAAGGAAATGATACATAGCACTGTATAGCATTATACTTTGTAATATGCCTACATAAAAAGGCAACAATTTTAAAAGATATTCGAATCGAAATGAAAAGTACTGAGTAACCATGTGCACATTCAGAGAGTCATACTTATTATATGTGATAGCTAATAATACTACTTAGTTGCCCAAACCTTGGTGAATAGGGCAGAGCTGGAACAATCAAAAATGGTTGCATATTAAGAGTATACACAGTCTCTGAGTAAAACAAACAATTGCCAATAAAATGTAAGCAGTATTCTACTCTATGAAGACTGGCCTCTACATATATCGAACCTACAAAACTTCAATCTATAAATACTATAGTGTCTACACCTCTTCAAATTCAATTTCCAATAGTTCAGAAACACTACGTTTTCGTTTTATAAAATATTGACAAATTGTGTAGAGGGGTGATACACCAACACTAATAAAATTAGTGTAAACCTATGATTCAGTTTTCTACAACAAGCTCAACTGATTTATTAGATTATACTTTTACATTTACTCCATCTACTTTAGTCAGTGCAACAGTAGATTGTTATTACATCACATAAGGTGAGCAGACTACTGAAAGAAACTGATTAAGTTTAAAGATACTACTATTGAACAATTTGAGTAGTTACAAATTAGTCGGGCTGATGTGTAGTATTACAAATTGAATATCCTATTTTAGGTATACCGGTACATGCAAAACAGCTAGTCAAATATTCAGGTGAGCAGAAGTTATCCGGGTACACCTCTGATAAGGTCAGCCCCAAACGAGTGAAACGGTCATCTGATGTTTAGATCATTCTTATCTGACTGGCAAAATACCACAGATCAGTCTGAGTAGACTTTAACTACTCAATTTGTTCAGCAGTAGTATCTTTCACTAGTTCATGACACTATGGTGTCTGAAGTCACACCTTATGATCTCGATTAGGTAGTTTCCTGTGGAAACCTTCTTGACACCAGAGTTGAACATTTAAAAAATTACTCTGCTGTGTGAAATATCAAAGTGAACCGTGTAATTTGCAAATTGATCATCCCATCCGATTAATATAGGTCTTGGTGAGTAGCAGAGGAATCCAAGAGGCACCTCTCTTTCTATTTGAAACTTGTCAGCTGGATGTACCAACACCCCAGCGCCCTTCGCCACCTCTTGTGTATCCAGCTGACGAGTCTCAAATAGGACGGAACGCGCGTCGGGGATTCCTCTCCTAGTCACCAAGATCAACATAACATTATGAATATCCGGCAGTGTCGAGGCATCCGCATAGGGGCCCATCTGCCAACAGAGGTCGAGCAACTCGGCCCTGTAGAGCAGCGGGATATTAAAAATATCATTGCAACAACTATTTGATTACGTTTACTATGAGTTAATGGTGTCAACAATACGCAGAACAATTAATCAATGTTGAATTTATACGTGGCAAATCAATGTAGAATCTGAGACATCAGTCTGCTGGTCCAATTCCTACATTATAAACCAGCATACAAAGAAGAAGTAAATGGAAAAAGAATGATATTGAAGTAGAAAAAATTCTGGATGATAAGAAAGAGATAAACAACGATTAGTGAAAATAATCAGACTTCTGGAAATACTAATATGCAATATGTTTAAAAAACAATTCGGAAGAAAAGGTTGTCAAGTTAGTCAGTTTGCGAAACGGGAATCAGCAAATCAAGTCGCCTAAACTGTCACACTTCAAATTATCATATCAGGATGCAAAGCAACAAAATGATAGACAAAGAAATGTTAACAATATCATCAAAAATTGTAGAAAATGGATTAGTGCAAAGAAGATGTGACATGAAGACTAAGATGAAGAAAGATGTTAACGCCTTTGGACTACTCTGATTGATTCTGAGTCCTATTCTTACCAGTTTTGATATTTCCTGCATATGATCGGATACTCACGTGAATCAGTCTCTTGCTGAACAGAATAATAGAAAAGCGATTATTATTATTAGTATTATTATTTGACCTTTGGGTTCCTAGTGGAATATAGGGATTCAGTAGCACCTCGCCATTTCACTCTCTTCTCTATAGTCATTTCAACTTGGCTTCACGACTTTCCATAAGCTTTCATTTCTTCCTCACACCATCTCCTCCATGTCAGCCTCAGCTGCGACGCCCAACTTATCGCTTCCCATTAGGATTCCACTCGAGGGTCTGGCCTGGCGCGTGAAGTTTCCGAATGGTTTTCTCAGTGTATACCCATTTTAATCCATCTCCACTTTCTTCTGCATATTTGTTGGGCAATGGGTTCTCCGTTGGTTCATTACCAGTTAGAGTTCCTTGTTACTTATTCTTATTGTTCTGGCCATCTCATCTTCAGTATCGAGCGTAGGCAGCTGTTGATGTATGTCTGTAGTTTGTTGGAAGCGATGATAAACCTTAATTTTACAATCCACTAATTTACCACTCAAGCGTTTATGAACACGACTTTCAGAATCATCTAAACTCTTTAGGCTAGTAAAACGAGTGATGTAATTTTAATAAGGTGATCGAAACTTTTAGGTAGCCAAACATAGAAATAATTCAAAAGTGGAGCTGTGGCTAATTAATTCAAGCAGTTGACTCTCAACCGATGGGTCACGCATCGACCCCGCTCTGCTTAATGAGGTCTCAACAGCTTGATAGTATCATAAATCCTCAACACAATAGGTGTGACTCACAGCTTACTGTACAGTCATGGATGTGGTTGCTGATTGCATATCAATTTTCGAATGGGTGAGTATACTGTTACGAAACAACTGGTTTAAGTGAGTTTATCCGTTACATAAGTAACACATTAACAAAAATAACAAACGTTCATGCTTTTTTTTTACTTCTATTTCATTGCCACTCTTTCTTATGTGTTGATGTGAAGCACAGAAACTTTAACCGATATCTAGTCAAATCAAATTGTCTTTTGTTAATATCTGACAGCTGTTTTTACACATCCAACAGAAAAATACACGGTATTTCTTTTTCAAATCACTTAAATCATAGATTATATCAACAGAATTCTATCACCTCTAAGAATTAAGTATTATGATGTTATTTTCTTTGATAAATTTAAACAACGTAATGAGATTATCTGAAGTATGTGCTGTATTAGCGCTATACATTTCAAACAATCTAATCACACATGAACTTGTCGAATAGTTTATATAAAACGTAGGAAGGTTAATTAAGCCAATGAAATTATAATGAGGCAAAGACCAACAATACAAAAGAAAAAGAATTCAGATCACCACCATCAATAGTATGAAAAATCGAACTAAATACTTCCAAGGTAGGTTTAGTGTACGTACGAATTGCTTTCGAATACGTAAAGGGGCTTTAATTTAGGGGTAGCAACAACTTCGATAAACCTTTGTCCTTGAGTATGTCTATGCAGTATAGTTAAGACTGTCTTCATATGGATCCTTTGATCGGTTTCTGATATTGTTTCACCATGAGTGAAGAATGACTTTTGTCACCTTCATTTATCAAATTTCTAGACATCATTTGTTTCTGGAGCCACCTAGGCACATGTTCAATCATTCTCAACTATATATCACAATCGCTCTCCCCTATTTATCTTTCTATACATACATGTAGACAGATAGATACAATGAGATGTGATACAATCGGGAGTGTTGTTTAGGTTTGTGTTGAGGCATGGACTTTGTCTTCTCCACTAGGATGACCCTGACTGAACAGTATGTCGTGCTAACAAATAAATGTGCTTTTTCTTCAAGGTTAGGCTATTTGATTCACTCTTACTCCTGTATGGTAGGTATTGCGATGAACACATTTCCCTTAGGGACAGAATACTGATTAAACGATTTCAATGTTATACCTACTGATTAATTTTAATAGCTATCCATTTTGCTTCAGTGTATCGGTAAACAGTTTGGCTTCTATTTCTTTTGGATCTTCCGCGCAAATACAAGTAACCCTATTAAATAAACACGTGATTAAGCAACGCTTGTATTGGACTGGACAGTAACTATGGTAACCAAAGTAAAGTCCTGACCAAGCTGGCCTCCTATGGACAAACTTACTGATTGAGCCATCGACCTTACGACTAATCAGTACGTCTAGAAATGGTAGTATTATTCATTTTCTCACAAATGGGACAACTTTAAAGTCCGTTCTAGCAACGGTTGAAATAACCAATTAGATTTCTTTATTTTGGCTGGAAAGGCTGATTTTCATAAAATAGAGTAGTCTGATTGGTTATTTCGGTTGTTGCTAGGATAGCCTTTAAAGTCACTCTACAAAGGCATATAGCCTTATCAAGTTCTTCATAAATAACAATTACATTGTCACAAATCACTCATAAGAAAAAATATTTCAAGTCAAATCTTAAGTTTACTCTTCGACGTATTACTAGAAGTGATAGCAGTAGTTCTGAGTTCAACCCTTCTCAACATTAGTGATGACCTGACTTCTGTTTTTCTCGTCTTTGTTCAGCCCTTATTATCTTTCTTAATTATAGCCTCATTTGGCTTAATTAACGTTTCTCAGTTTTTATATAAATTATTCGACAAGTTCATGTGTGATTAGATTGTTCGAAATGTGTAGTACTAATACATCACATACTTTAGATAATCTTCGTCCTCTCATTACTTTGTTCAAATTACAGCATTAGTCGGTTTCCAGTGCCTAATTGGTAACTGAGTCATCACCAGATAACATACCTTTCAAGTACTGCATTATAACTTAGATCATTCGATAGTCAGTTTCACATGATACAATGTTCGCATAAACAAAAGCAGTTTCACAGTACTACGCAATGAATTAATACTCTCACAAATAAAGACATACCTTGCTTGGGACAAAATCTGAACGGTCTTTTTGTTGTTTGAGCTTGACTTCTAATTCTGAGGGCAGGGGAATCTTCTCAGTCTTCATTTGTTCCACACTTAAAATAAGCATAGTTCTGTCATATGCGTCTGGTGTACCTGGTGGTGGTAATGTGAAAAAAGAATCTGGTTTCCGTTTTGTCGAAGTGCTCTTCTGTAACTCAGGGAGACTATCAGGGGGTGGTTCTTCCTTAGTAATATTGCATACTGCTTTAAGTAAACGATTAGTTTCAATTTTCTTTGCATCAGCTATCCAAACACGTGAAGCAGGAGTGAACACTGATTTCTGTAAATCTATGAATCGGAGAAAAAGTCATGATATGACAGCTACAAATTATCTACAGATGAAGTATCAAACAGGCGCCAACCCTAGACCGTCAGATTACATTTCCCGGTGGATTTGAAATAGACAACTCAGTGCATTAGACACTTCATGCAAAAATTTGAAACTTCGGCTAGATATGTCATTAAGAACGCATATTGTTAGTATTTGTCATGTTACTTATTAGAAAACACATATCAGCTGCCAATCAGATAGAAACCATTTAGATGGGGCATTCGCCAACTTGCTAAATCGGTGGCTCTTAGCTAGACCTAAGCTCTTATATTACGGGACAAGGAATCTGAATAATACGCTTCAGTCAAACTTAATCTAACTTCTGCTACCAGCGCACGTCGAGGCAGGTGGTGGCTCGATATGTGGCACGTATGTCCAAGCTACCTCAGTCGCTGAACATTCACAACGTTAGTGACCAACTAGCATACCTCCCTTACCTACAATCCTCCGCCTAATCACGACATTGCTCACAAAGTGACTGTACCACACTCGTACAACGCTATCAAGACACCTGTGGTCAAAAACGTGCAACCTCTTCATATTTTCTTCCTTCAGCAATCATGTTTCACAGCCAGGTAACAAGACAGAACACGCTGCAACGTAGTATATACCTTTTTCAATAGGTATTCGGATGTCACCTGCACCGGATATAATGCGAGTTAGCAAACGGGTCTTCGGTAGCTGACAAAATCTTTGTCAGCAACCAGCCCGTTCGAGTTAATGCAACTCCTAAAGTAAGTTAAGTGGTCGAGGCATACCACCGATTCACTCAAATAATCAACCGGTTAATATCAACATAGGATCAGGCATTACCGTGTAACGGTTTGAGATGCCATAGTATATCAGCACAACAAGTAACGAAGCAATAAAATGAAAGAGGAAGAAAAAATGGAGAGCCGGTCAACACCAGTAGAAGAGAGAGAGAGGAGGAATGAGGAAATGCTGAATTCAGGATAGCGGTTAGGGTGAAGGATAAAGTGTGGATACATCTGCGCCACTTACATCAATTCTGAGCCACATCACACAGAGTCTTCAACCTCTGATTTCTGTTGCCACATGAACCCCAATTGACTGGTCTACATCTCCCGACATGGCTGAGACCAACAGTCAAGGACTACATGCAGTGATGCCATGTTTCAGTCTGGTCACCCTGAACCCACTTCAGTTAACACTGAACGATAAGATAAACGATGGCAAGGCATGCGTAACACATTTATCAGCCACTCAATCGGCATCAACTGGCTTTCCTATCTCCCCCAAAACTCGACATCTGATTTCCGCGTTACTCACGTGGTGATACCACGACACACGACCTATGCTTCAAAGGCAACGGTAGTCAAACACCATAAACCTACTCATGTTATTTACCTCTAATGAGCGTAGTTCACAGCCACACAGTAGAATGAAGCAAACTACAGAATAGTACACCCGGCCCTTAGTAGACAATCCAACACCACTGCGGTGCCACAGATAGCGCAAGTTGGCGAAGGTCCGATTGAGCCTTTTACATCCATGCTGATATTCCGTCGGGAAATGACGCACAAAAGCTCATCTGATTTCCCAGGTAAGTGAAGTGGTCAACGAACTCAACCACTTCACTCTCCATCTTTAGCCGGGACACCGCTCCAAGGCCCAATCCTGGAGCAACAACCTGCATTTGGGTGGCGAGAAATACATCCCAAACACGCTTAGACTGCCACTTAATGTATTTAAAATACACTGTATTTTGTCAGCGTCCTCACCTAACAAGGCTATATCATCAGTGTATTCTAGATCTACCAAGAATTCTCTTGTAACTTCATCAATACCTGTCATATCAGATGACGAGAGGGAGATCTACATGAGAACTTCTATGACGAAGTTGAACATGAATGGAGACAGAGGGTATCCTTGACGGACACCGCTCGATATACATAGCTCACCATAGGCTCGAATACGCCCACGGCTGTTCGAGTACTTATTCGGCACCTGTTTCAGTGAAGGACACTGCCACAACACCACGTGGTCGACAGAGTCAAATGCCACCTTTACGTCATGAAATATGGCAACTGTTGGGTGCCGGTAAGCACACCTGTGGTTTAGAACCTGCCAAAGGGTGAAAATATGATCAATGCACCTTCATTCGGGTTTGAAACCTGCCTGGTTTTCTCGAGTTTGCTGTTATCGAGCTCCGGTCAGGGATCGAATAACTATGGACCTAAGGATGTTAGAGACGATGCTAGTCAAAGTAATTCCCTGATGGTTGTCGCAAGACTTATTCCCCTTCTTATAGACTGGGATGATCAGTGAAGTAAACCAGTGTGACGGCATTATCTCTGATTCTCATACACTACTTAATATCTCCATCACTACAGTAATTTCCTAAATCCATTCTTAAAGTCTTCGAGTGGTGAACCGACATGTTTAGTTGCTTTGCACGGTTTCAGGGTTGAAACAGCCTTCTCACATTGGGAAAGAGTTGTAGGACTGAGATCTGTGTCACATTCAGGTTCAGGATGGATGTCAAGCCACTGAAGTGTTACTGTAGGTCACTTGAATTATGCTACAAAGAGTTACTGCCAATATTCTAACCACCTGTCCTGGGAGGTTATCAGGGTCCCAGTGTTTTTGTTTTTCACTCACCACTATCTTCTTGCTGGCATCCTAAATAAGCCTAAATAAGTGCCGGGTGTTATCCTACGCTGATGCCTTCTCTATCTCTCGCTCTTACCACCCACCACTGCTCGTGATCATTGCGATGACTCTTCGCCGATTTACGGTTGAGCTGCCTTTGCTCTTCATTGTAATCTGTCCCAACTGGAACAAGCCTTCTCTCACACCAATCAGTTCGGATGACGTAGTAGAAATCCAATGAAGTTTACTAACTCTCAGGTGTAGGTTACAAACTGTCTTTACCACTGTTTCAACAGAAGACTTAATATCACACCGAGTTCCCCTAGGATGAGCATTGCTGCCATGATCAAATGAATGCTCAGGCAACTTCTGCTTAAATACGTATTTGGCGTCCTCGTCTTCAGTCCATCATAGACAGGCTTTACTATCGCCTGTTTCATGCAACCAGTAAGGTGTAGACATACACGAGTCCGTACCAGCGTGTGATCGGAATCCGAATAGGTACTCCAGAAAGAGTGGCAATCCTCCGATGATGAGACAATAACATCTATCTGTGTCCATCATTGGTTTCAAGTCCGCGGGCGGCATATAAGACAGTGTCTGTCCTTATGCTCAAAGTTAGTGCTGGTCAGAAACAAGCGATTGTCGGGACAAAGTTGCAAGAGACACTCACCGCTGTCAGTTTGTTTACATGGAATTCCATAAATACTTCCCAGATGGCTTTCCGATTGACTCAGCTCTTCCACCTGAGCGTTAAAGTCACCTGTTATAATGACTACATGTGAAAGTTTTGCTTTCTGTAACAGAATTGACAGCTTTTCATAGAATTCATCCTTTGCACTATCCCAACTGCAGTTGGTCGGTACACAGGAGGAGATTACGAATAAGTGTCAGTTGGTCTGACGATCCTTCCTAGTTCTTACAAATCCATTCAGTGGAATAGCATGAAGACGGGTGTTGACTGGTATAGAGTCGAGAAGTGCACTTTCTGCCCTGCAGCTCAATGATACGCAAAACATCAGCGACTCCACGACAGCTAGCCATTGGGTCTCCGGATACTCGTGAAGTGAATTGGAAAGCTTCATTGCACTGGCCAGGTGAGGTCAATCTCATAACCACACTCGGATTCTGTATATGTGTCTCAGAGATACAGAATACATCTATGGCTAAGGATTCCAGAGTACTAGAGAGCGGCGCTTGCTGTCCGATTTTCCACAGAGTTCGGACACTGAAAGCTCCTATACGAAATCGATGGCGGGCTCCTAGGAGACTAGAAACGAGGTTTTGGTGGCGTTGATCGTTGGCAGTGGTTGTAGAGTGAGATATTTCGGAAATTGCAAGAGGCTTAGTATTGGCACTAAGAATGAAGGCATAGGAGGAGATAAAATTGAGGAGAATAGGTGATGTTTGATTAGATCTTGTATACTACTGGAAGCATGAGGGCATTTGACACTTCCCGGCTCCCTATATCGTAGAAGTTGCTTTTGTAGGGTGCCTGAAAGGGGAAAAGGAAAAGATTTGTGATCACAGAGCCGGTCGGACACCTGCTTGAGCCCTGTCACACATAGCCTGTTGAAGATTATTGGTATGAAATGTGATTGTTCTGACTCCATAGAGAGAGAGAAAGAGAGAAAACCCATACTACTGGCAGCGGAAGGCTGCAGAGCAGAGAGTTATTTTTGGCACTAACCTTTTCTGAACCTCCTTCCTACAGGAAAAGCAGCATCAGTATGGTACTGCTGGTCATCCAAGGGAAACGTCCCAGCTAGCCAGCAGTACGACTGCACCTTCGGACCACTATCATAGTGTAGGAATTTACACTGTAACCGTGACTGCTTTCATCTTACTACTACTCAATAAACCTTCCTGGCATATTAGGACCTCGAAGTAACAAGTATTTCAACCAGTATAGCTCGTTGGGTCATTGTGATACGCAAGCCCAACCACCACGTCAAGATAGCAGCCATCGTTTAGGTGTATTCAGCTATCCAAATATTTAAGAAAAGATAGTCATCTTTATCTCAAGTTTTCCTCTAATTTTTCGGCGAAAATTCCACTAATGCCATTAGGCCAAGCAAAAATGATGCTTACTTTAATAATGCTATAGAACATAGAGTTCGCTTTATGAGTGCTTGTGAATCCGATATCAGTGAACTAGTGATAGTGAAAAAGATATTTTAAGTTGCAGTGGACGGGGAAAGTCCGACATTAAAAACTATAACTTCATGTCGACTCAGTCCTAGAAAGGGAATACAGTTCGCAAATTCCTTAAATCAAGGAATATCGATTATGAAAAAATGCTTACGGAATGTGTTGAAAGTAAGTTTGGAATTACGATTACTTGCTGTTTACACAGCTATCCTGAGGAGCTGCATCCCACAAACTAAAACTTCATCGAAAATTTTATAGGCTCAATTTGGTCTTGGAAACTTAATATGAACAATAGTCTAAAACAATTTTTTGAACTTCCTCCCAACAAACCCATACCGAAAAGAAAACAAGTCTCCAGCTTTAATCAAATGAAACAAAATGTAATGTATTCAGAATAAAACTATTCGGTTTCGGAATATTAAAATAAAACTATGTAATTGGGTGACCAGACAAGATTAAGAATGACGGGAGTTAAAATGCAATCAAGCATGTAATAAACACAAAAAGTCATGAAGAATAATGATGTTTCTTCCATTTTCTCATAATTTGTCTTGGTGAATTTACCTGTAGAGCACCAGTTGCCAACGGAAAGGGATTTTAGATCGGTAAATGTCTGTTGTGTTTGGAGATATTCAACTAACCAGTGAGATGTAATATAAGGGTCACAGCTATAACTCCATCATAAAGGTCCTGAATGACTTCCTAAGTAGCCTAATCCACATGTATGTAATATCAGAAATCGCCACATAAAAATGAGTGTTTGTTTGTAACGTTACAGTTGTGATAATCACGAACAAACGCCTATATCAGTTACCTCATTAAGAAATTATAAAGTCAGTATCTATGGCACTTTGACTTAGGGTTTCAAGATTACCTTTCAACTTTCGCTTTAACTATAGACAATATGTACATGCGAACTCACGCATGCTTTATTCTGATTACTTGAGATATATTTTCCTTAGATGAACAGACAAAATGTGAGGTGGTATGAGTGATTATTGACCTATGTTTTCAGAATTGAGCATCAGCATATCAAAATAAATTCAGAAAGAGGGAGGATAACGAAGTAAAAAATATCGGTAGTCGTAGAGAAGACTGTGATGAAACCGTAAAAACCAATAAAAAGAACGAAGACACACTATGAAGCTATTTCTAAGAATTTGATGAAGATATAAAGTGTATGTACATATCACTGTATCCGATTTAGATTTGTCATCTCACGCCTTAAGGAATCTGTTTGGGTTGCTTCTCCGACCTCAACGATACACTAGTCATACAAATGGCTTGGAATAGTACCACATGCTAGTTGGACATTTTACCTCTAGTTTCATCGTACTAAAGCTTATATAACGCATTTAGGTTTATGGTTGACAAACATGGTTAACATATAAACCCGAACCACTATTAGAGAAATCTGACAACCTCATCAATAATGAAAGGCAGTGACGTTTTGCTTTGTTTTAACAAATTTCATCACACCTACCATGTTATGATACAATGTTCTTCATACATTTTCGGTGAGTAGAAGTATGCTGCAGTCATTTTTGAAGTTATGAAAGTGTTTCAGAACAACTACTCACTGAACAGGATTTAGGAATCTAAACACTTAACATCATAGTAAGTAGATAGATTGCTGTCTGATCTATCTCCGGTTTACCAAGGTATACCACAATGAAACTTAACAATATATAGACCGGAATAGAATACATACCTGTCATAGCTGCTGCATGAGATGTGAGGAAAATCCTTGGAATCATAGCAATTTCTTTGTCCCATGTGTACTTATATGCCTCTGGACTCAATAATTTCATGGGCTAAGGAAAATGAATATCTTAGAAGCCTTACCTTTCCGAAAATGGAGGTAAAGCTTTGCTCATGCTCTTCACCTAAATTGACGGTATGTACTCTACTAACGAATATCAAGACAACATTTTTGATCAACGAAGGTTTGATGATTGAACACCAACTGCAAAGGTAGGATAAAGTAAATACCAAAACTTACTCCGGCCATTTAGCGAAGTGCTGAGGAAAAAACGTTAGCCCCAATAACTTTTGGACATCTATAGCGGAGAGGACAATTTGGCGCTTTTTGATACAAAGAATGGGTTTCTGAAAACTATTATTGACATAAACTCAAAGTTAAAACCTTTTCTTTCTTTTGAATTTTATTCATCTTATGACGTTGTCGTCAAATTATATGGCGTATACATAAATCAGATGCCCAAGTTTGCTGTGTTCGAGTTCTGTTATCTTCTATCTCCGTAATTAGCTAATCTGAGCTAAAAATTTCCATAAGAGAACAGATAAATATTAATTGACAGACTCTAACGACAGGCGGTAAGGTTTATTACGTTCCTTATTAGCATGCACACGATTAGCGACTGTATACAATATCGCACCACCCGACGGTAAGTTTTCTTGAAAACATACGTTAAAATAAGAAAAACGGGGTTAAGGAAGCACATACTATCAATCAGTTATACTTGCTGTATTGCAAAGTTAAATATTACCCAGGCTAAAACTACTTTCCATATACTAAAATAACAAAAGTAAAAAGCTGATAGGAACTATGTAGGTTGCATGTAGATTGTTTGAACACAACTTTGGGTACTATTATTTTGGAAGGACTTGGTGAGTCGGATTCGAAACTGCTGTTTACTAATTTCTAAGCTTTCATTAAAAAAATGGCATTTTCATCCGAAGATATCACTAACCAGTGAAGACATTCAAAACAAACTTACCCAAGTACCAAAGCATCTGTAATGTGGACGTTTGAGTTAACCGAATCGGGAAATGTACCATTTTTCAAACTCTACTCTTCCAATTAGCGGGAAAATTTGTATCATATGGATAGGAAGGTCAATGAAATCATTTTCACATAGCGTATGAAATGTAACCACTGAATGACTATTTAAAGGTTTCGATACCTTTGAGTCAATAAGAAATTAGACTGAATCATATGAGAATTCGTAAGTAATGCGGTAACTTAAGTGGACCTCCAAGCTTTCAATACTTTTGCAGGAAACATTCGGTTTTTTAAGAAAGTCAGTGCATACATACATCTAAATATTTCAAAATATGACAAAACACCGTTGTCAGTATTCTCTTTAGATTCACGATAGACATTGTGGGCGAAGACCCAAGAAAACAAAGTACTGATTCTCACCTCGAGTGACTAACCCTTTGGAACCGACTTCCAGAATGGATGTCCACATCATCCATTGGTTCCTTCAAAAGACAACAGGACAAGCATAGAGATCCGCTGGAAAAGAACTACTTAAAGCCCACAGACTTCCGCTTTTGAACCACAAATCTGAATCTGAAATAAAAATAAGGGTGCAGCCACAGATGCGCAGTCTTATTCGAAAGACTCAATGTCAAAAGCCCGGAAATGTGGTGGAGGCTTCTCTTCAGAAATTTCAACAGTTATGGAATGCCCTCGGGAAAGCTAGAACATAAGTATCTCATTCGGAAAGCGTTTAAGTCTCTCAACGTGCCAAATAACGAACACAGCACTTTCAAAAGTAACTTACTTTTGGAATTATTACCGAAGCTTAGTAAACCTATTTACATTCTGGCCCAAATTGCAATTGGTATCGGTAGGTGCATCAAACGAAATTGGGACATGTACCATACCCGTTTAGGTAGAAACTATTTTGATAACACCGAGCGCGAAGAAATCAACTGGTTTACACTAGCTCGTAAAAAAATAACGGATATATGCTGAGTACCAGCTTGGCCGCTGGTATACTCACTGGTTAGACATAAATATAAGTACCAAATATAGGCGTAGAAAGAAATTTGCACATAATAACTACGACGAAACGCCAAAATAATAATACACTAACTTCCAATTCCCATCCAAGGTGCGCGATATTACCTACAGCGAGAAAGGTCAACCGGCCCGCTTCGGATGAATTCAGCGGGTTTTGTATATACAATGTCTTATGGTGTACCGTTTGCAACATCACTATTGCCGAGAACTGCTTAATGACAGTACGGTAAGCAGATTAATGAATTATTCGGAAGAATTATTCACCTAGTCACCCTGAACTGTATTCAGAAAGACTCTTGTCGTTACAGAATACTTAAACAGCACATGTAGGTGAACAAGAGGCAGCTATTATTCGGGCCCGTAGCAAATTTGTTTGCTGCGTAGGTTCTCGTCCGCTAACCCCCGTAATTGTGGGCAATATCACCAATGCTTTGAATACTTCATGTGTAATACGCATATTGGAATCAGTAGTTATTTATGTGCTTATCTGGTAAAATTTCAAACCGTTGTTGACAGTTTCGGAAAAATTCCTCTCCTACCTGGCTTTCACGCGCACAACCTGGAAGCATGGTTGAATCCATCGTCCCTCTCAACCCTTGGTAATAGTTTTTGTGTGGCTACATGCACAACATTCATATAAATCTTTCCGAATTTCCTGTTACGATGGGATTCTTCGGGCTTCATAGTATCAGGAACTCATCGTATTATCACATGAGTGTTTCGAAAGCAGTCTTCCTGGCTCTCTTATGCGACCTCTTACAGTTTCATGAATACCGTATTAGAGATGTTACCAAGACTTCTCAGCTCCTCGCCAGTAGGTAGATGAGAGGCTAACAGTACATCTTCTGTAGCCCCTGCTCAAGCTTCACTAAGTTCGTTTATAAAAATGAATATACACATGATGTTTTCCACCGTCGAGCACATATACTATGGTGAACAAATGCTTTGTCTCTCATGTGAGTGAAGGTACAGGTAGTGAGTGAGTACAGATAGCCTACCATAAATCTACACTATTAACGATAAGAATGGCCGTGAAACGGCGGCTACAACAGTCTGTAAGCATATTTCAGAATGGTGGCAGCTCATTTTCTTTCTTCCTCCCCAGTCATGCACCCACCGTATGGTAGTAGCGACGAAATATCTTGCAGAATTCATCAGATTTACTGTAAACTCAAGTTATGAATAGGTAACACCTGACCAGGTTGGCGGTGCTGCAAACAACAGAGGCAGGTCGGTTGGTACGTGGGAGCCTTATAGCGGGATGCCAAACAGGTCAAACAAACAACCAAGTCAGCAAATCGACTAAAAACTTGAACCACTTAATGAAAATTCTACAGCAAATGGAGAGATCATCACTATTTATTGGCATACTTGTTATTCTCCATCGTTTTTTTGGATCATATTGTTCGACCTCTTTTCGGTCCACCAAAACAACGGAGAATAACAAGTGTGCCAATAAATAGTGATAACTACTACCCATTGTACAAGAAATGGTTATCGTTCCTCCGTGGCATAGTAGATAACGCCTTGGTGTTTGAAGAGGTGGGTACAAGGTTCGAGTCCTATTGGGAACAACATCACTCACTGGGGTGTGGGTACATCCAACTGACGAGTCCCAAATAAGATGAAACGCGCGTCCTGAACTCTTAGGCGAGCCACAGCGGACCAAGTTATCATAAATGGGGGGGTATTAAAATCTCCGTCAAATATAGTCATTTCTTGTGCAGCTTTAACGGAATAATGACAGCTTACATCAGTCACGACACAACGCTTGCGTGGCAACATGCCACGTACTGGCAGTCTTTAATTTGTCCTTAAATTTGAAGTCATGTTGATGCCCGATTTCACCCAAACGGTAAATTTTCCCTCAACATCTGTGATCGATTTTTTCCCTATGTGCAGCATAATTTCATACAGAGACATTTGTTATTGGAGGCACACTATTTCGCTTTTCAGCATTCTACTTCCCTTTTACCCCGCCTTCAATCTAGGCAGCTGATCAAATGAGAAACCTTACGATAAAGCACTTTTCTCATTCTTAATCCACCTTAAATTCACTCAGTTCCACAATTTCTTCAGAGTCGTCATCACGCCATTCAACCATTTCATGTGGAATGCTGGCAATCCTACGTTATCCTTTACGATGTATTCAGATGCTCGGAGAAACCTTCCTAGGAAACAGCTAGCATTCTGGGCAGTAGTGGATAAGCGATCAAATCTAACGGGCTCATTACACGCTGTGGCGGCCAGCTGTTGACAAGTCTTCACCTACCTTATGGGTGAGCCTCTCCAAAACAGCGCATGGAGGTGCGCATTGGTTTGACGGCGGCAGTCCACTCAACCGCCAGGAGAACCTGGGGGGGGGAAAGAAGGAGAAAATGATATGAGCTCACCACTCAGCAGGCGCAAAGAACTTACTAAAGTATAATTCTTAACTGATTACACACATACATACTCACCTACTTCATCAATCAGTTAATTACAGTTAGGCTTAAAAGCGCCTCAACGTTAACTGTAGCTTTGCACCCCCAATTAAATGACTCCACTGCTACTTTTAATGATTTGTTCCTGAGACACGATATGTTCGGTGCCATTGAGTTCACCCTTATCTCCAGTCGATTTTACAGGTTCTTTTGGTACCAAATCAGAGCTGGTATCGATTCAGAAACCTATTCTAAACAGTTGCAGACCAAGTGATGATACTTAGGTTATAATCCTATTACAAGATATTTCGACTCAGTAACAGTCATTGATGGCAAGATAGATCTTCAAGGTAGAAGCTAAGTAGGTTATTAGTTGTCCGTCAGCGTTGAAAAGTCCAGATTTGCATGGAATAGGGATGATCTGCTACACAGAAGGGTTTCTAGCGCTTCAAACTACGCAAAATATGGCTGCTGGTCAATAATTTGTTGAGTCGGGTCGTTTCCTTTCCCATATACTGCGGTCATTTATTAGGATGGAGGATAGGAAGAGTTAAAAAGCATATCAGTGTCTAGGGAAATCAACCAAAACAAGCAATAAACAGTATTTGCAGTGCTTCTTATGACGTCCATGCATTGAGGGGAAAGAGGGAGAAAGCGATGATAGCACATGGCATCGGTAAAATAGCAACAGACCAAAAGTCTATTTCCACACATTGCAACAAGTACTCTCAATAGTGTTACCCTATGTTACCTTTACATGTTGCACGCTGAACTGAAACCTCGCCTGGTTAACTAGTTCACTAGTTACTAGCCGGTCCTAAGCCTGGGTAAAGAGGGAAGGTTGGGTATAGGGCTAGCAACTCTACCCCGTAAAACAAATCCAACCGATACAGAAACTTCAAAGCACAAACGATATATATGAAAAAAATAAAAGCAAAATTATTCCTCGCTGGAATCAGAGAGGAGAAATTACGCCAGTTGGTGGAGGTTTTCGGGAAGACAATTGGCCGATGTGTCTCCTCTCCCTCCATGAAAGCGAAAGTAACCATAGAAACATGGAATGTCCACACGATGTTTGAATTCAGCAAGGCTGTCCAGATTGCAAAGGAGGTATAGCATTGAAGTGCTAGGAATTTTCGAAAGTAGATGGAATGGGAGTGGAGTCTCCAAACTGTCAACTGGAGAATCAATAATCTACTCCGATACTGTCACCCAGACGACAACCACCAGCACATTGAGTTATGGAGTGGCTATCATGATGCTCCCGACAGCATCGAAGGCTCTCTCTCACGCAGTGGGAACCAATCTCCTCCAGGATCATGACAGAAAGATTCAACTCAAAAGGAAGGAAGGAAGGTCGCAATCATGCAATGCTATGCACCTACAAATAATGCAGATGAAAAGAAGGAGGAATTCTACGGACAACTTCAATCAACACTGGACAAGACCTCAGTTGGCGATATCAAAATTCTAATGAGCGAGGTGACATGAATGCCAAACTGCGAGGGGACAACACAGGAAGAGAACAAACCATGGGTCGAGAAGCACTCGGTGAGGTGATGAACGAGAATGGAGAATTGTTTGCAGAATTCTGTGCATTCAACGATTTGGTGATTGCAGTAAGGCAGTGCGTTCAAGCACAAGGGTATCTACAAAGAGACATATATTCGATTTCGCCAGATGGACACACTAAAAATCAAATCGACTCCATCTCAATGTGAATGTGAGTATCTCAATCTCAAGAAAGTGGAGACGCAGTCTACTGAACACAAGGTCAAGAAGAGGAGCAGATGTAGGTTCACACCACTCACTGTCTAGTGCAAGGAACCTTCCAAATCAAGTTAAAAGCCTTCAAGGAAGCTGGTGATAGACCTCAATTCAAGTACAACACTCGGAAACTGAAGGATGAAACTACACAGAAAATCGTCACGGCAGCCATCAAGACAAAATGGGAGACAGCGAGCAACATCCCTGAAGAAACCTGTGTGGAAGAACACTGGAACTCTTTGAAAGCCATGTGGAAAGAAACCTGCATAATCAACCGTATTAGGAAGGAAGAAGAAAGAAGATAAAGAATGGATCTCGATGGACAAATGGAAGCTGATAGAGGAGTGACAGGAGGATGGTGAGGCAGAGAATAAACCAGTGCAAGGATGCACAACGACAAGAGGAAATGAGTACAATGTATAAAACACTGGACAAAGAAGTAAAGAAGAGTGCACGCAAAGGCGAATGATACTTCTACGAGACACTGACAAGTGAAACAGAACAGGCTGCAGGTAAGAGAGACTGACAACATTGTATCAAATAAACAGGTTACTATCTGGTAGGGAAGAGATCAACGCAGATGAAACCAATGAAATGTAATGACGGAAATTTAATTACGAAAGAAGAGAAACAAAGGAACCGATGGACCGACCACTTCAAGAAGCTCTTGAATCTACCACCACCTGCAACTCCTCCAGAAATACCACCTGCAGCTGCTGAACTACAAGTGAACATAAATCCTCCAACAAAAATGGGAGTCCTGAATGCCATATAGCTACTGAAATGTGGGAAAGCAGCAGGATCAGATGGTATCCCGCCAGAAGCACTGAGAACAGACACAGAGACAACAGCGGACCTGTTCACACCACTAATGCAGACGGTGTGCAAGGAAGAGAAGGTACCTGCTGGTGGATTGGAAGAAGGGTTACCTTGTCAAACTGCCGAAGAAGGGAGACCTCAGTGTTTGCAAGAACCGGTGCGGAATCACGCCCCTGTCCAACTCAAGCAAAATATTAAGCCGCATCATCCTGGCGAGACTGAAGGATGCACTGGATTCAAAACTACGACCGAAACAGGCTGGTTGGATTCAGGAAGTACAAATCATGTGCAGACCGAATTGCAACGCTACATTACGCATCATCATAGAACAGAGTATAGAATTACAGTCAGCTCTACACCTCAACTTTATCGACTTTGAGAAGGCCTTTGACAGCGTCGACTGAGAGGTAATTTGGAAACTGCTTCAATACTACGGAATACCGCAAACCTCTATCAGCCTCATTCAACAACGATATGAAGACGCCACATACCAGCCAAGTAATTCACAATAGGAAGCTCAGTGATGCCTTCGAAGTGAAGTGAAGATAGGAGTGAAACAAGGCTGTCTACTATCACATATGATATTCCTGATTGTGGCCGACTGGATCATGCAGCAAACAGTGGGGAGCTGTGAGAAGAGGGGATACGCTGGACTGCGGAAAAGAACCTAGACGATTTGGATTTCGCCGATGACTTGTGCCTGATGTCTTGTCACACAAACTTGAAGATGTACAGGCGAAAATCAATAGGTTGACAGAAGAGGCGAGGCAGCGAAGACGGGACTTCAAGTGAATGTAGAGAAAACAGAGGTGATGATGATACCGCACCAGCAACTCCAACAACAACAAACTCCAATCACCGTCAACGGGAGAAACTTAAAGGAAGTAGCCTCCTCCACCTATCTACGAAGCACTGTTTCAACTACAGACGCCACAGACACGGATGAGGATGTCAAAGTCAGAATCGGAAAAGCAAGACAGGCCTTCCTTCATTAGCCTGAAACCAGTGTGGAGATCTTCTGCACTGCACTCAGCATAAAGCGTGAACAACATCCGGATTTTCAACACCAATCCAATCAAGTCAGTGCTTCTGTATGGCTCAGAGACTTGGCACGTTACGAAAGGCATTTCCAATAAACTGCAGACATTCATCAAGAACTGCTCACACTCAATACTGAAGGTCAGATGGCCAGAAAGAATAAGCAACAAGGAACTCTGGGAACGAACCAACCAAGAACCTATCACTCAGCAAATATGCAGAAGGAAGTGGAAATGGCCTATGCATACACTGAGAAGGCCGACTGGGGACATCATGTGCCAGGCCCTCGAGTGGAATCCCCATGTGAAGCGACGAGTTGGGTGTCGGTGCCGAGGGTGACATGGAGGAGATCATGCGAGGAGGAAATGAGAGCTTGTGGGCTGTCGCGGAGCCAGGTTTAAAAGATTTCAGAGAACATAGTTCACTTGAGACGTGCCACTGAAGCACTATGTTCCATTAGGAACCCAAGGGACTAATAATAATAATAATTATAATAATGGTGAACTGAAAGTGCATCAATTTAGACATTCGCCTCGGTTATATAACTTCGGATACTTACTGATTCTCAGGATCGTATACCTGGATCCATTGTGGTTGGAAAACCTAAAAGCCGAAGCACGATCTAATAAATAGACGGTTGCATTGCTAAGTAAAAAACTAACCAGATGGACTAGCGATGTCGGCTGGTTATAACGCGAACTCCGAACATTGCGCACTTTTGTTCCCATGTAATTGAAGACGCAAATTTATGTCCATCTCATGAATTGCAGCAAGTTGTAACGTGATTATGCACACCAATTACTTGATGTGCGAGTTATTTAATACCAAATGCCATTTTGTAAACTTTCAAGAATTATCGGTTTGATGATGCCTGAAAACTGGCACCTTTCATGTCAAGTCCATCGTATGAGAGCAAAATATTTTATTATTATAAAGGACAATAGATAGCATATGGCAAGTACTCATGGATGAACTTCCTCATCATACTTGCACAAAATAAACGGGGGTAACAATGACAGCACGGTCTCCGAGCGCTAGTTTTCTCCAGGCGATATGTGTGATGATTGCTTACAAGTCCTGGATTTCTGGTTAAAGCGAAAACAATACTTCCACTTGTCTATGTTGCCAATTTGTGAGTACCTACCTTGCTACCGTGCCTCGCCCGAATGATATGCAATACGCGTGCCTTTTAATGAATGAATCGGTGGGAGTTGAAGCTACCGGCTCCCAAGAAGCATGTAGTTCACACAGGAATTTTATGCACACATTTAAAAATGATGTGTGGCTGTATATTACTATTACTGAATGAAAAATCTTGAGAGGATCAGCCAACACTGCTTCATTAAGGATGAAGTTGTTGAGCTGCTACCCCCCCCCCCTATTTGCATGATGCTTTTGCATATTCACCAAATACGATTTTCACTTCTGCCGGAGAGCTTTATTATACCTATGAGTGGATACGAAAATTCAGTATGAAGCTTAGCGTGCACCACTTGTATGTGATGTGAAATCCTCTTTCTTTTAACCTAGGTGGTTGCCACTACCTGAGGTGAAGAAAAGGTGGCCAAAAATCTTAGTTAAGACTTTTTTGCGACCAAATGTAACAACCACGTTTGCGAAAGCGATGTGAGCCCGTGAACTCAGGGATAAATAGTATTACTGTTATCACTAAAAACGGTATGTGTTCACATAATGTATTATTCGGAATAAATTACTGTTATTATTACTGCTAGCAGAACAATTTTTTGGGCAACCTGATCATTAGTAAATCGACTAACGGTGATAAGATTGCACTTGACTGAATTTGGCTGCCTATAACAGATGGTGAACCGAAGTAATGCAACAAGATGATCCTGATTGCCATGTAACAGATTCTCTACGGAATAATAAAGTTCGTAAACATTTTTCCCCATTAGAGTTCTTCACCTATGCGAAGCAGTGTAGTGTCCTGGTTAGATGTCCGTCCGTCGTCCTGAGCATTGCTCGAGTAAGAGATGATCACTGGAGGGGGCGGGAATGTGAAAATTTTGTCTGCAGCTGTGTCCGGGAGAAACGTAAAATATCCTTCTGAGGAACTCCACACTTCAAAGAGATGGAAAGTAGTGTCGACACTTTTGCCAGCCGTAATAGACAGACAGTAATTTAGTAGTTGCAAACAGTGTTATCAGAAAAGCCCGTATAATTCATGCAATCCTCCCGTTCTGAGTAGGTGCTAGATGCACAGTTTTGAGAACTTTCATCGTTTTAAAGGGGCTAGACAGTGCTATGATAGTGGATTTTGACTCGGAGGCATATAATGAGACAGCGGCAGTCGATGGTTCTGAGTCCACCTAGCCCCACGCATATTGTGGAGTTAAGTGCGTTATTCACTACATTACACCCTTCATGATTTCGTATTGAGAGCGATGTCCTGACTCAAGAAGTTTGGATTTCTTCTCCGCCTACTCAAACTATCCATTGATATCCCGGTCTAAAAAAATAAATCAACCAGTTTAAACTGAATTTTTATGAGCTGTAAAACATGTGCTTGTCATTTTCCATGTTTGATTCTGAACGTAGTTTTAGGTACATTTAATTGTTTCCATTTAGAGGAGGAGGCAGAAAGGAATTGCAAAGGTGTAAATGAGGTGTATAAATTGCGAATAAAATATCATTTTCTCCAGTAATTTTGTTGTTCTTCCCACACTTCTTGCTGAGATATCGGTGCTTGTTCAGACACGACTAGCCACCATTCAAGCTTTATTCTACCTAGAGGAGTTTCAAAACCAAAACTTACCAAGATAAACTAAAGAGAACTGCTACTGGAGTTTATCGAAAGAAAACGTGAATATTAGATAATGTTAGTTGTCTAGTTGATTACATCGCCAGACGAATAAACCAATCACAGTTCTCGATTTCCAATTCACACGGGCGCGGTTTATAAAGTTGTCTTTCGTGTAAGATCTTTTCGTTGTTTTCTTCCGTTCCTTCAGGGAGTAAGGTTTGTGGTTCCTCATGATTTTCATATTTTTTTCCTTGACACAAATTATTTCGCGTGGTTTTTTCACTTGGCAGACACTAAAGCAAGCTCCTTAATTAAATACCTTAAAGTACTGCAATATTGGGCTACCATTAGTAGTAGTAATTAATCCCAATCAGGACTTACTTCGGGAGCACATACCGAATTTCGGGTATGTCCCCTAAGTTCTGCAATTATTTCTGTCGGCCGTTTTCATTTCACTGATTTCCAGTACACAAACATGCCGCAAATAAAACGCGATCGCGTATATATACATATATTTCTCGCGGATGATACCGTCTTTCTAATAGGAAGGGACTAGAAAATTTTCAGTCCGTATCTTGCGCTCTTTCGGTGCTGGATACATATGTTTTTGTAGCTGGATGTGAAAGGGTCGAAGCCCATCCTCAATTTCCCAAAAGAGTCATTTATAGTTCGTCACATGCAGACAGTACTGCCAACTGCTATGTTGATTTTGTTTGGTCTCAGTCAGATGACCCATAAGCTCTTCGGTCACACACACTGCTATTACTTACCCTATTTCTCTTTCAGGTATTTCAGGAACAAGTTACTTCACATGGTGTGAGGAGCCGGAAAGTATCAGTTGCTTTCACAGCTGTCTCGACCCTCAAGTTCTTTCATATCACTACCAACCTTCTACTTCTAACCTTTCTTCACATATATGGGTAAATATTCTTATGTGATCTTTAACCTCTTCCAACTCTGCATCTCTTGATAACTACTTTAGTTCACGGAACAGCATTCCCGGTCTCCTGAAATAACCCTGCAAACTAATATTAGAGCTTTTTATGGGCTCACACAGTCAAATTTATCAACAAGTTTCAAAAGCCAAATCTGTAGCAACCCAGGCCATGGATGTGTGCTTGAGACACATACTAGACCCAAGCGTGGTTATTCACTTAACCCTCACCCAACCAATATAGTGAATCTGTGAAATTCACTTTCCGAGTTTCCGCAGATTCTGTGGCTAGTTGTCGCGATCGGACAGTTGTAGGTATACACCATTGAGCATTAAAACAGTGCACTGTTTGACTAGATCCCAGTTAACAATCGCCCGTGCTCTATTTGACTGGACGGTGCAGTCAAGACTATAAGGAGTACTGAAACTCGCCGCTATCCCTTTGCACTCACTGCTTACGTCCCCGTTAACTGCAGTTCAGATGAAGTGAAGGATAGTTTTTACCGAAAACTATCTAGCTTTTTAATCAAAGGTATACGCTCAAATGTGCTTTTCGTAGCAGGTGATTTCAATTCACGAGTATGTAGGCTAAATCAGACAGAAAGGTACTTGACTGGCACTTTCAGAATCCCAAACCAAGCGTACATATCGGTGATCGCCTGCCACGGTTGCACTTAATCAGCCACCTATTTCCCATCAGTACAAGCCTCAAACACAGAGAGACATTATCTGACTTGGCGTTCACTGATAGCGATATGGCCTATCTGTACCATTGAGATAGGACCGATAGATGGATGCCAAACAAGATCAATATAGTCACCATAATATTAACTTTGTTCACCGACCTCACCCCAGCGATAGACACAGATAGACATTATTAGTGTACGTTATGACTGTAGGGTCGGTGGAAAATTGGTGCTTTGGTTCAACTACGCATGTCTACGCGTAAATTGACACTACAATAACGAAGTCATTCAACTTGTATCTCAAAAATGAAAATATTAGAACTACTTTCAATGAGGAACATCATTGGTCCTAACAACCTGGCACTATCACCATTCTGTTATGTAAACGGCGTTAATAACTATAACTGAATCATAAAGATGTTAGGGAGAGTCAGCTAGTCTTAGCAAATTTATTTTAATTAGTGAATACACGTAAACAAATTCCTCCGAGCTCCGAACACCATGAAGAGCAGACAAACTCAAATTTACGGTAGTGAGAAGTATACGCAGTGACCGCGAAAGGTAGTGAGCAATGAAGTCTCGGAAGATGGAAAAGGCGGCGATGGTGAGTTACGGTAACTTACCGATGCCAGAAACTAGCCATATGTCTCCACCTGGTGGCGGTATTCGACTCTGCTGACCGATAGGTTTTCTGGCAGTCTCACTGAAAGGAGTACCGAGTTAATGCATCACTCTGTTAAAGGCTCTGTACTCGAACACGCGTAGGCGCGCTAGAGCTTATGTTGAGTTTACGGGTAAGTTGTGTATGGGTAATGTGCGTCTGGTAAGTCTACTCTCCCCATTCTTATTAAACGTCATAAACGTACTTATAGTCTCCCTCTCGTTGACTGTCTCTACAAAAATTAATCCTATCACATGAGAATCCTTATTTAATGCGGTGTGCAGATAACAGTCTTTTTAAGTGCAGACGTTAACAAGATGAAGTCTTCTGGACTAATTGAGTTACAATTTGAACATTTGTCTCATCAGAAAGACAATCTCAACACAGGACTAAGCATTACTACTTAATGGTTCAAGTTGCGCACCTCATATCAGCACATCAAGCCAAAAAGCAACAAAATGAACGATAAATAAACGGAGAAAGAAGTCAGAGGGGCAGGATGTTGTGATACCGTAACAATGAGGAACAAGAAAATATTGAATTCATTATAACGATTAAAGTAAGGATTATATGAGGATGCGTCTCCGCTACTGAGATTGATTATGAGGCATGTCACCTCGTTTCTCATCAGTCAAGTGCAAATCGTTGCTCCAGAGCTGATCATCACTGCAGCTTGTTTAACAACTTAATTGAGAAGTCAGATCGGCTCTCATGGGCCAGTGACTGACAAAATCTGTGCTCGGATACAAGGGCTCACTTATCTTTAACAAAGGCTACACCATTTAAGGCATTGCCGTAATGTGCTATTATCCACTAAGGGCCAAGTGCACTGCGCTGCAGTCAACTCTGTTCTACTATGCAGTTATCAATCATGGCACTTAAAAGACGGAGGACATGAGAAATCTTCAGTTGTTCGACCACTGTTGTCTTCGTAGTACAGGCCATTTGTTGTGGTGCCATCACGGCAGTGACTTAGAAGTCAGGAATAGAGTTTTAGGCGCAGAAGGTAAGTTAGTTGGTGAGGTTATGAACCTTGATCGACTCAGTGGCTCAGGCACGTGTCACTCATGCCTGGTTGCCATTTAATTCGTTGTGAAATGTTAGTTGATGTAGGTTTAGACAGCAGCAAGGTCGAGGGTGGCAGGACTAAATGTGGGATCATTTCTTCAAGTTGGCGACTGTTAGTCTGAGCCGTGTAGGTTGCCGTTTATGGGACAACCGAAATCGCCGGTTGGAGGCTAGTGGTGTGGTGCAAATGTATACATGCATTATCTTCATCTAAGTCGTCATGCCAAGTTTTATTGTCCCATTCCTTCTTTCCCTTCACAAATTTCCACCCCCTGTCACACCTGTGTGCAAGGTTCTTCGCTAATTTTGTCATCCAGCTAGTCAGTCACTTCTTACTGCTTTTTCCTCCTTCCTCTGCATTTCGCTTTATGTACTAATGTAGTGTGGCAACTTGAGCCATTACGAAGCAATCCCAGGTCCGTTATCATGGCGATTTATTGATTTCAAGTTCGCATTCTTCAGGGACTGACATCAGTTGGAGAACCACTTAAAACGTGGGAGCAAAACCTCCAAATGACTGTCCAGTGTCTCTGAGGGACTTACTTCGAGATCAGGTTTCCCGAAGTTCCAATGAGAACTCATGAGCGGTGGGACAAATGAAGTTGAATGTGAGGACGATTAATCAACGGTGGCATTGGATGAAGATCAAATTGACTGAAGTATGGAAACATCGCCCACTGCATTCCGACCTAGTGGGTCTATGGTAACATCCTCATCGCCCAACCTGATGATCCTAGATGGTGTCATGAATAGGCACTACTGAGGAGTTCCATGCTAAAACGAACAGCTGTCCAGGGCTCCTAGCTTTTCAACAGTTCTGTAACTGATATCAGTTAGTGATTAACACCAACTTTAAATCAGTAGATCTGCACAACCTCCAAATTGAATTACTTCTATTTTAGGTTTGACTCCCTTAAGAAATAGGCGGGATTTATCCACAACGTTTTTAACGTGTATGGAACCCAACGCATGCTACAAATTTACCTAATCAGTCCTCAAAGTTTATATTTAACCTTTGTCTTACATACTTCCACATATATACCTTTTTACTAAGTAGTCTACATCCAGAGATGCAAAAAGGCAGTACCGATTGGTAACAGTAGACAATTTGTTAAACTTATTGAGGAAACTAGGAGGAAAAGGTCAACAACAGTTAGTGAGGCTATAACGGAGAAGGACGGATCTGCGACTCACTCACAGGGAGACTGGAACGATAGGCAGAACACTTCGAAGAACAGTTTAACTGGCCTCCAGCCACCATTGTGTTGCCCGCTATCCCGTCGAATCCTGAGTCAAACATTAAGAGGGCCCCCAACACTTGCAGAAATCGAGAGAGCAGTAGGTAACCTGAAAAGTGGGAGAGCGGCAGGACCAGACGGACCAACTTCTAAGGTATACAAAAATAGTGGTAAGGTGACCTTAGTCACCTTAACGCAAGTGTTAACCAGTATATGGGAATCAATACGATCCCCTCTGACTGTTCTAAATCACTGATTATCCCAGTCTTCACAAAAGGCGAGAAGTCCTCTTGTGATGACCACAGACGAATTAACCTGACGAACAGTGTCTAAGATTCTAGGTTCTATAATTCTCCGACGCCTGAGTGGAGCTCGGAAACAGCAAGCCCGAGAAAACCAGACAGACAGCATTTAGACCCGGCCACGGGTGTATCGACCAAATATTCACACTGCTCCAGGTTCTGAAACATAGGCACGCTCACCGACGCCCGCCCGACACTAGCTGTATTTCTCGACGTGAAGGTGCCATTCGACTCCGTTGGTCGAGAAGTCTTATGGCAATGTCTTTCACTGAAAGGCGTGCCGAGTAAGTACATCAGCCTATTGAAGGTTCTCTACTCGAAGGAACACTTGTGGTGAGGTGTCCAGGGAGCTGTACTCGTCGAGTGGTGTCCGTGGAGCCTATGTACTGTCTCGATTTATATTCAATTTCATGATTGATATTCTTATGTAGGTCTCCTTCTCGTCACCTGACTACACAGAGGTTGACGTAATCACAGAAGAATTTCGTTATGCGTAGAATACGTAGATGACATGGTGCTGTTAGTTGACGCCGCTGACAAGATCCAGAGTGTTGTGGACACTGAGTGGTAGGTAATTTGAGAATGTTTGGGATGTATTTTCATCATTCAAATGCAAATTGTTGCTCGTGATTGGTTTTGAACGTGCCTCGGCTAACAGTAGAGAGTGTAATGGTTGAGTGTGCCGACCACTTGACTTACCTAGGAAGTAGGATCGACGCTGGTGCCTGGTTCACTGACCGATGAAATCTCTGCACGAATACAAAAGGCTCGGTTGGCTTTCGCGAACTCACGCTACGTAAGGCGCCACTGTGATATCCAATTGTCAATTAAGGGTCGCGTGTGCTGCACCTGCACGGCAGTCCGGTCTGTTCTACTGTATGGCTGTGAAACGTGGTCATTGAAGGTTGAAGACAGGAGAAGACTGTTTTCAGGTGTTTGACCACCTTTGCCTTCATAGTTTGGGATGTATTGCGTTGTGTCATCACGTGAGTAACGCAGAAGTCATGCTGAGTTGTAGAGTTTTAGGGAGTAGAGGTAAGTCAGTTGACGAAGTTGTGAACCGTCATAGACTGAGATGGCTATCTAGGACAGATGTTACATATGCCTAGTTGCCGACTGCCTCGTCACACAATGTTGGCCGAAGTATGTTGAGTCTGGAAAAAGGATCGAGGCGGCTAGACTGAAAGATGTCATCAATGTATGAAGTCTTACTGTTGTTTTGAGCGATGTGGGGGATGCAGACTAGGTGTTTGAGGTCATTGGAACAAGAGGGACCAGTGGTTAGAGACTCTAGGTGATGTATGATGGGTGAGAACCGATGTCAGTGGTGCAGATGTATACACACATTATCCTCATCTTAACGACACTATACTGAATCTCACCATTTTCTCATTCTTCCTTTCTCTCTTTGAGCACTTTATATTTCTTCTTTGGACTGAATTTTCTTATTTTCATCTTGCACTTCACTGTCTTTTACTTGATGTGATGATATGAGCTGTGACAACTCGAACTGTTACGCAGTAATGCCTGGTTCTATGTTGATGTGGATGGAGTCTCCGTCGTTCAAGCGCGATTAATTTTTGATGAGGACTGCATTCCTTTTGTTTGTTTTGTGACTTTTTTTGTAAAAGCATGACGTAGGCGTTTAAAATTTTGGTTACTTATTGGCGTGTTGAACTTTTATTTAATCTTTTTTTCACTTCTGATTTTAGAGACAATCCAAACGTGTTTTGAAGTACTGTTAAATGTATCGATGATAGGAGCGGATTTCTATTTAATTATTGCTATGTTCAACCTGTTTCAATAGGAGTTCAAACTCCTCTCCAGCTTTTGTTTACTGTTACTGGAATATTGTTATTATAATAATACATTATTAGAAAAATGGAAGGTGGTACCATAATAGACACATTTTTCACCAGCTCATCTTTTGATGCATTCGATGTGTTGTATTCATTACTATTTGCTCTTCTTGTGTTTTGTGTTTTGGCACCAACTACGGAGTTTATATCAGCTGGTGTGACACTGGAGAACTTTTTCAGTCGGTTTCTTGGCAATGAAAATTTACACTTCGTCCAGTATCATTTAAAAAGAACGGTTATGGTACGGATTTTTTCATCGTCCTTAATATTTCGTAAGTTTTCTCAATACTTATTTTCACTGTTTTTAAAAAATGTATGATGTGCAGGATATCGTTTCTGTGTATTATCTGTTTTATTTCCTGAAACGATGATCACTTTTATGTCTCGAAGGTGAAAACAACAGTATATTTAAAACACCTAACTCTTTCAGCTTGAGATGCAAGCTACTGAATATAATTGTTGTTGACAGTTTAGTTGCATAATCTTTACCTTTTAGGTCATAAGTTCAAGTCCACTCTATGTACATTTCATTTAGCTAGAAAGTAGTACTGTCAAATTCTTTGCACTATGTAAAGCTGGAACTACTTTACTAAACTGGTCTAGTTAGACAAAGTTTATTCCTGTGTTGAGTTACTCACTATTATCTAAATAGATAAATCCTCAAAATACGAACAGAATGGCTGTTGATGAAATCTCACTTCGGATACAGAAGGCTCATCTGGTATTTGCCAACTTGTGTCATCTGTGGCACCCAATGGCGAGATATCCATTATCTATCAAATGACGATTATACTGTGCTGCTTTGCGTTCTGTCCTGTTATATGGCTGTGAGATATGGCCGTTAAAAGTAAGAGAAATGAGGCAAATAAAGGGTTTTGATCACAAGTGTCTTCGTAACATTGATTGCGTTTGGTAGAATCAGCGGGTGAGCAATGTTGAGGTTAGGAGAAGAGTACTATGCAAGACAGGCAAGTCGATTGATGAGGTCATGAACCTTCGTCGACTGAGATGGCTTGGACATGTACTGCGCATGCCAAGCCACTGCTCCCTCGACGTGCCATGGATTAGGTTGGAAGAGGTTCCGGGGTGGCTAGCCTAAGACATAGCACCAGTCCATGAAGTTTGTAGCTGCTATTCTGAGCAATGTTGGGAAATGCTGACTGCCTGATTGGGGTCCACTAGACGATAAGAATCAGTGGTTGAGGATTCTTGGTGACATGGATGAAAATCGGTGATAGCGGCGCAGATGTTGTTCACTGTGTGACCTCTTTTAAAGGTTGAATATTTGCACTAACCTTCATCTTCAGATTATTTGTTCTCTCGCACTACTTCATCTACTTTAATTTAATTTAATATCAGTCTGTTCCGATCTTGCTGTTCTCTGTAAACTGTGAAGTGTGGCAACTTGAACCGATGCACTTATGTGTGAGGTTCTACGTTGATCTTATCATTCAGTCATAAAATATTTGTTGTTATTGGAAGTGTACCTGGAAATGTTCACCTCAACGTCATGTTAATTAATTTTTTGTGGAGAACAATTTGAGAGTTTCAGTTTCAGCTTGGGACTTAAAATGTTAGACTACGCCTTCCACTATGTATGAAGGTGGTAAATAGAATTCGGAAGCAATTCTTATTATACTGTCACGCATGTTATTACTTGTGCGATGTAAAATTTTTTTTTGCGACCTTTTATGCAACTTTTCGTCTCAATATATAAATAAAATTTTAAAATAAGATTAGTAATAATTTGAAATATAGCCAATGAGAGCTGTCTGCCTTAATATGAATTTCCCTCTTTTTCATCTCTCACTGGTTTGCCAAATATCTGTTTTTTTTGTTTTTTCTCTCCAAATTTTAGTATATTTCATTTTCATGCAATCGTTATCCAAGAATGTAGCACTCGCTGCTCCAAATATCTCAGTTCCATTTACAATTTGGGATGTAATTTTATGGATTGGTATAGGCAGTTTCTCTATTATAGGTCTACACACCTACTTAGTATGGTATGGATTTGGTTCATGGTATGGTCATCCAACAATTTTATCATTGCAACAAATCATTATGGAGTCAAGATCTAGAACACAGTCAGCTACATCACCATCGACATCATTTTCCTTGTCTAATGGTACACTTGATATTGCGTAAGTCTATACCAAATATATAGGTGTAAAACTTCGGCACTGTGGTAGAATTTAATTCCATATTAGATTTGTTTATTTGATATATAGCGCACAGTGATCCAGCATTATTTACTTGATGACCATGTTCGAGCATAAACTATTACTGCTCATAATCATATCAATGTAATCACACTACTTTTGACATTTGATTATTATAGTTATGTCACTCTATATGAGTTGTTTTTATTGGTAGATTAATAACGACAGCACGAGTAAAAAGGAGTTCACAGCATCCACTGTATTACGTAGAATCCTCAGCAGAGCTGAAATTAGGGTGGCATTTAAACCTACAAACTCACTCAGAGATAAACTTTGTCGGCTTAAGGATCTGATAGAACCAATTAAGTCAAATAATATAACCTATCAAATTCCATGTAATGACTGTAAGGTCAAGTATATAGGTCAAACTAGTCAGTCGGGGTCGGTTAGAATACCTGAACATAGGAATTTAGCTAAATATAGAATAACAGACCCAAATAAGATCAATAATCTAGAAAAAAACCCGGCTATTGCTATGCATGCATTAACACAACCACACAATATAGTTGGATAAAGCCACTGTTATCAAGTCCTATATAATCAGATGGAGAGAGAGAGAGAGAGTTTGATTACTGAATCTTTGTTCATAAAATCTACACTGAAACCAACACATGTAATATAAATGACGCAACACCTATACCAGAGATATGGAGAATTTTGCTACCAATAAAAACAACTCATATAAGGTGACATAACTATAATAATCAAATGTCAAAAGTAGTGTGATTACATTGATATGATTATGAGCAGTAATAGTTTATGCTCGAAACATGGTCATCAAGTAAATAATACTAGATCACTGTGTGTTATAAATCAAATAAACAAATCTAATACGGAATATACCAAATATAGTTTATAGATATCTTATAGTGAACCTATGTTACAGAATAGATCCAGATAAGTAAAACTTACCAAACAAATTGATAAAACACTAAAACCAGAGGCTCAGTTTCCTAGAAGATAGTTAACTTTCAGCCATTTAGTCGTTGGTTTGAATTCTCATCTATCTACCGAAGTTTTAATAATTATATATTATCATTAGATTTCACACAATAAGTGAGGTTCATGGGCTTATACTTCAAACTATTCTATCCCAGTTGCTTGCAATACCACAGATCGTTTGTAGACGTTAAATAGAATGAAAAGAAACTAAAAAGGTAGTTTCGTCACACAATGTTGGCTGAAGTAGGTCCAGGCTGCAAAAAGGCCCGAGGTGGTCAGACTAAAACATGGCACCAGTGTATGAAGTCCCTGACTATTGGTTTGAGTTATGTGGGACGATGCAGACTAGTCGATTGGGGTCCGCGGGACAAGAGGGGCCAGTGGTTGGAGACTCTAGGTGATGTATGATGGGTGAGAATCGATATCAGTGGCGTAGATGTACACACATATTATCCTCATCTTAACGACACTATACCGAATCTCACCACTTTCTCAGTCTTCGTTTCTCTCTTTTCGTCCTTTATATTCCTTTTGACTGCATTCTCTTATCTTCATCTCCCACTTCACTGCCTTTTTACTTGATGTAGTGATATGAGGTGTGGCAACTTGGACCGTTACGCAGTAATGCCTTGTCCTAGGTTAATCTGGATGGATGAAAGAAGGTAGTCAATTGATTGGTATGATTGTATAAAATGAAGAATATTTGCTATAGTTCAAAAATGATCTAATTCTTTTGAAAAGACTAGCAACTTGTTAGATACTGTCAACACTACAGGTGGAGTGAAAGCGCACAGTCACTTGCCTTGTTTATTCCAATCCAATAATTAGGATTAGGCAAGACTGCCCGATTTCACTGTTCCTCTTTAACTGCACCATCAATGATATTCTGAAGGAAGTGATTGGCGGTAGTGGTGGTGTAGATTTGTTTTCAGGTGAATGATTTTCCGACATGGAGTGTGCGGCTGATGTTGTTTTATTACTATGCTGTAGCAAACGGGCTAATCAAAGCGCACTCATTTGGTGATCTGTGTCCATAAGTGTAGTATATGCTTTGCATTATCGAAGTGCAAAGTTCTTTTTGAAGATTGGCAGGAACGTGTATCTATAGTTAACCTTGATAGTAAGTTTCTGGTAGTTTGTGTATGTTGGGTAATACTAATGGAGGAGGTATGACTGAAATCTACAACACTGACTTCAGTATGTCATCAAGTCCACAAAAAATATCAAAGCTCAGCATACACCAAACTGTCGGCATCCTCATTCTCGGGTACAAATCTTCTCCATCATTTCAACATTTTCACTAACAAGATTTGTAAACAATTAGCATGTATCATACTTTCAGTGCATAATCACATACAAGAGAAAACTAAGTTTATTTCCAAAATAATGGGACTTTATCATATAAGTGGTATATGAAATTCTTATACGATTATGTATATATAGTAATTTTGTATTTCTTTTTATCGATCTTTCCGCTTCAAGTCTTTTTACATGAGGAACTGTCTATGGATTACTCTATTCAGTATCACGTTAGCAACAAAAACACTCACAACATGGAATCTATTTCTTAAGATATTGAGGTTAAATTTATTGATTAACAAGCTTATTTGCTTATCCGTAAGTTTAACTCGAACATCGTTAATTCACTGATAAACCTATCATATTTCTTAGTGATCATTTCTGTTGAGTTGTATTAACGTTGCAAACCATGCTAGCGGAAATTGTATATTAGGGCGGTCAGATCAAGACGTGGCACCAGTCCATGAAGTCCCTGACTGTTCGTTTGAGTCGTGTGTGTGTGTGTAGGGTTGGGGTCCCGAGGCAAAACAAATCAGTGGTTGAGAATTCTTGGTGATACATGACTAAAAATTGGCGGCAGTAGCGCAGATATATTCACACTGTAACATCTTCCAAAGCATAAATATTCACACTAATGGTTATCTTCAAATTGTTTATTCTTTCACTACTTTATCCACTTTGGTATTACTTTTTTTCTTTTCCTCCTGTTCTTTGTGTACTGCTGTGTAGTGTGGCAACCTGAGCTGATATACCTGTGTGCGAAATTCTACATTGATTGCAAACATTAACAACTAAATGCGTTTCCGGCATTAAGGTTTTCAAATATTCAAAGTTCTGTTTCATTTTCTAAGGTACTTATCTAAGCACACTGTCAAGAAGTTGAGACAACTGTTCAACACTACTGGCTTTTAATGATCCCTCGATGTTTTATTAACAGACTTTCATTAGTAACTCTAAATGCTTTTGTTTATTCGACTCCTTTAGTATAAGGGCTGTAATATCATCAATAAATTCTGAATATCAAGGTTCTGACAAATTTGTAGCCGGTCATGGAAGTCTATCGACTAATTGGCCGGGTCGACGATTTATTGTAACTAATTCATGGATCTTGGCCACACGTTTAACAGAATTTAAAGTGGTCAAACAATCCTCAGAAAATATGCTGGCTATCGTCGCTTCAGCCTTTTCGGTGTTGGATCCGGGCTCTTTAACTCAAGGTGGTCAACCAGATGGAGAGAATTTAGGTGTACAAACAATGGTCACAGTTAGATTTGTACGTACTGATACAGGAGTATGTATGCTTAGTTTTGGGTAAGTACTATTTCTTGTACAGTTCCTCAATTATTATTACTATTATTATTATTATTATTATTATTATTATTATTATTATTATTATTATTATTATTATTATTTAGAAGTAGTATTCATCATGGACTGACATCAGTTGGAGAACCATTGAAAACTGAAGACCTTGGGTGACAGTCGCACTGTGTCGTGAATTGACAGAAGTTGGAGATTGTGAACCACTGGAAACCAACCCAGTGGCTGAATGGTTAACGCGTTCGCCGTGAAACTTGAAGGTCCTGGGTTCGACCCCTAGCCGGGTCGTGGGTGCGTACCACTGAGGAGTCCCATACTAGGACGAAACAGCTGTCCAGTGCTCCCAGATTTTCAATGGTTCCTCAACTGATGTCAGTCCATGATGAATACTACTTCTAAATCGAAAAATTCCCATTCATCTCAAAAATACATTATTATTACTATTATTACTATCATTATCATTATTATTATTATTGGTACACGGTTAATTACTGAATTTTGTCTAAAATAGTATCATACAATCGATTGATGATTAAATTTTATTTATTGTTGGATAAAATCCAAGGTAGAACTAATAAAACGCACTAAGAGGATTTAAAGATCTCCGTGGATTATTCTCAGAACAAGAATAATTTGAGCGAACAAGTGTTTCCGATAACTTCTTCTTCTTCTTCAAGCTCTCTACAGTTATAAATCCATGAGAATAAGTGAAATAAAATAACCGAAGTAAGGTATCATATACTATTGAAAGAAGCAAAAAGACCAGTTATGAAGAAAGGAGTGTCTGTTGTCAACAAGTGGGACAGTAGTCGTTAGATATGATACACCTTGCATTAAAACCGTCATTTGCAAAATATACTTCATTTTCTCTTCTGCTTCTCGCTTGATTTGCTCTTCATACGCCTGCCTTGTCTCCTGCGTTTTTCTTGGCAGAATCCTTACCCATTACTGGTAATTCCCTATGATTTCTGCCATCCTCTTCTCAACATATACTAATTATATCCACCACATAATTATTACTATATTAAAACAGTCAGTGTTATAGGCGAATGGATGGAGATCGAATGGAATGGTAGTCAGTCTGGTGTGTTAATTTTGCTATGAAATCACCATTGACAGATCAAGTACAAAATGAGGAGACAAAATCTACAGCTGGTGATTCATTTATATACATTTATTGGGACATGAATGTGTGTGTGTGTGTGTTTACTAAGGGTCAAGTAATTGAGGGATGAAAATCATGTGAATACAATAACAAAATAGCGAAAGTGGAAGTGTTATGTCACGGTTGAAAATGACTACCGGTAGTGGTATAAATAGAGAAAGGCGTAAAATGAATGTTTAGTGGTAGTATTCATCACGAACTGACATCAGTTGGGGAACCATTAGAAATCCGAGAGCGCTGAACATTTTTCGTACTAGTATGGGACTTTTCGGCAGCACGAACCGACGACCCGGCTAGGGATCGAACTCAGGACCCTCAGGTTTCACGGCGAATGCGTTAACCATACAGCTACTGGGTCGGTCTTTCAGTAGTTCACAGTTTCCAACTTCCGTCAATTCACGATGCAGCGGGACTATTATCCAAGGTCTTCAGTTGGCACCATCTTCCCTTTCGACTGGTTGACCCCACAGGTCACGCGGTTAACGCGTTTGCCGAGCAACCTGAAGGTCCTGAGGTCGATCCCTAGCCGGGTCGTGGATGCGTACTGCCGAGGAGTCCCATGCTAGGACGAAACAACTGTCCAATGCTCCTAGATTTTTAATGGTTTTCCAACTGATGTCAGTCTGTGATGACTACTACCTCTAAATTGAAAATCCCCATGCATCTCAAAAATGAATGTTTATCGATGTAATGACAGTATGGATGAAAGGGATGGGAGGTTAAAATGTGCAATTTGTGGTAGGAAGGTTCATAAAGAACGTGTTGACCCTGTTGTGGACCAAGATAGAGAAAGTGGATCTATATATTTCTTTTGAGCACATAGGTCTGGTTTTCTTGCGTTGATCCCTATGGCTTCGGCTATGGATAAGACGCGTAGTCGTGCACCTTTAGGGAGTTTGGAGCAGACACTGTATATCTCAGAAAAGGCGTGATTTTCGTTAATTTGGTGTCCAGTATCTACTAGATGTGAGAAAACTATACTATTGATGACCTTTGTCATTCCTTTCCCTAACCAAGATGGTACATGTTCACGAGCGCGCGTGGATAGAAGTCTTTGAGTACGGCCTATGCAACTAGCTCCACAGGAGCAGTTGAACTCATAAATGCACATTGAAGTGGTCATCATTGGTAACCTATCCTTGGTTCGCTGTATCAGTAATAGTTTGGTTGAGAAGTTGACAATAAGTTTCGCTGCATTGAATGTATGTTTGACTGATCAGCTTAATCGATGTGTTAAGTTATGCGAAGCAATATCACCCTTGAAACTTAGTCAAAGATAGTTAGGCTTTGTTATGATATACGCTTTAGATAACGATAGATTGCTCCAAGGCGATATGATTAACGATAGAACAACAACTTCTCAACTCGATATTCAGCTGACACCAGAAGAAGAGGTTTTCACATGTCCAGAAGCAACAATTAAATACTTCACAGATTAGTGCCGTGTTTCTCATTATCTTCATTTTTCTTTGACCCATTTTTACTTCAGATAGTGTAATGCGTCAAGATGATCTGCAGGTAGGTTTGTCTAGTACACATCCAAACCACTTTGATCAATGGAAATACGCATAGACATGGTGCTTTACAATGTTTCCATCCGAATATTGAGTGTACTGAAGTCTTCGAAGTTTCTGATAGCGCTCAACCAGTTCTTGGACTATAACGCTAGACGTTTTAGAAAAGACACTTTTCGTTGAAATGAAATTCTTTTTTTGTGAAGACAATTCATGCGGTAGATATGGTGTATCTATTATAATAAAACATTTGGGACAGTTAGTCCTCTTGATAACTAAAGAGTGTACTAAAGAAAACTGAAATTATCTGAAACATATGATGTAGTTAGCGTCATACATTTTGAACAATCTGACCACACATGAACTTGTCAAATAATTTATATAGAACTTGGGAATGGAATTACAGTGAAGAAAGATAATAAGGGCAGAACAAAAACAAAAGAGAGGAAAAAGGTTAGATCACCACCAATAGTATGAAAAGTTGAATTCAATACTACCAGGGTAGGCTTAGTGTACGTACGAATTGCTTTCGAATACGTAAAGGGGCTGTAATTTAGGGGTAGCAACAACTTCGATAAACCTTTCTCCTTGAGTATGTCTATACAGTATAGTTAAGACTGTCTTCATATGGATTTTTCGATCGGTTTCTGATATTGTTTCACCATGAGTGAAGAATGACTTTTGTCACATTCACTTATCAAATTTCTCGACATCATTTGTTTCTGGAGCCACCTAGGCACATGTTCAATCATTCTCAACTATATATCACAATCGCCCTCCCCTATTTATCTTTCTACACATGCATGTAGATAGATAGATAGATAGATAGATAGATAGATAGATAGATAGATAGATAGATAGATAGATAGATAGATAGATAGATAGATAGATAGATAGATAGATAGATAGATAGATAGATAGATAGATAGATAGATAGATAGATAGATAGATAGATAGATAGATAGATAGATAGATAGATAGATAGATAGATAGATAGATAGATAGATAGATAGATAGATAGATAGATAGATAGATAGATAGATAGATAGATAGATAGATAGATAGATAGATAGATAGATAGATAGATAGATAGATAGATAGATAGATAGATAGATAGATAGATAGATAGATAGATAGATAGATAGATAGATAGATAGATAGATAGATAGATAGATAGATAGATAGATAGATAGATAGATAGATAGATAGATAGATAGATAGATAGATAGATAGATAGATAGATAGATAGATAGATAGATAGATAGATAGATAGATAGATAGATAGATAGATAGATAGATAGATAGATAGATAGATAGATAGATAGATAGATAGATAGATAGATAGATAGATAGATAGATAGATAGATAGATAGATAGATAGATAGATAGATAGATAGATAGATAGATAGATAGATAGATAGATAGATAGATAGATAGATAGACAGGTAGACAGGTAGACAGGTAGACAGGTAGACAGGTAGACAGGTAGACAGGTAGACAGGTAGACAGGTAGACAGGTAGACAGGTAGACAGGTAGACAGGTAGACAGGTAGACAGGTAGACAGGTAGACAGGTAGACAGGTAGACAGGTAGACAGGTAGACAGGTAGACAGGTAGACAGGTAGACAGGTAGACAGGTAGACAGGTAGACAGGTAGACAGGTAGACAGGTAGACAGGTAGACAGGTAGACAGGTAGACAGGTAGACAGGTAGACAGGTAGACAGGTAGACAGGTAGACAGGTAGACAGGTAGACAGGTAGACAGGTAGACAGGTAGACAGGTAGACAGGTAGACAGGTAGACAGGTAGACAGGTAGACAGGTAGACAGGTAGACAGGTAGACAGGTAGACAGGTAGACAGGTAGACAGGTAGACAGGTAGACAGGTAGACAGGTAGACAGGTAGACAGGTAGACAGGTAGACAGGTAGACAGGTAGACAGGTAGACAGGTAGACAGGTAGACAGGTAGACAGATAGACAGGTAGGCAGGTAGACAGGTAGACAGGTAAACAGGTAGACAGGTAGACAGGTAGATGGAAAGCGATATAATACAATCGTGTATGTTGTTTAGGTTTGTGTTGAGGCATGGACTTTGTCTTCTGCAATCAGACAAGCTTGGCGGCATGGTATGTTCTGATAGCACCTTCAGCGTGCGATGCTAGAGAAAGCTGGAGTATGTTGAAAGAGGGTTCAAAGTTGTCAGATCAATACGTGAAACCGGTCGCTGAATTCCTTGACCGTTGATCTGAGTCGCATGGGGTAATACACACTGCCTGGTTGGAGTCCCCAAGATGACATGAATCAGTGGTTGTGTACTCTGGATGACAGTGTCACCGATGCATTCACCGCGCTGACATCTTAAGCTTGAATATTCGCACCAACCGTTATCTTCAAACTGCGTATTCTCTCACATAACTTTGTTTAGTTTGATACCACTCATTTTCTCTTCGCCTGTTCTTTGTGTACTACTTTGAAGTGTGGCAACTTTATCCGATACGCTTGTGTATGAGGTTCTACGTTAATGTTTTTCAGTCATAACAACTAATCTGAGACTTTTCGTGAAAATTAGGCTGTGTGATACACATAATTTTCTTTGGGTCAGGTTACTGATTAGTCGGTCTCAATGTTGTACGGAGTTTGCACCTATGTATTCGTCATCAATTTGGCTTCCACTTCTTTTTTTTATCTTCTGTGCAAATATAATCAACCCTATTAAATAAACACGTGATTAAGTCACGTTTGTATTTGACTAGACAGTGACCATGGAAAGTAAGGTGGTATTACACTGTCCAAGTCGATTTCCCGTGAATAGACCTAATTGAGCCATCACCCCTTCGACCAATGAGTATATCTAGAAATGTTAGTTTATCATCCACCTCTTTTTCATAAGTGAGGCTAATGTGACTTTGTGCATTCCTCATTTTCTCTAATAAGCACATTGCTTTCTCAGCTTTTTCACAAATAACAATAATATCATCCATATATCTCTTATGAAAACAAACTTTTCCAATCGATTGTTTGGCTAACTTTTCGATGTATAACATATACACATCAGCCACCCATAGCAGTATCATCAATTTGTCGCCGTCGAATTTAAACTATGTGTTATCAGCACATAGTAAATAATGTCTTTGATAGTTGTTAGAAAATAGGGAAGTAGTAAAAGATTTTTGGAAGTCACAAAATATATCAGTCGTCTTTGTCAGTGATAATATTTCCAGTCATCCTTGATATTGATATAACTGACCAATTAAATTTAATTGGCCAATTATGCCATGCTTGTTTGAGTAAGGTATTATCTGCTAGTGCACACCTGGAGTATGTCCTTGTGTTTAGACTAAGTCGGTTTGAGGCTATATCTGTATTAGTTGAGAATACCGAGCCCAAACTAGTGTCCTTTATGTTGATGAGAACATCTTAGAACTGGACACAATAGTTTATTACTTTGAAGGCTTAATTGTCAATCAAGAAGTTATCCACACGTTATACGTCCCAACTCAGCTATAGTTCATTTCACAGTGTTCAACTTTCAAACAGTCATTTCAAGGCTAGAATTCTGATCTATCTGTTTCGGTAACCGGGTCCTATTACAAATTCTCATCCAATAAATATCGTTTATTGTCTATTACATTTACGTGTACCAACTTAAGTCACTTTTCTATACAAAACTAAATGGTAGTCGACTAGTATCGTGTATCGCTTAATTTAAACCAACCTCAGTGATATAAATACGTATCACATAAAAATCTACCCGAATGAATTGATTAGCTTGTGTCCAGTATAGAAGCTCCTCAAATCGATGCACTGAGATCAACACATTGAGTTATATTCAGTGCTGTTTGGTTAGTGATGACTTGCAGTCAAATCCAATTCACACTTTTCATTCTGTTTACGACTCCTCAGTTGAATGTATTTGCAGAATCCTTATCCACTAGATTAATTGAATCAAAACAGTAACCTCTTGCTTATTGGGTACCATTTAGTTAATGTTTATTTACGTACACTTTTGAATTGAATGAATCACTCTCTATTAGTTGCTTACTAATTTTTACGCACTATATTAATGTACATGTTATCTTGGAATGTTTACTCCTCCTTCTTTATAATTTCATCATTTTTTCTTTTAAATCTTTAATTGTTGAAAGATTGCCAGCATCGAACTTAGATGAATTACGTAGTAAACTTCAATGTTCTCTTATACGAGCACAAGGTGTTGAATTGGAGCCAACAATTATCCAACGATTTATTGAAGCATTCACAAAGGTTGTCGATGAAAATCCATCTGTAAAACTACCAGCTGGTTATGTAAGTCTCTCTCTCTCTCTCCTTCCTGAAGTTTACCCTCATATTCTTTTGCTCACACCTCATGTATTTCAAATTGTTAATTTGATTAGATTTTCTAAGCGGGGAATAATTCCTGTGTTCATTTTTAATAATACACAAATTTCGTTGTTGTTAAGTTGAAGCTTTTCAGCTTTACTCGATTGGCCAGCTAACAGAATACTAAATGACAAAATCAACGTAAAGCCTCAAAAACAAGTAAATCGGCTCAATTTGTCACACCATACAGTAATATGCAAAGAACAGGTGGATAGAAAAAGACTTATATCAAAGTAGACAAAGTAGTACAAGAGAATAAATAATCTGAAGGTGAAGATTAGTGCCAATATTCAAGCTATAAAAGATGTCAAGGAGTGAATACATCTGCGCCATTGTCACCGATTTTCATCCATGTCATCATGAGTCCTGAACCACTAATTCCATTCGTCTCTGGGATCCCAACCAGTCAGCCTACATCTCCCCACACGACTCAGACCATTAATCAGGAACTTTGTAGACTAGTGCCACCCTGAATCCTCTTACAATCTACTCCAACTTTCCCTAACATGGCACGTCGAGTTAGACGATGGCTTGGCATGCGCAGTATATGTCGAGGCCATCTCATCAATCCAACTTGCTTGTCTTGCCTAGTACCCTTCATCTGACTTCAATACTGCTAACACAGTGATTCCTTTAAACGTGATCTATGCTGTAAAGTCATCTGTGATCGAATTCCAATAATCGTTTCATGTCTTACAGAATGCTGAAATGATGATCCACAAACTCTTAGTCCATAGTGAGTTCCAACCAAGGTTTCCTTTAAAAAATCACTGTTCTCTATCCTCAGTTTTCATTTGATATTGTAGTTAATATATTTAACTTTCAACCAGCATCGTCAACAGTTCGAATTTTATCCCACCCAGCAGTTTCAACAACGTTAACGTTCACAGGATTGGTGTGAATCTCAGTTTATTGGACTAACTTGTATAAGTTATGTTATAAAGCTAATCTTAGACAAATCTACAGATTTCTCTTGCTTATCGATTCGTTTTATGCATTTTCTCTGTGTATCACTCTTTTGCCTACTCCCCCTCCATAAATCCGTTTAACAAGAATTTTCCAACTGAATTACAATATTTAGATAAAATAAATTTTTCGAGTGGAGAAACTGACAGGACAGTCTTTCCTAAACTAAAATTGACTACGAATAGTAAATTTTTCAACATATTCAATATACTCAATTGGATTCTTCTGGATTACGCTACATTTCTATGCGATATGATGATGAAGTGTTGTAGTTGAACCTATTAATGCATAGCTGTGCCCAGTCATAAGAAACTGGTTGCCATCTAGGTGTTCATCTAGGTACGAAATCTTCCGTGGTTACATATCAAATTCGATCACCTGTGTTTTTGAGATACACAGGTTTCCTACTAAATAGTCCAGTGAACAGTGGTGGAGTACCTTACAATTCTCATTCTGTTTTACATTAGTGATGCATTTCGAGTAGACACCATTGGGCTGTGAGTGCCTTATGATTGATATGTTTAAGTGAGATAAACAATTTTTCGGTAAAACCAATCCAATCGCTAAAGAAACTTCAAAGCACAAAGAAAATATAAAAGATAAAAATAAACTTATTCCTACTGGAATCGGGGAGACGAAATGATGCCAGTTGGTGAAAGTCTTCGCGAAGCCAATTGGCTGATATATCTTCTCTTCTCTCGATAAAAGCGAAAGTAAGAATGGGGAAATGGAATATCCGCAAAATGTTTGAATCTAGCAAGGCTGCCCAAACTTCAGAAGAGATGAGAAGGTATGGCATGACCACCACCAGCACCTGCAACTCGTCCATAAATACCACCAGCAGCGGCAAAATTACCAGTGAACACAAACCCTCCGATAAACGCAGCAGTGAAGCCCTGAACGCCATAAAGTTAATGAAATCCGGGAAAGCAACATGACCAGATGGAATTTTGCCAGAAGCACTGGAAACACTCAGAGACGACAGCGGACCGATGAAAAGATCCTAGAGGATTTGGATTTCGCCAATGATGATGATTTATGTTTAATGTCACACAAACTCGAAGATCTACAGGCGAAAACTATCAAGTTGATAGAAGAGGCAGCGAGAACGGGACTTCGAGTGAATGTAGAGAAGACGGAAGTGATGAAGATACCCAACCAACAACAGCATCAATCACCATGAACGGGAGGAACCTAAAGGAAGTAGTCTCTTTCAGCTGCAGGTGTGATTGGCAACTCGGTCCTATATTGGTTACTCTCTTCTCTAATATGTATTTTCTGGAATTAAGTATGCCGGGAACCCGGTGGTCACTGGTTCGAATCTGGCCGCTGTCCAAATTTTCATTTCACCTTCAATCATCACCTCAGTACAAATATTAGTCTGCCAAACTACGGTTATCTCAAATAGTCAAGTGATAATCAATATGATGCTCTCCCTCTCTAATCCAGTTAGATTTGGATTGAAATGAGAAGTCTTGATTAGGCAGCCAGTGTGGATACGAACAAGCGGTAGTAGCGTGTCTCGAATTCACATGGTAGTTGGGTAAAATTCATGATGACTGAAGTAAAATAGAAATCTAGTCAGCAGTTGAACGTCATAGCTCAATTGGTAGAGCATTGGTCCGGAAACGCAGTGATGGCTTGGTGGAATCCGGCCGCTGTCCGAATTTTTCATTTCACCTTCAATCATCACCCCAGTATAACTACTAGTCTGCCAAACTATGGCTATCTCAGATAGTCAAAATGATATATGCATATCTAATAGTGATTTTCTCTTAGCTCTACTCAGTGAAATCGAATTTCGTTAGAGTGACACTTTTTTTTCTCCCTTCTCTGCGAATTCATCAAGGTGTTTAACTCTATTGTCTTATAATTATTCCATTGACGTGTCTAGGTAGCATTAGTTTGTCAGCATAACATATAACTAATTTCTTTAAAAAAGTCCACTGATTCATGTTGTCGCATATTTCTCAAATACCACAGAAAGAGAATATTTATAAAAGGTTAAGATGAATTCAATAATAAGGGAGAATGGACACATGAATCTACAGAACACACCCAATGATTTTAGAAAATATCCTGACTATCGTCAACATAATCTATCGTTTAGAACTGTCAACTTTAAATTTTTCAGTTCTTCTTCTCAATCACCATTCTAACGTATATAAAAATATATATATGTAACGAACTAAAGTACCTCCTATTCAATTCAAATCATATGGCCATCATCACACAAACAGTTAGTTTTCTTAAAATCTACTAATCTCCCTACTTTCACGTTTTTTTTTATAGTTTATTAAAAGCAATTAAATCGCACTTAGTTGTCAAGCAAAATTCTTTTTTATTTATTTAAAGTGTGTACGTTGTGTGTTCCATCATGTGGTTACTCCATCTGTTTATTGATTTGTGGTAACCATTGTTCTTGTGACAGGTTTTTAGTTGTTGTCAATGCTTAAACATTCGCTTAACTAAATTGATTTAACTAAAATTGAAGCAAATAAAGTCACTTCCAGCAAACTTAAAAATACTGCTATCCACTGAATAATTCATGAATTCTGGCGATCTAAGTTGCTAACATGATATTCGATTGTTCAGTAATCCTGTATGTGTATGGTATTGACAAGAAGTTTAAAAAATATTTTATCATCTTTGTCAATAAACATATGGGTATTTCATGAATAATATATATGATTAGTGGAAAAACTCTTCCGTGGAACCTTTGATGAGAGAAGTAACCGAGTTGATGGGATGCTTGGGGGACATATATTGCGAATATCAAGTCACTAATTGTTAGTACTTGTATCATCCCATCATTGAGGTAGGTGCATCCAGCTGACGAGTCCAAAATAGGACGAAACGCACGTCCGTGATTCCACCGCCAGCCACCACTAATGCAAATCACTGTCGACCTGTTAAGATGAAAGTCAAATACATGAAAAGCGTTTAAATTTTATCTAATTTCCTCTGGTTGTGTATGTATGTATGTATGTATGTATGTATGTATGTATGTATGTATGTATGTATGTATGTATGTATGTATGTATGTATGTATGTATGTATGTATGTATGTATGTATGTATGTATGTATGTATGTATGTATGTATGTATGTATGTATGTATATATATATATATATATATATATATATATATATATATATATATATATATATATGCATGAATGAATGAACGATCAGTCAACCAGCAGAAAGACTTAACAAGGTTAGCCGGAAAGTGTTTGTGAGTATCGAAACAATACTTTGTGACAGGAATTAATAAATGGTAATAACTACTACCCGTTGTACAAGAAGTGGTTATCGTTCCGCCGTGAGATGGTGGATAACGCCTTGGCGTTTGAAACGAGGGTACAAGCCTCAAGTCTCAGTGGGAACAACATCACTCCACATTGGGGTGCAGGTACATTGAGCTGACGAGTCCCAAATAAGACGAGATGCGCATCCTGAATTTTTCTGTTATCCACAACCAACCAAATTACTAGAAATTAATCTGTTCATCCATTTTCTGTCCACCGACTGCTCATCCAACTCCGTGAATCATTATTCTATTACACACCTAGCAAGGGAGTTATTGATATTGCAAGACTGAGAATACTTCTCAAAGGTCAGTACAGTACCTAGTTTATCGTGATGATAATGGTAACATTATTATTACTACCCACTTGACAGCCAACCACAAAAACACCTGCATATCGGTTCACAACACCAATTTGATAGACTTTATCAGCTTAGTTGGAGAAATGCTGAAGGTAACCAGACTAAAACATGGCATCAATTCATGAAGCTTTTGACAGTCAAACTTAAGCCGTAAAGGAATTTGTAAACCTTCTTATTAAAGGCCCTAGGTGATATAGCCTAGATTTATCCGTTAGCCGTCTAGTATACTGTTCTACAGTTCACTCTGATCTATTGTATGACTGTGAAACAACCATTAAAGGTAGAAGACCTAAGAAGACTTCTTTTGTTGACCTCTGTTGCCTTCGTAGTATAGACTATGTATCATGATAATATCACCACGTAAGTAATGCAGAAGTCAGCTGTATATTTTTAGGGAGAAGGGAAACGTTAGTTGATGAGGTTATGAACCTTCATCGACTAAGGTAGTTGGGAGACGTGTCACGCGTGCCTAGCTACCGTCTGCCTCGTCGCGCAATGTTAGTTAACTTATATTCAGGCTGGAGATAAGTTGGTTGCAACCAAACTAAAACATAGAATCACTGTATGTAGACAAATCTGGACTTTCAGGTTGGGATCCACGTGACATCGGTTATGGATTTTAAGGGATGTAGCTGGGAATCAATCTCAATGATGCAGATATATTCACACTTCTTTATCTCAACCGCTATACTGAATTCAGCATATTCTCATTTCTCCTTCCACTCGTTTACTACTTTTGCAAGATTTTTCTTGATTTCTTCATCTTTCATTTGATTACTAGATGCTCTGATATGACGTATGTGGGAATCAAGAACGATCCTCTTTGACTGGTCTGAATCACTGATTATCCCAGTCTTGAAGAAAGGCAAGAAGTCCTCTTGTGATAACCAGAGAGAAATCAGCCTGACGAGCATAGTGTCTAAGATTCTAGGTTTCATAATTGTTCGACGCCTGAGTGGAGCTCGGAAACAGCAAGCCCGAGAAAACCAGACAGGCAGCATTTAGACCCGGCCACGGGTGTATCGACCAAATATTCACACTGCTCCAGGTTCTGAAACATAGGCACGCTTACCGACGCCCGCCCGACACTAGCTGTATTTCTCGACGTGAAGGTGCCATTCGACTCCGTTGATCGAGAAGTCTTATGGCAATGTCTTTCACTGAAAGGCGTGCCGAGTAAGTACATCAGCCTATTGAAGGTTCTCTACTCGAACGAAGGTGAGGTGTCCAGGGAGCTGTACTCTTCGAGTGGTGTCCGTTGAGCCTGTGTACTGTCTCCATTTGTATTCAGTTTCATGATTGATTTTCTTATGGAAGTCTCTCATCACCTGACTACACAGAGGTTGACGTAATCACAGAAGAATTTTCGTTATGCCTAGAATACGTAGATGACATGGTGGTGTTAGTTGACGCCGCTGACAAGATGCAGAGTGTTGTGGACACTGAGTGGTAGGTAATTTGAGAATGTTTGGGATGTATTTTTCACCATTCAAATGCAAATTGTTGCTCGGTGATTGGTTTTCAACGGTGCCTCGGCTAACAGTAGAGAGTGTAATGGTTGAGTGTGTCGACCACTTGACTTACCTAGGAAGTAGGATCAACACTGGTGCCTGGTTCACTGACCGATGAAATCTCCGCACGAATACAAAAGGCTCGGTTAGCTTTCGCGAACTCACGCTACGTAAGGCGCCACTGTGATATCCGATTGTCAATTAAGGGTCGGGTGTGCTGCACCTGCACAGCAGTCCGATCTGTTCTACTGTATGGCTGTGAAACGTGGCCATTGAAGGTGGAAGACAGGAGAAGACTGTTTTCAGGTGTTTGACCACCGTTACCTTCTTAGTTTGGGATGTATTGTGTGGTGTCACCACATGAGTAACGCAGAAGTCATGGTGAGTTGTAGAGTTTTAGGGAGTAGAGGTAAGTCAGTTGACGGAGTTGTGAACCGTCGTAGACTGAGATGGCGGTCTAGGACACATGTTACATATGCCTAGTTGCCGATTACCTCGTCACACAATGTTGGCCGAAGTATGTTGAGTCTGGAAAAAGGATCGAGGCGGCTAGACTGAAAGATGTCATCAATGTATGAAGTCTTACTGTTGTTTTGAGCGATGTGGGGGATGGAGACTAGGTGTTTGGGGTCATTGGAACAAGAGGGACCAGGGGTTGGAGACTCTAGGTGATGTATGATGGGTGAGAACCGATGTCAGTGGTGCAGATGTATACACACATTATCTTCATCTTAACGACGCTATACCGAATCTCATCATTTTCTGATTCTTCCTTTCTCTCTTTGAGCACTCTATATTTCTTCTTTGGACTGAATTTTCTTATTTTCATCTTACACTTCTCTGTCTTTTAACTTGATGTGATGATATGAGGTGTGACTACTTGGTCCGTTGCACAGTAATGCCTGGTCATAGGTTGGTGATGATAATTTTCAGTTTACTTTTGTTCGATATTTTATTCCCGACTTTAATTCCTCTTCTCTTAAGCTTAATGACTTCCTGTCACGTTTAATTATAATGTTTCCATTCCATTTTTCTGTCTAATATGTTAATACTGTGATTATAGATGTGGGAACTTTGGTTGTTTTGTCACATGGCAATATCAGGCTTTATTGACTAATGTGAATTGATTCAATGTATTCTGCATACTTTATGTTGTACAAACTTTTTGATTATATGATGGGAGGAAATCATGAGTAGAGTATGTTGGTTTGTGTGCCTAAAACATCGGTCATATGTGTGACATTAATCAAGCAGAAACAAATGCATCACTTTTCACTAAATGTAAGTAAAATCTATACAAATCAGTTTCTTTTAGCTTCATGTGAGTAAATTTCCCTTCATTGATCTTGAATAATAAGTGAATATTCAGTAATAAACTAACATAACACTTGTAATTTCGTTAGGCATATACCCCTTAGGGTCATATATTAGTCTAATACTTTTATAGCTAAAGTCATTCAAAACTTGTTTCTTAACAAAATCTACACTGTAGAATGAGGAAGATGTTGTTGAACTTTCGCTATCTCCACATTCGCGCACTTGATACTAGGCCACACCTATTGTGTCAATGTTGACGATAATACTTGGTGAAATCATCGTGTGAGCAGTGCTGAAGTCAGGTGAAGGGTACTAGACAAGACAGGCAAGTCGATTGGTGAGGTCGTGAACCTCAGTCGATTGAGATGATTTGAACATGTAGTGCGCATGCCAAGCCACTGCTTTCTCGACGTGCCATGCATGGGAATGCTGGAGTAGGTTGAGAGAGGGTTCAGGGTGATCAGACCAAAACATAACACCAGTCGATGAAGTCTTTCACGGTTGATCTGAAGCGTGTAGTGTATGATGCAGACTGCCTGGTTGAGATCCGGGAGGTGAAATGAATCAGTGGTTGATGATTTTTGGTGACATGGCTAAAAATCGATCACAGTGGCGAAGATGTATTCACTTATTGACATCGTCTAAATTCTGAATATTTTACACTAACTTTTTTCTTCAGATTGTGTATTGTCTCACAATACTTTGTCTACTTTGATATCAGTCTTTTTCTATCCACCTGTTCTTTGCATACTACTGTGAAGTCTGGTAAATGGATGTGATGCTCTTGTTTGCGAGGTTCTACGTTAATTTTGTCATTCAGTTAGTCAGTCACGGAGTTTGAAAACATCATCACTGACTGGAAGTAGACTCTACAAACCAATCAACTATGCTGTATATTAGGTGAGAATACGTTGCTGAAAATTTCCATCCTTTTTAAAGTCCACTGTTTTTGATGATTAACACTTCTTTGTAAAGGTACAAAGTATCTCTTCTCATCATATCCTCCTATTCTATGTATTTCTTTCAATATTGACTTTCTAACCTTAACCACTGAGGATGTATAAATAAGGTTATTTATAATGTATAATATTAGTTATTGCAATAACTCTTAGTTAATTATAAGGTGATTAGTTGTCCACCGCTGTAGAATCATTTCATCTTTGTGTTTTTTCTTCTTTACTTTTCAAGGAATTAGAACAGTGCATTGGATGTATGGTCCAACAGGTGAATGTTACACTTAACCGCCAATGTGAATCTTCCGCATTATCATCAGTCAGTAATGATCAATCAACAGATAGTAATCTATGTGGTATATGCTATTGTAGACCATTATGGTGTTTAGAATGTTTAGCACGTTGGTTTGCTTCAAGGCAAACAAATAATCATCGACCACCTAGCCAATGGCTTTCGGGACGTGTTTCGTGTCCAACTTGTCGTACCTACTTTTGTGCTCGTGATGTTTCACGACTTAGTGTCAGTCAACAGTCGGATTAAGTTTTATATTGAATAAATATGTTCAGAGAATAGAAGTATCTAAATTGTGATATATATATATATATACTCTCCTCCTTCCTTTCGTTCACAAACACAGTTTGTGAGTGAATATGATTGTATGTTTTTCATAGTTTTTCACTTATGTGCACATTTATGCGGTGTTTATTTCCTGTGCTGCTTTCCCTTCTGTATTTTGCCTTATTATTTAGTGCCTTTTTTTTTTATTATTAATCTGCTGAAATTGTTTGTTTTGTTCTCATTTTCATTCGAAAAGGAGTTGCGGCAATTTTTCAATAAAACATTAACCATAATGAATATTTTTCTCTTCAAACTGATGTTTGTTTGCGTTATTTCTTGTCAGTTGGTAATACGTGATGAACTTAGGCTTTCATTTTATCTCAAGATTAAGATATTCGGCGAAGGGACTTTTCAACGAATTTATTATCAAGCTGTATATATATATATATATATATATATATATATATATATATATATATATATATATATAGACGTAAGCAACAAGGAACTCTTGCTGGTGACGAATCAACCGAGAACCCATCGCTCAACAAATGTGCAGAAGAAAGTGGAGGTAGATTTGACTGAACACACACGAAGAAGACCATTCTGAAATATCACGCGCCAGACCAGACCCTCGAGTGGAACCCAAATGAGAAACGACGAGTTGGGCGTCCTAGCTGAGGGTGACATGGAGGAGATAATGCGAGGAAGAAATGAAAGCTTCTGGGCAGCTGTGGAGGCAGGTTAAAAAGACTCCAGAGAAGAGAGTGAAATGACGACGTGCTATTGAAGCCGTATGTTCTTGTAGGAACCCAGGGGACAAATTATACATGTATAATTATGGGCAATGTGGTAGAATGGAATTCCATATTAGATTTGTTTATTTGATTTATTCCACACAGCGATACAGTGTTATTTACTTGATGATGTTTCGAGCATAAATTATTGCTCACAATCATATAAATGTAAATACACCACTTTCGACGTCTGATTTTAATAGTCCTGTCACCTCATATTTTTTTTGTTTTTATTGGTGGTAAGATTTTTCATATTTCTGGCATGGGTGTTGCGTCACTTCTATTACATGTGTTGCGTGTTGATTCGATGAACAAAGATTCAGTAATCAATTTCTCTCCACCTAATTACTATTGAACTGAACTGTACAATGGCTTTATCGCACTCTATTTTGTAGTTGTTTCAAGGGATACATTTCAATATCAGAGTGTTTTTCTAAATTATTCATCTTATTGGGGATCCTACGGAACTAGTAGAGCAAAAAGATTACGTAAAGTATGGAATGGTTAGTAGAAGGTATATAACTGGGAAATGGGTGAAAAAAAATAAATGAAAGCGGTAAATCAATTAAGTGTAATGTAATAGAGTTAGTTGGCTAAGATGAAATCAATGTTTTCTAAAAAGATTGAAAGAATTAAATGAAATAACACCGGAAACTAATCAAAGTGAAGATAATAATAATAACAATAATAGGATATAAAGATTAAATTAACAAAGGGGGAGAGGGAACTAATGAGGGCAGGGAAATGTTATGACTATGGTAAAAACAGTGACTTCTTTTGTACGCACATATCAGGTTTTAGTTCATGAATAGCTAAAGTCTCCGCTGTTTTAAGGAATTGAAAAAGAAGAAAATGTGGGAGGTTTGTGCCAATTTGATAGATAATCTTAAAGTCAATGTCTGAATTTATTGAGTGATAGAAATCAATTAAATTTCGTAGAATAGAACTTCTAACAGACTTTCTTTCACCTTTATAAAAACCAAGCTGAAACATGTTCTCGTATATGTGTAGTAAGCATTCTCTGACTACAGCTGATACACCTTGGTCCACGAGAGCAAGTGAACTGTTAATTGACTTAACATTTTCATCAATTTTTCTCAACACCTTCTATGAATCATTCCATATATCACATAATCTACCTTGTAATCATTCATACTTCAACTGTTACCATGATCACATATACTTATATCATCATCCGTTTTATTATTATTGTCATCGTCAGTGTTTAGTGTTTTACTCATGGGATATAATTTTTCAAATATCATGTATATGAATGTACACCTTAATAATAAATTCGTTGAAAAGAATCTCTTCGCTGAATATCTTATTCTTGTTGTTACAATGAGAATTATTATATTTCATATGATGATCATGGGCCTTCATTAGGAACTAGAAGTTTGTATTCCTCCTCTCAGCATGAAGATTTAAAGTTGTATGTATTGGAAGGATTGTTTTTAATTAATTCGTTGGCTCTATACTAAAAGTATTGTTCTGACTGGTGTATACAGTTCGAAATGAAAGTAAGGGCGGGTGGTGGCAAAGAAGACGTTATATGGACTCTGAAGACTCCATTTTCCAGGGAGCAACCATCTGGTAGCCTTATTTATTGTTTGAGGGCTTATGATGCTTCCGAGTAGTCTAAGCCAAATCAGGTAGAAGAGAATTTGAATCCATGACAAATTAATTGAAACGGAAGTGTTTAGGTCAAATCAAACCTCTTGAAAGCAAGTATACTTAACCAAGTTTTCTTCAAATTAGTGAAAAAGGTGGAGAAAATGCGGCACTTCCCTAGTTCTTGTTTCTTCTTAAGGATTATCTATCCACTGTCCATCATTTGTGACGAAATAAATTCTTGAATTTATAAAATGTGAAATCAGCCTGTTCCGAAACAGGCTAAGATACTACTAAAAATCATTCGGGGATGGCCATTTCATAACAATAAACGATTATTTGCTGCTTTTGGAATTGAATTATGAATAATATTCCTTGCACTTATGATTCGCTACAGCTACTACTTTGGAGTAACTTAAAGACCACCCTAAAAGCTACTGAAAATACCAATAGGGTATTTATATTTTAGCTGAAATGGTTGTTCTTAAAATAGAGAAACCTAATTGGCTATTTCAGTAGTTGTTAGGTGAACTGCGAAGTCACTTATACTTCAGATGATGCTAGGAGAACAGGGATCGTAAGTCTATTAGGTACATACCAGTCACTCCCCTAAACAGGTCACATTATCCGTTCGCCAGGCACTTCACACAGGGTCACTCAAACAGTAGTAAATACTTCCATTCACACAGGTATAGTTATAGAAGCGTAGGCTCTACTATATTTGGATAATGGTCAATTATTATTATTATTTAGCCTTTGCTTTCCTAGCGGAACATACGGCTTCAGTAGCACGCCGCCATTTCACTCTATTCTCTGCAGTCTTTTCAACCTGGCTCCACCACTGCCCTCACACCATATCCATTTCATCACCAGCTGGACGCCCAACTCGTCGTTTCCCCTTTGGATTCCACTCGATGGCCTGGCGCGTGATGTCTCCGAATGGTTTTCTCAGTGTATGCCCAATCCATCTCCACATCCTTCTGCATATTTGTTGGGCGATTGGTGCTTGGTTGGTTCGTTACCAGCCAGCTAGCCAGCCAGAGTGAGTTTCTTCTTATTCTTATTATTCTCACCATCTCATCTTCAGCATCAAGTGTAGGCATGCATATATGCAACAACAAACTTGTTGGAAATGCTTTTCGTAACGCACCGCCAAGTCTCCCAACCATCCCATAGAAGCACTGACTTACTTGACTAACATTAGTGTTGAAAATCCGGATGTTGTTCATGTTCTATGCTGAGTGCAGTGCAGGGTAGTAGATCTCCGCACTGATTATCTCAGATTAATGAAGGCTTGTTTTGCTGTCTTTCTGATCCTGGCTTTGACATCGACGTCTATGCCACCGCCTGTAGTTGAAACGATATTACCTAGATGCGTGAAAGAGAAATAGCCGATAGAATTATAGTATTTTTCAAAGTCACATAAAACAGAAATGACCAATGAGGATGTCGTTAGACATAGAGGTGCTAGTCATAACTCGATCAAACATAAAACCCATACATACGTCATATATATATGTTTAGACATTCACAACTTTTCATAGACTTAGATTGTAAAGTGCTTGTTATTGAATTTTGAATCAACTCAGTGTAGTTTCGTTTTTTTTTAAACGTGAAGGGTAGGAATCTGGAGTGACTTTAAAGACCACCCTAGCAACTACTGAAATGACCAATCAGGCTTCGGTATATCGCCTGGAAGAATGGTTTTCCATTGAATAAAGGAATGTAATTGACTGTCTCATCACTTGTTAGGGTGGCCTTTACAGTCACCCATCATAAGCCCAACTTAAGTAACTTGGTGACTTTAAAGACCACCCTAGCAACTGATGAGACAGCCAATTACATTCCTGTATTTTATGGAGAAGTACTTCTCCAGGGGAAATAACGAACGCTGATTGGTCACTTCGACAGTCTCTAGGTTGACCTTTAATGTAATCTCTTATGATTGGCTCATTACTCGCCGTTGATCCTTCGAAAAAGATTCTGATCAATGAAACAGCTAACAATGGTTAACTGCTTATTCATTTGCCTTCAGACTCAGCTAGTAGAAAAGCCAACAAATAACTAAATTAGTTATTATCATGATCGAAAAGTTACTTTGGTCATTTGCATACAAAGCTCTACGATACATGATGCTTACTGGTCAAATCGACACCCATTGGTCGAATGAGGTGTAACGTGTGCTGTATTGGCGATCTACTTTTCTAACAGTCTGATTACACGTGAATTTGTCAAGCTATGTCAAAATTAAAGTAAAGAGGATAATAAGAGTGAATAAAGCGAATATTCTGAATCACACACCATCGATAATGTGACTAATGTAGTCAGTCGATACTCTATCGGGTTAGAACTAGTGTTGGCGCAAACTACTCATGAATGCATAAAGGAACGTTAAATTTACCAGGGGCAAATATGCTATAACTTCATCATCATAATCAACATAGGACCAGGCATTACTGCGTAACAGTTCGAGTTGTCACAGCTCATATCATCACATCAAGTTAAAAGACAGAGAAGTGCAAGATGAAAATAAGAAAATTCAGTCCAAAGAAGAAATATAGAGTGCTCAAAGAGAGAAAGGAAGAATGAGAAAATGGTGAGATTCAGTATAGTGTCGTTAAGATGAGGATAATGTGTGTATACATCTGCACCACTGACATCGGTTCTCACCCATCATACATCACCTAGAGTCTCCAACCCCTGGTCCGTCTTCTTCCAATGACCCCAAACACCTAGTCTGCATCCCCCACATCGCTCAAACCAACAGTAAGACTTCATACATTGATGATATGTTTCAGTCTAGCCGCCTCGATCCTTTTCCTAGCCTAAATCTACTTCGGCCAACATTGTGTGACAAACCAATCGGCGACTATATTTTGTGTATTGAAAGCCAATTCAAAGTGAATTTTAAACAGTATCATTATCAATTCGGTACTAAGGACAGTAATTTGCTAAAAAGTACCGTTCTTCTTGCTTTATTTTTCAGGCTTTGTATGTTCACGTTTTGCGCACTTAATTTCAGTTAAAATGACGATACATCTTTGTTGTTGTCATTGTCGTCTTATCTTTGGCTGAAATCATGGGTGCAGAACAAAGTGTTGGCTATCAAAAATCATCTAATTTCCAACAGAATCATCAATCTGTTCTTCTCAATCGAAAAAAAAGACAGGTAAATAAATTTCGATAGCCTAATTAGAAGACGAAGTTTATCTGAACACAGTGTGTGTTGTATTTTGCGCAATACATTACAAACATTTTGTTTCCACATTTACTTGTCAAGTCAATATATATTAAACCGAAGAATGGGGGGACAAATGAAACAGTTTACACAATAGAGGATTAAAATTAAGAAAGATGAGAACAAACAAGAAGTAACATAGTTGATCCTAATCTTTCTAAGAAAACAGAAGTTTACCAAGGGGTAGGTGTAGTGTAAGAACAAATTGTTTTTGTGCACACAAAGGTGGTTTCAATGTGTTTATGGCTATGGCTTCCATACATCTCAGTATACGTCCCTGACTGCTTCTATGTAGAACTTTGAAAGCTGTTTGAACACTTTGTGACCTGTTTCTATGATATGTTTAGCTATAGATGAAGAGGGTCGTCTCTCACCAGTGTTTATCACTGTTTCACATTGCATTTGTTTTTGAAGCCATTCAGTTACATGTTCTCCCACCCTCAACTGCATAACTGTATTACTCCTCCCTATGTATGTGTGACCACACTCACATATAAATTGGTAAGCACAATAGGATGTGATGTAATCATTGATGCAGTGTTTAGGTTTTTGGTGAAGCATGTGTTTTGTTTTTTCCACAATGGTGAGATTCGCTGCGTAATACGTTTTCTTAGTGGCTGATGTCAGCCTACGTCTCGAAATGGTACTATTTAGCTCCCCTCTGTATGGTAGAGGGATATGGACATTTTTCTTAAGGACTGTGTATAGAGTTGGCTTTGATGCTGCTTGACTTCTACAACGGTTTATAAAGTGCATCGGATATCCATTTTCTATGGGTGCTTTGGTCTGTAATTTGATGTCTTCATCAAACATATCTAGTGTACTGATATGATAGATCCTATTAAACAGGCATTTTTATTAGCCTCCCTTGTATTGGATTGGACAGAAACTATGAAAATTCATTTATTGTCCTGTCCATATAGGCTTTCTGTAAAGTGACCGTCTTATTGAACCAGCTTCTCGTCGACTGAGGAGTATATCTAGGAATGGCAGTTGGTTATTATTCTCTTTCTCACAAGTCAGGCTTATATGTGTTTGTACGGCATTAAGTCTTTTGAGTAGACAAGCCAAATCCTCATGCGTCTCACAAATCACTATGATGTCATCAACACATCTCTTGTAAAGAGGAACTTCATCGATGAGATCACCAATCAGATTTTCGATATGTGACATATAAATATCAGCTAGTAGTGGTCGTTAGGGAGTATCTATAGCTGCACCGTCAACTTGTCGAAATGGTTCATATTCAAATGTCAAATGGACTTTGTTGGTACACAGCAATAATAACTCCTTCAAAAAGGTTGGAGTAATAGGAAATGGGAGGTTTCTGGAGGATATATAGCCACAGAGATTGCTAATAGTCTTGGACAATGGCACGTTAGTGAATAAGGAATTTACATCGATAGACTACATAATCTTGTTTTTTATATTCATGTTACTAAGACAGTCAACAATTTGAAAAGAATCTTTCAATGAAAACTTACAGAATTAGTTTTGAACCAACCATTTAGCCAGTTTATGTTTGGCGGAACAACACATAGACAATATAGAGGACGTAATGGATTATTAGCTTTATGAATCTTAGGTAATCCATATAAATTTGGAAATTTGGATCCTATAGGTTTCAATGAATTCAATTCCTCTTTGCTAATAACATTCATATTCAAAAGCTTTACTAAATAAGCGGTTACGTTTGCTTCCAATTTTCTAATATCTTCTGATGGGACATCGTCTATGAATTTACTTTCATCACTAAGGCTGGATAGTATTTTACTTTTATAGTCAGATTTATTCACGTAAATGAGATTAATTGATTTACACCGGTAATAATTTAAACATATCGAATTCATACATGTTTCAAGTTGTTATTCATCGAAGACTGACATCAGTTGGAGGAACAAAGGAAAACTGGGAGCACTGGACAGCCGTTTCGTCCTAGTATGGGACTCCTCAGCAGTGCGCACCCACGACCCCACCAGCAGGGATCGAACCCGCGACCTTCGGGTTCCGCGGCCAGCGCGTTGGAAATATGGAGCATTGGATTCTGACCCAGTGGCTCAATGGTAACGCGCTGGCCGCGGAACCTGAAGGTCGCTGGTTCGATCCCTGCTAGTGGGGTCGTGGGTACGCACCGCTGAGGAGTCCCATACTAGGACGAAACAGCTGTCCAGTGCTCCCAGGTTTCCTTTGTTCCTCCAACTGATGTCAGTCTCCGATGAATAACAACTTGAAATATTTCCAAATCTCCACAACTCCCTCATACATGTTTACTTGCATATTTTGCTGTGAAGTGGGTTTATTACTGAATAAATAGGTAAAACTTCATTTTTTTTTCTCAATTCTTTAGCCTTACAAAAATTAAGTTCAACTCTTCAATAGAATAGAATATTGTATATGAAACTCTGCGTTACACTTGTTCTATGTAGTATGATGATATTACCGTTATAGGTGTTGGTAAAAATGTTGAATATGTTTTCAATTGATTGGAAGTTGAATGAGTGTCTCTGTATCAGCTAGCTACATATCCATGACCTTATTCTGAACAAGTTTCCTCACAAAAGTCCCATACTGTTAGTTCTCAACAGTGGGATAATCTTTACAAAATAAAAGTGGTCAGACTCAGTATCGGTTGATGAAGTTTCTGACTGTTGATCTGAGCCGTTTAGCAAAATAAAAGACTCTACAGTTAAGATCTGCGCGACAGCCGAAACTGATATTTGGTGGACTGTAGATTTTGTAGTGCATAATTGATCTCATTGTCTCAGATACACATTCAAGCATCATGTTAATCATATCATATTTGTTGTTTGCCTTAATCCCTCTTCTCTTCTTATGACTTATTGCTACTTTTGGTTGTATTTCCCCCTTTTTATCTATCTCCTTGGTGCCTTGTGTCTCAGTATGCTGGTGTGAAATGTGCTAACTCTAGATCATTGGTTGCTGCTGACTGAGCTACAAGATAATTTATAAAGCAGCTTGTTACCTGTAAGATCTCAATCTGTTTAGTGGTTTAATGAGTATTGATTTACAGTTGTATATCTATAATGTCTGACATCACGCTTTAGAATAGTAGTTATATGAACCATAAGTCTGTATTGGTTCATTTCAGATGTTTATGATGTACTTTTTGGTAGAACATGTTCTCAGGTAGAGTGCTTGAATTAGTAACTATTTATTATGAGGTAATTGCTGAGGTAGTATTCATTGCGGGCTGATATCAGTGCCTGCTGTTGAGGAATCTCATACTAGGACGAAACAGCTCTCAAGTGCTCCTAAGTCTTCAGTGGTTCTTCAGCTGATGTCAGTCCTTGATGAATTTTTATTATTTATTATTAGTCCCCTGGGTTCCTAGTGGAACATAGGGCTTCAGTAGCACGCCTCCAGTGACCTCTGTTCTCTGAGATCTTTTGAACCTGGTCCCACGACAGCCCAGAAGCTCTCATTTCCTCCTCGCACGACCTCCTCCATGTCACCCTCGGACGTCCAACTCGTCGTTTCCCATGGGGATTCCACTCGAGGGCCTGACGCGTGATGTCCTCAGTCGGCCTTCTCAGTGCATGCCCAATCCATCTCCACTTCCTCCTGCATATTTGTTGCGTGATAGGTTCTTGGTTGGTTCGTTACCAGATTTCCTTGTTGCTTATTTTTTCTGGCCATCTGATCTTCAGCAGCGAGCGTAAGCAGTTGTTGATGAATGTCTGTAGTTTATTGGAAATGCCTTTCGTGACGCGCCAAGTCTCTGAGCCATACAAGAGCACTGACTTGACGTTGGTGTTGAAAATCCGGATCTTGTTCCGCATGCTGAGTGCAGAAGATCTCCACACTGGTTTCAGGCTAATGAACGCCTGTCTTGCTTTTCCGATTCTGACTTTGACGTCCTCGTCCGTCCCGCCTGTAGTTGAAACAGTGCTTCCCAGATAAGTGAAGGAGGTTACTTCCTTCAAGTTTCTCCCGTTGACGGTGATTGGAGTTTGTTGTTGTTGTTGATGGTGGTGGTGCGGTATCTTCATCACTTCTGTCTTCTCTATATTCACCTGAAGTCCCGTCTTCGCTGCCTCTTCTATCAACTTGTTAGTTTTCGCCTGTAGATCTTCAAGTTTGTGTGACATCAGACACAAGTCATCGGCGAAATCCAAATCTTCTAGGTTCTTTTCCGTCGTCCAGTGTATCCCCCAATTCTCGCTGCCTACTGTTTGCTGCATGATCCAGTCCACCACAATAAGGAATATCATGGGGGATAGTAGGCAACCTTGTTTCACTCCTGTCTTCACTTCAAGGGCATCAGTGAGCTTATCATTGTGAATTACTTGGCATGTGGCATCTTCATATAGTTGTTGAATGAGGTGGATAAAGGTTTGCGGTACTCCGTAGTATTGAAGCAGTTTCCAAATTACTTCTCGGTCGACGCTGTCAAAGGCCTTCTCAAAGTCGATGAAGTTGAGGTAGAGAGCTGATTGCCATTCTATGCTCTGTTCTATGATGATGCGAAGCGTTGCAATTTGGTCTGCACATGATTTGTACTTCCTGAAGCCTGCCTGTTCCGGTCGCAGTTTTGAATCCAGTGCATCTTTAAGCCTCTCTAGGATGATGCGGCTTAATATTTTACTTGGGGTGGACAGGAGAGTGATTCCGCGCCAGTTCTTGCAAACACTGAGGTCTCCCTTCTTCGGCAGTTTGACAAGGTAACCCTTCTTCCAATCGGCAGGTACCTTCTCTTCCTTCCACACCTTCTGCAATAGTGGTGTGGGCATGTCCACTGTTGTCTCTGCATCTGTTCTCAGTGCTTCTGGCGGGATCCCATCTGATCCTGCTGCTTTTCCGCATTTCAGTAGCTTTATGGCGTTCAGGACTTCCATTTTCGTTGGGGGATTAATGTTCACTTGTAATTCAGCGGCTGCAGGTGGTATTTCTGGACGAAGTGCAGGTGGTGGTCGATTCAAGAGCTTCTTGAAGTGGTCGGCCCATCGTTTCCTCTGTTTCTCTTCTTTTGTAATTAAATTTCCTTCTTCATCTTTTATTGGTTTCATCTGTGTTGGTCTCTTCCCTGATAGCAACCTGGTTATTTGATACAATGTTGTCAGGTCTCTCCTACCTGCAGCCTGTTCTGTTTCACTTGTCAGTGTTTCGTAGAAGTGTCTTTTGTCTTTGCGTGCACTCTTCTTCACTTCTTTGTCCAGTGTTTTATACATTGTACTCAGTTCCTCTTGTTGTTGTGCATCCTTGCACTGGTTTATCTTCTGCTTCACCATCCTCCCCTCCCTCTATCAGCTTCCAGGTATCCGTCGAGATCCATTCCTTGTCTTCTTTCTTCTTCCTTCCTAATACTGTTGTGCAGGTTTCTTTCCACATAGCTTTCAAAGACTTCCAGTGTTCTTCCACACAGGTTTCTTCAGGGATGTTGCTCGCTGTCTCCCATTTTGTCTCGATGGCTGTCGTGAAGATCTCCTTTGTAGTTTCATCCTTCAGTTTCCGAGTGTTGTACTTGAGTTGAGGTCTATCACCAGCTTCCTTGAAGGCTTTTAACTTGATTTCGAAGGTTCCTTGCACTAGACAGTGAGTGGTCTCAGCCTACATCTGCTCCTCTTCTTGACCTTGTGTTAAGTAGACTGCGTCTCCATTTTCTTGAGATTGAGATAAAGTCGATTTGATTTTTAGTGTGTCCATCTGGTGAAATCCATGTCGCTTTGTGGATATCTTTGTGCCTGAACACACTGCCTCCAATCACCAAATCGTTGAATGCACAGAATTCTGCAAACAATTCTCCATTCTCATTCATTTCACCTAGCGCCTCTCGACCCATGGTTAGTTCTCTTCCCGTGTTGTCCCCTCCCAGTTTGGCATTCATGTCGCCCATTAGAATTTTGATATCGCCAACTGACGTCTTGTCCAGTGTTGGTTGAAGTTGTCTGTAGAAATCCTCCTTTTTCTCTTGCTCTGCATTATTTGTAGGTGCATAACATTGTATGATTGTGACCTTTCTTCCTTTTGAGTTGAATCTTGCTGTCATGATCCTGGAGGAGATTGGTTCCCACTGCATGAGAGCCTTCGATGCTCTTGAGGACATCATGATAGCCACTCCCTCAGTGTGCTCGTGGTTGGCGTCTGGGTGACAATATCGGAGTAGATTATTGATTCTCCAGTTGACAGTTTGGAGAGTCCACTCCCATTCCATCTGCTTTCGCAAATCCCAAGCACTTCGATGTTATACCTTCTCATCTCCTTTGCAATCTGGGCTGCCTTACTGGGTTCAAACATCGTGCGGACATTCCATGTCCCCACGTTTACTTTCGCTTTCATCGAGAGAAGACACATCGGCCAATTGGCTTCCCGAAGGCTTTCACCAACTGGCGTCATTTCGCCTCTCCGATTCCAGCGGGGAATAAGTTTGTTTTCATTTTTTATATTTTGTTTGTGCTTTGAAGTTTGTTTAGCGGTTAGATTTGTTTTACGGGGTAGGGTTGCTAGCCCTATGCCCAACCTTCCCTTCTTACCCGGGCTTAGGACCGGCTAGTAACTAGTAAACTAGTTAACCAGGCGAGGTTAGTCCTTGATGAATACTACCTCAAAACCATTTATTGGTTGGATTGATACTTTAATCCATAGTTTCGACTGAATTTTATTGGTCAAGGAATGCAATATATCCAGTAAAACATGAGACGCTTAACTACCATGCTTTTTAATTTACTATGATTATCAGAAAACCTTCGACTTAGTTTTTTCCTGTTTAGTGATCTATATGTAGTAGATTATTTTCCTCGTAGATTGATATTAACCAGAGAAGTAGTAAAAATCAGCATACAATGAACATATGTTCTGTCCTCATCAATACCCAGTTATAACCAAGCCTATATGTAGTGCGGCTAATACTCTTCAGATCTGGTGCTAAGTTGTTCACCATTCGCGTTATCAGGTTCGAATCTACACTTTTTCAACTTGTGACAGTCCCAGTTATAGAGGGATCATCATCTGACACATTACCTCTAGTAGTCATGAAATCGAATTAGAAGGCTCCTTCTTGATGTATCAAAACATGGGATAGTAAATACGGTGTCCAATAGTTTTTGTCTGTAACGCAATAGGATGCATTACACTCCTTTAGACATACTTCAATAAACATTGAACACTTAGACTTATTACCTTATTGCCATTTAATAGTTAACTGATGTGCATAGTCAGAATTTACGTGTCACAATATGAGTAGCTATTTGATGTTGCCTGCCAATAGGGTAGCTAAACTTTGAGAGATAGATGCACTCCGGTAGTAAGAAGCAAAATGTATAAGACCGGTTGCTATTCTATAGAGCTCATTGCTTTAGTTAGATGACTTTCAACCAAATTGGTCACGAGTTTGAACAGGATCCCGCTTACCAACGTTTGTGCTGCCTGGCAGTATCACTAACCCTTACCGCCTAATGTATGAACGCGTATAAGGCTGATCAGTACATTTTGCTTTGCTTAATATTTAACAAGCACAAGTCAACCCCTAGCCATTCCCATTATGTTTTGCTTTAACAAATAACTTTTGTTACTTATTTATTTACTATTCCATAGGTCATTCATCTGTTCCATCTTCACCTAAATATGATTTACATCATCAGTCATTATCAGGACAAATCAGTACATCATCTTATAACAATAATTCTACCAGTTCACTGATTACAACAAATCAACAACAACGAGGTTCTTTATCAAGTCTACCAGAGGATATTCCTTCATCATCATTTTCATCTGTTATACAGCGTTTAGACAAATCTCAAAAATCTTTTTTCAACTAAATCATTAAGTTATTCCTTTGATAAATCTGTAACAACACGTAAACAAACTACTGGTATCTTGACTGTGAATCGTGGCCGACAAACTTCAAGTCAATATGAATTAGGTAATGGTAATGGAGATTCTAATACTAATGCTACCAATAATCATACAGAATATGGTCTAACTGAACTAAAAAAACTTCATCGAATATCTACATTTGAACCACTTCTGTCAACAAGAAATCAGCTGGTTGCTTCAAATTCTCATTCTTCAACATCATTCAAAAATAAACAGTTTACTCCAAACCTTCCAGAATTTGAATGTGAAGAGGTTTGTATTTTTCATCATAGTGAATCTTGTGTTGTCGTTATTTATTCTATCAGTATTATTTATAAAATTGAAGATAAATGAATAGAAAGATGTAGAATAGAATCAGGCTTAACTGTATATCGTCTTCAGTTTCCATATTTCACATTGTTGCATTGAAGGGTATATATGTCAACAACAAGGAAAGTGGTGGTTGCAAAAAAATCTTGAATGGGATGAAATAGTTTTTAGCATGAGATGTGAATGGTATTCTCACCAATGAAAATCTTTAAGTTGGTTACGTAATTCAGTTCAACAATCAGAAACGTTTTATTTTAAATAAACTTCAAATGAATGTTTACACATAGTGATCAGATTTTCAATTTCTGGGTACTTTTTTGAAAAAAAATTTACTATAGAAATAGGAAATAAATTCACTGTAGAGATTACAGGTTTTTGATCGTAGAGCACTGCTTACATATGATGGAATCACCATTTCTTTAATGTTGAAGTTAGGTGCAGGAAAGTCAAATTAATCGATGGAGTTATGAACCTTCATTGATTGGTTTGGACATATGTTGTTCATTGCGCCTCCAACCCCTACTTAGACATTCAATGTTGGGCAAATTAGGACTGAGCTTGAAGAAAGCTAAAAGTAGTCAGACTAAGATGGGGGACTACTCAACAAAGTTTCTGACTAGTTGGTTTAAGCCGTGTATGAAGGTGTAAACTGTCTTTGTAAGGTTCTCGAGGTAATAGGAATAAATGGTTGGAGAGTCTCAACGAATTAACTGGTTGAGGATCGAGTACAAGGGTGCAGATATATACACCCTTTAGCGTTTTCTAAAGGTCGAAAATTGTCACTAATTTTCATTTTTGAAATTCCTTCTCGCATACACTTTTTTTTTTGATACTACACTGAATATCTTGAGCAGAAATCTGAGTATGTTTGGCACGTCATGCGTAGTGCATCTGTGATGGGCTATGTCCATCACTTCACTTACTTACGGAGTTGCATCAGCTCGAACGGGATCGTTGCTGACGAAATCTCATCTTGGATACAGAAGGCTCACGTAGCATTTGCCAACTAACGTCATCTGTGATTCCTACTAACGAGATATCCGACTATGTATCAAAAGACGGTTATACTGCGCTGCAGTCTGTCCTGGTCTGTTATATAGCTGTGAACATGGCCGTTAAAAATAGGAGACATGAAGCGATCAAAGGGTTTTGATTACTGGTGCTTTTGGAGCATTGCTTGCCGTTTGTGGAATTATCGTGTAAGCAGTGTTGAGGTCAGGGGAATGGTACTAGGCGAGACAGGCAAGTCGATTGATAAGGTTATGAACCTCCGACGATTGAGATGGCTTGAACGTATACTGCGCATGCCCAGCCACCACCTTTCTCGATGTGGCATATTAAGGAAAGTTGAAGTAGGTTGGAAGAGGGTTCAGGATGGCCAGACTAAGACGTGACACCAGTTCATGAAGTCTTTGACTGTTAGTCTGAGTCGTGTGGAGTGATGCAGACTGCGTGATTGAAATCCGGGAGACGAATGGAATTTGTGGTTGAGGATTCTTGGTGACAGCTAGAAGTACATTACAGTGGTGCAGATCTATTCACACCTTGACATCTAAAGTTTGAACATCTTCACTAATTATTATCTTCAAGTTGTTTATTGTCCAATGTAACTTTTCCGCTTTGATATCAGTCGTTTTCTACTCACCTATTCTTTGTATGCTAATGTGAAGTGTGACAACTTGAGGTGATGCTGCATCTGTGTCCAAGGTTCTGCGTTGATTTTGTCAGTCACTACTCTTTTTCTATTGATTTCTTCTTCCCATATTACTTTATCGTCTGGCAATCTGGAATGATACACTTCTGTGTGAGATCCTACGTGAAGGTTTCAAGACACACCTGATTCTTTCCTTACCACTAATCCAATACATGATCACACTTGTTTTTTTAATCAAATTATGTTTGACATACTTTCAAATTATCTGTCTTTCTGTCTTTACCATTTTTACACGAATGTCTATTGTTGTCTCAGTGAATTCCTCTTCACTGTTTAAAATTCTCGCTTATCTATGTTAGTTTGACTTACTGGACAGTTACTTCCGCAAAGCGGTAATCTTGCTCGAAATTATCCCATAAACGTACGTGGAAATATCAACATTTATTTCATTCCACAAAGCACAAACTCCTGATGGATTCAGTCAGAAAGTAGACTATCATTTTTAAAAAAACTAACATAGGATGTCACGCTACACTTTGATTTGGTTGGCATGTCTGAGGCAGTTCATTCGATAGTATACTCACCAATCTAACATGTTATTTATTACTTCAAAAGCTAATTTATGGATTGAACAAACAAATGGTTTCATGACACATAAGCTATACCACAACGATGAGTTTTAATCATATACTAGTGAGTAATGCCATAAACCCTCCACCTTTACCGACAATATTAAATAACTGATGCAAAGTACTGGCTGACTCATTATTGTCGTTGTTGCATGGAGAACCTGAAGACTGTGTTTTGACTATTAATCTATAATGGCGAAAAGATCCGGTCGACGTTCAGAGTGACTTTGAAGGCTACCCTAGCATTAGCTGAAATGACCAATCAAGCTTTGGTATTTCGCCTAGAAAAGTACTTTTCCGTGAAATTATTATTATTACTTGTCCTTTGCGTTCCTAATGAAACATAGGGCTTCAGTAGCACATCTCCATTCCATTCTGTTCTCTGAAATCTTTTGAACCTGGCTCCATGACAGCCCACAAGCTCTCATTTCCTCCTCGCACCATCTCCTCCATGTCGCCCTCGGCACCGACACCCAACTCGTCGTTTCCCATCGGGGTTCCACTCGAGGGCCTGGCACATGATGTCCCCAGTCGGCCTTCTCAGTGTATGCCCAATCCATCTCCACTTCCTTCTGCATATTTGTTGAGCGATAAGTTCTTGGTTGGTTCGTTGCCCGACCAGAGTTCCTTGTTGTTTATTCCTTCTGGCCATCTGAGCTTCAGTAACGAGCCAGTGTAGGCAGTTGTTGATAGATGTCTGTAGTTTGCTGGAAATGCCTTTCGTAACGCGCCAAGTCTCTGAGCCATACAGAAGCACTGACTTGACTGGATTGGTGTTGAAAATCCGTATCTTGTTCCACATGCTGACTGCAGAAGATCTCCACACTGGTTTCAGGCTAATGAAGGAAGGCCTGTCTTGCTTTTTCGATTCTGACTTTGACGTCCTCGTCAGTGCCGCCTGTAGTTGAAACAGTGCTGCCTAGATAGGTGAAGGAGGTTACTTCCTTTAAGTTTCTCCCATTGATGGTGATTGGAGCATGTCTTCTCTACATTCACTTGAAGTCCAGACTTCACTGCCTCGCCTCTTCTGTCAACTCGCGATTTTGCGCCTGTAGATCTTCAAGTCTGTGTGACATTAGACATAAGTCATCGGCGAAATTCAAATCTTCTAGGATCTTTTCCCCCGTCCAGCGTATCCCCCTCTTCTCGCTCCTCACTGTTTATTGCATAATCGAGTCTAGTCCACTACAATCAGGAAGATCATCCGTGACAGTAGGCAGCCTTGTTTTACTCCTGTCTTCACTTCACTTCGAAGGCATCACTGAGCTTCCTATTGTGAATTACTTGGCTGGTATATAGTTGTTGAATGATGCTGATAGAGGTTTGTGGTATTCCGTAGTATTGAAGCAGTTTCCAAATTACTTCTCGGTCGACGCTGTCAAAGGCCTTCTCAAAGTCGATGAATTTGAGGTAGAGGGTTGACTGCCATTTTATACACTGTTCTATGATGATGCGTAATGTAGCGTTGCAATTTGGTCCGCACATGATTTGTACTTCCTGAATCCAACCAGCCTGTTTCGGTCGTATTTTGAATCCAGAGCATCTTTTAGTTTCTCCAGGGATGATGCGGCAAGATATTTTGCTTAAGGCGGACAGAAGCATGATTCCGCGCCGGTTTTTCAAAGACTTAGGTCTCCCTGCTTTGGGAATTTGACAAGGTAACCCTTCTTCCAATCGATCAGCATATACCTTTACTTCTTTCCATACCTTCTGCAATAGTGGTGTGAGCATGTCCACTGTTGTCTCTGTGTCTGTTCTCAGTGCTTCTGGCGGGATTCCATCTGGTCCTGTTGCTTTTCAGCATTTCAGTAGCTTTATGGCGCTCAGGACTTCGACTTCTGTTGGGGGATTTATGTTCGCTTGTAGTTCTGTGGTTGCACTTGGTGGTCAATTCAAGAGCCTCTTGAAGTGGTCGGTCTATCGTTTCCCTTGTTTCTCTTCTTTCGTAATTAAATTTCCGTCATCATCTTTTATTGGTTTCATCTGCGTTGATCCCTTCCCTGCCAGATAGTAACCTGTTTATTTGATACAATGTTATCAGGTCTCTCCTACCTGCAGCCTGTTCTGTTTCACTTGTCAGTGTTTCGTAGAAGTGTCTTTTGTCTTTGCGTGCACTCTTCTTCACTTCTTTGTCCAGTGTTTTATACATTGTACTCAGTTCCTCCTCTTGTTGTGCATCTTTGCACTGGTTTATCTTCTGCTTCACCATCCTCCTCTCCTCTATCAGCTTCCATTTGTCCATCGAGATCCATTCTTTATCTTCTTTCTTCTTCCTTCCTAATACTGTTGTGCAGGTTTCTTTCCACATAGCTTTCAAAGACTTCCAGTGTTCTTCCACACAAGTTTCTTCAGGGATGATCCTCGATATCTCTCATTTTATCTTGATGGCTGCCGTGACGATTTTCTGTGTAGTTTCGTCCTTCAGTTTCTGGGTATTGTACTTGAACTGGGGTTTCCATGATATAGAGGGACTTAATTGGCTGTCCCGTCAGTTGCTAGGTTGGCCTCTTAAGTCATCTAAATGATCCACTTATTCAAGAAAGGCTTGTTAGCGCCTTTTACCACTGACACATGTATTTGAGCTTTTAGCCTCATTCTAGGGTTATTTGGATGGTCACGCTAGCAACTGCTGAGTACACGAATCAGGCTTCAGTATATTC